AGATTCTGGCTTCATATTAATTTATTCTGCTACAGATACTTTCAATGGAATTTTTAGTCTCCTGGATATCAGCTTGCATGTTTTATGGATTCTATTTTGTTTCGTTCCTGTATTGGGCATTCATGGTTTCCATCATTTTCCCATGCTCTTTTTAAAAATTTGTATCTGCTCTAGAGCCAGCATGTCTCATTGTGGTCATCACCTCTTGTCTGGGAGATTATTCCTATTTTGCTAGTTTTTCTAGGGCCTCATTCATTTGCTTATTTGCTTTGGAAGGCCAGGTAGGTGGTTTCCAGATTGTCCCCCCTCATTATCCCTTGGGTTTACCTTTGGTGAACTGGGTGTCTGGGGTTGCATCTTGCCTAGGCGTTGTCTTACTTCTCTCTCCCCTTCCATCTTCCTTCTGCCCTCTCCTTCTGTCTCTCTCTCCCTCTCAATCTTACTCCTTGGCACGAGCCCAGTCTTTTCTATGACCCTTAGGCAGTCTCTGTCTTGGAATACCAGGAAGAACAACTGGTTAGAACAATTATGTCACTTTGCTTAAGTGGTACAATCAGTAATAACAGCAGCATCAAACACAGCCTAGAAATGATAAACTTAATAACCATTACTTTGCCACCTTTAACTGTATGAACTTGATTTGTGATCATATAACAAAATCTAAAACTAGAAAACTGCATGCAGTAAATAAGCTCTCAATATATTGTCCACAGGAGAGAAAATTTAAAATGGATTAGGGAAAAAATAGAGAAATAAAAGAGAAAGATTAGAAGCAAGGCTAGAAAAAAAGAGGATCATGCAAACTTTGGAAAACTGGTGAAGAAGACAGGAAAGAGAAGGAAGAAATAAAAGAAAGAACAGAACAGAAAAACCACACACACACAAAACCATTGAATTACGTTAACACTCATAAAAAGATCAAATAATGAAGAAAAAAATTTACAAAGTATATGGCAGGGGGAGTCCACTGTCACTGGTAAACACCATGGATCCAGAGCTATGCTGATTTATGCCAGCAAGCCATCAGGAGCTTTATGGCAGGGCAGTGGATAATATCAATGAACCTGTACCTTTATATCCCCTGATGTTCAGGCTGCTTTCTGGCCATGAGGCTGGGACCAGACCTGTTCAGCTTGCAGCAGTCTGTGCACCTTCTGTGGTCTTGAACTAAGCTGGGAGCTGTGGATGGAGTTGTTGTAAGTTCTGATCTCAGTTGGCCCCTCTCCAAGATGGCTCCCAGCCAATCACCCTCTAGCGGGATGGCCAAATCCACTCCACTCACTAGCCAATGCAGTCTATGGCATCCACACCTCTGTTGTGCTGCTGCACCTCTCTGTGGAGGCTTCTGGGGTTGCCAGAAGTCACTGTGTGTCCACAGGTATGAATCTCACCTGTCACTACTATATTAAGTCAACTTGGAAGGAGAATGTGGTAAGAAATAGAGTACTGTAAATGCTGACACATGTAAGAAGCTCCCTTCTGCCAACATCAGTAGTTCCATCTCCCACAAAGCAGCATCATACAGTTCATATTTTACCTGCAACTCTGAAAGCTTGGAAATTGCTGGCAAAGATATCTGACTGCTGCTTAAATCGTTCCTGTTAAAAATTCTAATTGTCACTTATATCTCGCTAACAGTCCTATAAGGCCATTGTGGCCAGTCACTGAAGACCAGCACTGAAGGGGGCAACCCTTCTGAGCACACGTGCTATACAGATTTCCCTTATTTATTTTCTGTTTAGTCTTTTTGAGACAAGGTCTCACTCTGCAGTTCAGGCTGGCCTTGAGCTCACTATATAGCCAGGCTGGTCTTGAACTCGCCACGATCCTCCTGTCTCAGCATCCAGAGTGCTGGGATTACAGGCATGTGCCACCACACCCAATATCCCCTTTTTAGTAACTAGGATAAGATCTATAGTTATCAGTACTGAGACCAAAGATGAAAGTCCTGGTCATTCTCTACTTAATGTAATTTCCATTTCCTTACAGACTAGATTCTCCACCAGCTTGTACAGTACACAGCTGGAGCTGGGGTGGGACAGGATGGAAGTACAGGTCCCAAGGCTGATGGTGTGAGTTCGTGGAGGTGCCCACTGCTAGTCCAGCTGAGGAACCCAAAAGCACACATGGAACTCCAGGAATCAGGGAGGCCCTTCCAAGACCCAGCATATTTCTGGGGAAAAGGGACTGTAATTGGAGCATATTGTATCAGAAATCCTTGAGAACAGTCCCTGGTATATTCTCTGTGCTCTCTTTAAGGTTCAGAATCTGAACAGCACCAGGTAGCACACAACAGTGGAAAGCACACTGACTTTGGACTATGTGCTTTGAAATCCCACTTTGCCATTTCCCAGCTATGTGGCCTGAGTCTCTTTGCATACCTTTGAAATTGAATGTGAATGCCTAGCTCACACAACCAATGTAAAACCAGGTAAAATGCCTCAATATTAGGATCTGACCTCTAGGTGGTGCTCGCAACAGTGAGCTAGTGTCATGTACACGTCTACCTTTTACACAGAAGCATCAGTCAGTATCTTACTAGGATCCTTTAGCAATATATGCACATGGTTCAGCACTCAAAGTGGACCCGGCATCCCCACCATGTAGCCTTCCAGAATCCAGCTCTGACCCTCCAGATTTGCCTAGGCAGCCTTAGTCAGCCTCACCTGGAGACTCTAGATCCAGGTTCAGATGTGTAAGCACATCTGGCTAATACCAGCAAGCTGGAGCAGGGAAACAAAGATGGAAAGTGATAGAGGAACATCTTAAGGTCCTATACTTCAGCAAGGATGACCAAACCACCCCAGGGTATCAAGTGACCAGCCAGATTCTGCCCAAACCATTCTACTGTCAACTCTCCATGAACATGCACTGAGAGGCAAGCTGGAGTTTATTAGTTCTTACCCTCTACACATCTTCAGCTGGGCGGTCCAAACATTCTCAGAACCCTTCTCAGAATGTTCTTTAATATACAAAATATACAGGATTACAGGGGAAAGCAATAATACAGTAATATCCTTCTATCTTCAGATACTTTAGGAGTCTATGAACTCCAAGTCAAGGTCCCTCCTCCACAAGGCTGATGGTCTTGATGGAGGGGGAGAAGATGGTTCTGGAGGACAGGCACCTCCCGATTATTCCCGGCCTAAATGTTTAAAGATAGTAACATCAAGCTTACCAACTGCAGTCTTTCTCAAAGCATTTTCCTTATTTCTTCCCTTTCTCCCTTCTTTCTTCCCTCCCTTCCTATCTGTACTGGGGACTGAACCCTGGACTTTCATACTATGCTACCTTCCCAACCCTATTTATTACTATTTACTTTTACTTTTGAGACAGAGCGTCACTAAGTTACTATGCTGAGCTTCAGCTTGTGACCCTCCTGCTGCTGCCTCTTAGTTGTGGGGACCACAGGTGTGTATCAGCATAGCAGGCTCAAAGGACTCCTGTTCATTCACTTGATTCTCACAATTTCCTGGCAGGGAAAAAAAAAGTGCTCTTCACAAAAAAAGACAAACAGCAGGAGTACTGTGAAGTCACCTAAGCCTAGTAATATTTAACGGGGATAAGCCTGACACCGCTGAAGATATTTTGGTACTTTTAAGGGTGATGGGAATGTGTACTACTGTTATCTAGTGGGTAGAAGCCACTAGGTAAGTTATCAAACATGCTACATAATACAAAAGTGACTCAAAATGCCAACAATATCACTGAGAACCCTGCTTAGCCTGATGGAGGACAAAGCAAGGCTCAGCAAGATGAACTGACTTTGTCCAAGGGTGGTAAAATACGTGAACTCACAGACCAAAGCTTAATTATTTCCTCTGTGCCAAGAGGGTATCTGTTGTTGTTTAGGTTCACAGTAGGCCACTCTGCCTGCTGTGAGCACAGGGTACAGGGAAGGGCATAGGACAGGAAAATACAAGACCCAGGTGACTCAAGAGCAGGAGTTTGGTGCTGCAGAGTTGCACCACATGAGGCTTCCTGGATATTTATAGTTATCCAGCTCCGAAGATTTCCATCCTCATCCCAGGTACTAAAAAACACAGCACAAAGGAAGGACACCCAAAGACGATGTATGGACTGGCATGAGAGGGAAGAAGCTGCTTCCCAAACTTGCAGTCACCCTAAACTTCTAAGTATGGTTGGCTTCATTTATTTAAAACAGCCTCTTGATTTGTACCTATGATAAATTACATGTCTGTAGGTCTATGCACATATGTGTGGGTGTGTATGCAGAAATATTTTTTTAAAGCTTTAATAATAAAACAAACAAACAAAAAAAACTCTTGCCTCAGTGTTTAAAACCATGAATCTGAGCCAGGTGTAGTAGCACACACCTATAATTCCAGCACTCGGGAGGTCGAGGCAGGAAAATCACTGCAAGTTTGAGGCCACCCTGGGCTATGTAGAATTCCAGGCCAGCCTGAACTAAATGCCAAGGCTCTGTCTCCAAAAACAAAAAATCAAAAAAAGCCTGTGAATCTGAAGATACTTTAATTGAAGAAAACAGTCCTCCAGAAGTTCCCTATTGAGGTTTAGAGCATTTAGGCAAAGCTATCTGACTCAACAAGCTAAAAAAACCTAATTTTAGTTTAGTTTTTATAAAGCATGAACTTGCTTTGAAATATGGTCCAGATTTTGGGGAAGAGTCTATAATCTTTTAAAAAACTTGACAGACCTTTTCCCCAAACTCAGCACTATCACTTCATAGGAATTTCTTCTCTCCCACACATGCCACTTCTTCTCCCATGAACTCTGTTCTTTATCTTCAGTGTGGACAGTCTGCCTGCTTCTCAAAATGAGTAAAATCAATCCTGCTCAGCTGAGAGACACTGGCTGACAGTAACCTGCAGTCATACAAATTGTTTTTTGCTGCTACATTATTTTAGGCCAACAGAACATCTGTGAAAATTCATACTATTTTCATATATTTAGACTATTTCTAGTCTGCTCACATGAGTCTCTTATAATTCAAAACAAAAGAATTATCATATGCTAAATACCACATAAATACCATGTACATTTATTCATGTCAAAGAGTAGTCACAAGGCACTTCCAACCTTTCACAGGTGGGCATCTAATTACAGCAAATTCATTAGGGGTATGAATTAAAACATTTCCCCAAAGCACAATATATCGTCTTTTATCCCCTATTATTTATGAAATTTTCCACATACACATGAAAGGTGAATTAGATTCTGTAGTTAACATCTTACTATAGTAAGAAAAATTCTTCTAAATTATAATTTATAAAGTCATACCCCAAGGATCAAAAGTAGCATTTCCTGTTTACAGTAATGAAGGTCTAGTTCTGTGTTAAAAATAGGGGAGAAAATTTTAACTTTACCAAAGGATTCACCACAAAATTCTCGTAAAAATAAATTGGGCATTTTCTACACTCAGAAAAAAAAGAGAAAACGTTCTCACTTTTCAAAAAGAAAAAAAAACAAAAAAAACAAAGTAAGAAATGAAACATTAATACCATTAAAAAACAATATGAAATGGCCTAGACACTGACAAAAAAGTTTTCGTTAGGGAAGCAGCATTTGGACAATAGAGAATAATTTCCAACTATGGACACCATCCAATGTGCACTGCTCCCTCGCACCAAATATGCCTCACAGTGTTTCAGAAATTCTAACTGGATCCAGTTCTACCACAGCTGAGTCTGTAGCAGAAAACACACAGGCAATGAAACAATCCCTGTAACAGAACAGGGTGCCCAGCCCAATTAAAACTGGAAGCAACAATTTAACATTTTATCCTGTTTTTGTTTAAGATGAAAGGAAGCCAATTAAGTGATCACACCTGACAAATCTGATAGCACTAACAGCCAGTTGTTTACAATGCTCTCTTCATATTTCTAAGACAAGAAGCCATGAAACATTCTCCCAACAGAGGCACAGAGCAGGCACTGGCTTGTCCAGTAGCAGGGAATTAAGACCCAATCATATGGTTATCATACATACAGTAATCATGCTCTCAAACAGCAATAAATACAAGAAGAATAATTCTTTAAAAATTATGATATATTGGCTAAAGCTTAAAGTTTTGCTAGTAATTGAGATGCACGCCAAAGAAAAAATTGAATTGCCGGGCCTCTGCTAAGGTCTGGAGCACGCAGCAGCTGTGGACAATGTAATCACCACATTTCCCGGTTCTCAACTGCCAGGCTCCCAGGGGCAAGGATGGAAGGAAAACCAGGAACGAGAAGCAACTGTCTTTGCTGGAGTTTTCCTACTGCATTGGTCACTCTAGCAGGCTCAGTTTCCACTGTGTTCTTCCATCCATCTTTGGTGGTATGAAAAGCTCAGCATCTTTAAAAAAGAAGGGAAATTATGATTAGACATGTGTCTTGCTGGCGAGAGCCGGGGCAGTAACTCAATGACAAACCAAGTAGGTGACTAGGTTTTGCAGCTACAAGATGACCATCACACTGAGAGTTCCTGTGCTTCCTACTCTTGTAACTTCTGAGTCAGATCTATAGTCCCCGCCCAGAAAGGAGAGGCTGCACTGAACTCCAACCATGCTCACTAAGCGACTCAAAGTAGAGGAACACTCCATTTCAGCTGGAAAGGGCTGGCAGTTAGATACATGCAGAATATATTCATTAAAATTCACTAAATTACATATCTAAGGTCTATGCATTTTACTATATGCTAAATTTATTTCGATTTTTTTAAAAGGTAAAAACAATGTATTTGCACTACAAATGAATGGACAGAAAATGCTCTAGATGAAATTCTACAAACACAATGGTTAGTAAAGATGCCTCTTGCTGGGGATTTAGCTCAGTGGCATAAGCATCTGCCTGGCAAGCACGAGGTCATGAGTTCGGTCCCAAGTAAAATAAAATAAAATAAGCCTCTTAAAAAAAAGTAGTGCTGAGGGAATATGGGAGAAAAATTCTGTGTCTGTAAGCTAAAACTTCTAGGCAGTCTTTCCATTAAAGTTGTGGAGTCCCTAACTAGGAATTATATAAAGGAAGCAGATATATGAAAAAGTATGTATAAATACAGATTTTTTTTTTTTTTTTTTTTTTTGGTACCAGGGATCGAACTCACGAGCTTATACCTGCCAGACAAGCACTTTTGCCTCTGAGTTAAATCCCTGGCCAAGATGTTCTTTCTTGGCATTCTTTATGATAATTAAACTTTCAGTATGTATATGGTGTACAGATATTTAAAAAAACAATTTTTAAAGACTAACAATATGAGCAAAAATCCTCAAAGCTTTTTTAGTATATGTGCTGCCAAAGTGAGCACAAGAAAGGTTTTTTTAAATCATGATTTTCATATTATACACAAGTACATGTATATGTACACATGTATACTACATACTCAAATATTAATTTTCTTTGACAAACTTTACATAACATTTTCTGACTGTTACCAGTTTTTATAGTTATGTATGAGATTAGCTACTCTTACTGCCATCTCCTCCCACGCTCCTGCTAAGCAAAACAAAACAAAACAAAAAGATTATATAGACAAAAGCCCACAACAGATTTGGTTATATAAGAACACTGACACTAGAAAAAGACTACAGAAGTAAATTCATTGTCAACAAGGGCTTTAAAATTCCACAGTTGTTATTATAAGAAACAAGTTATGGAAATACTCTTTTAAAAATTAGATTTAAAATAAAAATAAATAAAAATTACACACAACTACAATTATATTTGAGTCCAAACTTAAGTAGGAATAAATACCAACTACGAATTTTTGGTGAGAAAGTAATTATCCTGAAAAACTGTATGGCATTAGCATGTGACACCTTTCACATTTCCATGTCTGAATTTTGTAGTACAAAAAAGTCATTTTTATACAAATATTTTGACAGCTTTTCAACTTTTCCAAGGAACTCTCAATCTTTAAAATCGTTTGAAGCACTTATTTTGTTAACTACTGATTCCAATGAAGCGAATTCAGCTCCAAATCAAGCATTTTTCTTATCAGCTTAATGAATTTTACAAAAACCTACATTTTTGCAAGACTCATAACCAGTCTGCATGATACTGAATTGCACTCAAGCATGAACAGTCCTAGCAAATGGCCCATCCTGTTGCTGATCCTGCTAAGGGATGGCAGTGTCTGCCTAACCCCCTAGCCAGGGAAGGGTAGCTGAGGAACATTTCAATGGAGCTCATCTTTTGAGTAGTACTAATGCCAATTTTTAAACAATGAGAACCTGCTTTTTGCTGTACAATCTAGCCATAAGACACTGATAATAAGCACTCAGATGAGGGATCCTCAAGTATTACAGTCTTTAAGGTTTAGATGGAAATGATTTTTGACAAGAAGCCATTACAGCAGGGAAAGATGTAACTGAACCTGTCTTGAAGGTCATCATCAGGCCAGCAACAAAGAGCATGAAAGGTAGGGATCTAACAACAAACAAAACAACTGCCAAACTGCCACAGGTCCACAATGAATTTTTAGTATCTCAGAAATAAATGTACGAACTGAAATTGATACCAAAAGAGCTAGCCAAACTCCGGAGGAAGGGCCCTAAGGCCATAACAGCTACTGTGAGATGAATTTAGTTGCGATGGAACCAATTCAATCTGTTAAACTTAATTTTAAATTCCAAATGTCACCCAAATGCTATTACAGTGCAGTATTTAAATGAAAAAATTTCAGAATGTTGCCTATCACATGCTAGAAAATGTAAAAAATGGCCATAAAACTGCCAATTATTTTACAAGGTATCACTAACTTTTTAAAGCCAAGAGAGGCAGTGTGCTTGAGCAACCAACCTGAAGAGCAAATACCGAGGTGCCAAATTCATGTCCAAAGTGTTAACCAACTTTTAAAACAAAGGCTTTAATAACTACTGCTCAAACTTTTAGGAACATGTAATCTAATTATGAACCAACAAACGTTTAACTAAGCAGAAATTTCAGCGAGGCATTGTGGCACATGCCTGTAGTCCTAGCATTTGGGAGGCTGAGGCAAGAGGCTGGGAGTTCAAGGCCAGCCTGAGCTACAAAGTGAATTCAACACCAGCCTGAACTGCATAGTGAAACCTTCTCTCAAAAAGACAAAAAAGAAAATTCAGATAAAATTCTGATAGTCTTTGTAGTTGCCTTCAAGTTACACTGTCAATCATAAAGGTGATAAAAAGGTCTAAGTCATAAACAATGATTATGAAAATGTCCCTAAGATCTAATGCATAACTGCCAAGAGCCAAGAATGATTGATAAGAATTTTCTAAATGTATGTGTAAATACAGACCTTTCAGACTCAAACTGTGATGTGTATGGTATGGGCAAGTGCGTGCCAGTTTCACTAAAAAAATTAACTATACACTTTAATGTCACTTTGCATTTTCACCTATCAGACCTCCACTATTAGAAGCATCAAATTTACCTACTAAAGATAAAGTCTCAGAATTGAGGAAGAATCATAGTTAATATCCAATCACTCTTTATACTGCTAACATTGTCAATACTCATAGATATTCCTTCTGCTCAGTACCCACATCATTTATTTATAGGGAAAAGATACTAACCAATAACAGGAACTGAAGTCTTCTGCTGTTGATAAGAAGCCATGATACTATTTGCAGTAGAATTGGGACCAAGGCCCTAAGGAGAAAATAGTCTGTTAGCAATGATTGTCTTATACTTTTGATGACTGTACAAATCAAAGGCCAAATCTCTAGACAGCAGTAAATACCTAGCCATTTTTATTTTGGTACCAGGGATCAAACCAAAGATCACACTGCTACTAAACTATTAAATCCCCATCTCCATCCTTTCGATTTTGAGATACTCTTGCTAATTGGCATGAACTTGCAATCCTCCTGCCTCGGCCTCCCACGCAGGTAGAACTATCGGCACCCATAACAGTGTATGGCCCAGCCTATCATTTCTAATAGTGGGATACTGATGTTAATTCTCTTTCCTATATAATTTTAATCATCACTTTCTAGAGCTTCAACTCAGAACTCTAAACTTCCTTTCTCAATGTCAGTGTGAGGTCCTACAATGATATATGCCTGGCTTTTTCCAAATGAGCAAGCCAGAGAAAATAAAAGACACCATAGAACACACAGAGTATCAATTATATTCAGAGTTGTGGAAAGTCATTTTCATATTAAATATAAATTTGTATGCCTCACACCTGCAGTGCAAACTCTACAGCTGTGTGAAAGGTAAAGCACAAAACTTTATTGGGGTTCTGTGCCTGCAGCAGGCCTCTAGGCAGAGGCCAATCCCCTCACTTGCCCTCACACATCTTTGCAAGCAGCCCCAGGTGGAGCATTCTTAACAGTAATGCCATACAGCAAAAGCATGGGATCTTAAGCATACCCCATTACTATACTCTGCCAACCGAAACCAACCACAATTTTCTTGGTCACTGTACCTAGAAGATTCATGAAGTTGGACCTTAGTTGTTCATATGATGCAAAAAGAAGAGAGGAGGCGAGGCATTCTACACTATTAGCTTCAACACCACTGCAGCTCTAAACAGGATGAGCACATTTCTTCTAAGAAATACCTATTATAGTAAATTTAAGCATTTGAAGGGTCTTGATTCTTGGTTGCTTTTCTCTCTATTGTTTGCAAAGTGTTTCTACATCTACCTACCCTCTTATCTAACCATCAAAACATTCCAAGGAGGCATCCAGTGGAAGCCTCCCCATTTCTGAGACTTAGTGAGCTGATGTGAGATATTACAAATTCTGTCTCTAAGCCCCAGACCCCAAAGCCACTCTTCTATACCAGCACGTGAGGCTGGGGCTGCGGCTGATTCCTATTTGTCGGCTGACTCCTGTTACGTCCCACCAATAAGAGACAGCAGAGGGTGCAAGGCTGGAGGAAGAAGGGACCTGTGCTCTTTAACCCCAGCATCTGCTCTTCATTTCACTTTTCATTTATTTCTGTACACTTAACACCAGCTTCATCATGCACCCCAGATTTCAGAACCAGCAGACTGGTACCTTCTCCTCAGAAAGTCAAGAGCCCCTCTTAAGAGGCCCACCTCCAAGCCTCCAAACTGTAATAATCACAAACACTTCCCATGTTCCTTCAGCCAGAGCTGAGAACTTATTTTTTTTCTCTTCCTCTCTGTGTCCCATTTTTGCCTTTTCAGTGCCCAGGTGCCTGCTTACTCAATCCGTGTATTGAATTCAGTGTAAGCAAACAGCTGTGGCTCTGCCTCCTTTGAGGACACCAGCCTTATTGAATGCAAAGCACAATGCTTCACAACAGACCTCAAGGGGCGAGAGAGCGAGCAGAGGTATAGGGCACCAAGCTGTCACTGTCCCATCTGTGATTTCTGAATTAGAAGTGACAGGTCAACTCTGATCCTCGCTTTCCCTTCCCCACCCTCCACCCCCATGGAAGACTTTCTCACTGTCTCCGCACCAGTGCAGACAGGGAAGGTTCACTTGAGATTCGGGCAGTCCAAAGAAGAGACACACAGCTGCGGGCTGAATTAGATGTCTTTATTCTCAGGTGCTGCTCAGCTGCAGTCACTCATGCGGCAGCCCTCAGGCCCCTCACCCATGTGTGTAGCCACTGAGCCATAGTCTGTGGTCCAGCTGCTCCTGTGGTCCCCAGCCACTGTACACTCACAACAGTCCTCAGTTCCCCACCCAGCCAGTCCTTGTGGCAATCTGGCTATACACAGGAACCTACATGGTAGTGGTCATGTGCCCTGACCTTGACTGTATCAGTCATTTACACCAGGGGATCGGGAAGCGCACCTGCCTCGGAGTCCACTGACTCTTGACGTACTATCCACAGGAAATCACACACTCACACCCAAACCCGAGACCAGACATCTTAGGCTTCATTTTCCATTATACTCATCTGCTCTAGGTCAGTTACTCTATCTAAAAAAGTAAAGACAACACCCTACTTAACCTACACCAAACTCCATTAGCCACTGTATAGGCAAATAAAAAACAATCTTACTAATGGTTTAAACACAAACCAAATGGCAAATGATGTTTTAAGAACAAGAATTTTTTTGCTTTTACTTTTAGGGAAGTGTGAATACAACAATCTGAGAAAATGGGGTGGAAAAAGGCACTGTCTTTGAGAAAACTCACAGATATGGCTGAATTGTGCTGGTAGGTAAGAATCCAAATTTCCGGAAGTGATGTTTCCATCAGCTGCAAAGTACCCTCAAAGGCCTCCTGTAATTCCCTTCCTTGCTCATCAAATCCAAAGAGAAAGAGTGTCTTTAAAATACAGTGTATTTCATCTAGAAAGGAGAAATTTGGGAGTGCTTAAATTGTGTCTCCAGACCCATTGACAGAATCATGCCTTAGTTTTTTCCTTGCAAAAACACTACCGTTGGTTTCCCAATTTCTTCTTTCCAAATGCTGCAGTAATTCAACATATCTACTATGACAGGAACAACACACTGGGAACAACCAGAAAGCAGTACTGCCTCATCTTTTACCCTCACTGAAGTGCTATTTTTCACAGTTGAGTTAGGTGGATGTCAAGTGGAGGAAGGCTTCCAGGTTGCCAGCTGAGGACTGTTTCAACAGTGAGCAGTGAAAGGGCCCTTCTTGGTGAAAATTTTGTTCTTTCACCAAATTGAAAAAACTGTATCTCTCTAACTCCACCCATCTGTGATGCCCATTTAAGACTTTCTGTAGTCAGTCATCAGAATTGACTGAAAACATACCTTTCAGTTTTTCCGTGCTTTGTACCACTTCATTTAATGCCTCCAAAAGGGCCAGGTCCTCCAATGGACTCCCTTCTTTGAGGCTATGTTTCTTTCGCTCTGCTTTGCGGCGGTTCTTAGAAGATCTCCTGTCGGGAATTAGAGAAGTGCTTTAAAAGGTGCCTTCCCTGTGCCGAGAAAACAAAAAATGAATGTACATGTACTTGTTGGCCACCAACGTTCTGGGAAACCAGTTCACAAATAGTACTTACTGGTAGGGGGTTTTGGGGGTAATGAGGTGTTAAAACTGTGTATAACAAAGAGACAGTGTGAGAGTGTGTGTGTGTGTGTGTGTGTGTGTGTGTGTGTCTGCATCTGTGTTTGTAAATCCTACAAGCAGGAAATAATAAGGAAAACTTCAAGTGTAATTTTTTTCCCTTGATGTTTTAATTAAAATAGAGTCAAGTGAGGTTGTATCTATTAATATCCTGGAACAATGAACATAACAACCAACTTGAATTTCATAACAAACCAACTACAAGTGAAACACGATAAAATTTAAATATATACAGACATGCCAGATTAAATATGAATAAAATGTATATGAATCGCATTGTTTTCTCCTTCTGAGGTCTTTAATCTTGCTACTTGTTTACTGGCACCTTTTCAACTCAACTCTTAGAAGTCCAAGTCTCGCTGCCTTTATTACAGTTTCTGATCACCTTAAAAACTTCACAGACACTCCTACAACACAGTTCAGTTTAAATAGATGATCTTGGATTGTTTTATGTCTCCCAGCCTCTTAGAGTCCAAAACCTCCTTGTAAGTTTTAGTAACATTTACTGCACTTGCATTTACAACATATGGATATTTAATAGGCATTTCTGGCAAACTGCTACACTAGGTAAACGTGTGATGATTATTTTATATCTATCTCTTCCTATACTTATCCTTTCCTATCTTGATTTCAAGGTGAAGACGACTGAGTTCTTTTTTCTTTAAAATTTTTATTTCTTTCAGTGCCTATAGTTTATAGTCATTTAGCATTTGTGCAATTAGTAAAGACAGATGACTACCCAAGAGAAGTGCCTCACAGTAATATCCAGTCTAATCTCAAAGCTGTGCTGGGAAAATTCTTGCAAAACTTCCACGTGGCCTTGAAGAATACCTTCCCCATTCCCACTGTATTGTCCTAGAAGTAATCAGCCTTTCTATGCTTCTATTCTCTCCATTTACCCAGTGGACAATCAATGTGTCGAACAGAACTGATACATACGCTGATATCCTGGAGTTACTATGGGAGTATCTGCCACTCATTTCACTGCCATTCACAATACTGCTAGTTTCAGAGAAGAGGTCTGACTCTTGGCCATGGGGCACTTCATCATCTAGAAAAGAGGCACATGCAAACACTATTCTGCTTCAGTGAGATAAGTGGACTACAGTCAGCCAAGACATAAGAATAGATGAAAATTATTACAAAGTTGATCTCAAGACTAGTGAGATAGGGCCAGAGATTTAGCTTAGCGGCATAAGTGCCTGCCTTGCAAGCGCAAGGTCATGAGTTCGATTCCTGGTACAATAAAAAAAAAAAGACTAATAAGATAACATTAAATATAGTCAATACTACAGTTTACCACATCTCTCCTCCCTCAGCCCTCCCCTTCTGTCACAAGTGAGAAAACTCATCTTGTTAAACACAGAAGCAGTCACCACTCTGGTTGGATGGCAAGAGGTGGGACTATTTGACAAAGCTCTTCTAATTTATGCTCAGTGCTGATGCCAAGCCCTTCTCGAGCACACAGACAGCCCTAAAGGGGGTCTCAGAGTTTACCATGGCACAGTAGTCAAATCACAGGAGGAACAATGCAAGTCTCAATACAGTTTGTCCCCACTTAACAGCTCAGGTTGAGGCTTCAGTCCTCAGTGAGACAACACTGAGAGAAGTGATGGACCTTTAAATGCTGATGAAGTTAGGAGAGATTAATGCTTCCAGGGGAGGAAGTTCTTCCAGACCCTGCCTGGCTGCTGAGAGACTGGGCTGTTTAGCGGGGCTGTTGTCTCTCTCACTCTCTGACTGGCTCCCACCTGCCTTTCTGTCATGAGAACCTCACAAAAAGCTGAGCAAATGGGCACCATGCTCTTGTACCCTAGAACCCTTAGTCAAAAAAGCCTCTTTTCTTTCCAAAGTACCCAGTCTCAGTTATTCTGTTACAGCAATAGGAAACAGATACCAAGCAGCTAAGACCATGCGTGGGGTGCCAACATCCCATCCCACAGTCTCGACGAGCCCTGTAACAGCACTCACCCAGATTCACCGGCTGTGCTTGCTCCTTTAGCTCACGAACCACCAGCAAGCGCTTTTTATGGCGACTGAATGTAGTAGTTTGAGAATCCAAAAATGCCATGTAATTTTTCTGAGCTGGGATACAGAATGGAAGATAATTTGATTGTGATGCTTAAGCAGAGAGAAAAAACTAAGGGAGGAGGTTGTGGGGACAAATTAAAATTCAAAAAAGGGAAAGATGTGTCCTTTATTAATGAACTGAAGAATAAAATTCTAGGTATCAGAGTTCATCAACATTATCCTAGAATGCTCTCCATTGGTGAGGAATGGAAGCATGCACAGTAATCCTAGAATTTAGGAAGGTGAGACAGGAGGATCAAGAAATCAAGGCCAGCCTGGCCTACACAGTAAGACTCTGTCTTAACAAAACTTCATCATTCTATGACTTAACTAATGAAATCACCTGAACGAAGGCTTGGTATCTAACCCCAGAAAAAACTGGCATATGAAGGGGTGCAAAGGAAGCTGTTAGTAAAAACAAAGTTACTTAGGCGTTTCTTTTTAAACAGCCATCAAAACGCCCATGGATATAAAACAGATGAACAAAATGATTCCTGAAAATTATTGTCAAGTGCAAAAAAATGACCCTGGAATACATGAAAAAACAAAACAAAACAAAATGGCACTAAGAACGTATTTTATTAATAGGTATTAGAATTATTAGCATTTTTTCTAGGTTCTCATTAGGAGCTGGCTACATGAATTGTAGGTTTAGGAAAGACACTTTAGTTAGGAAGAACTAAAGTGAATAATACAAAAAAAAAAGTATGCATGCAACAGTTTTAATTAGGATGGGGGAGAAAAGGGAAGGATAAGAATGTAAATAAATGTGAAAGTCAAGAAGGCCAGACAATACATAAAAGCAACCCTTGCTTCCTCAGAATTCAGAAGATCAAATGGATATTCTGCTTTTGTTTTGCTTTTAAGGAGTCCCAGTGACTACCAGACTATTCTACAACCGGTAAATAGTCAATGGTTTTCTAGGAACTATCAGTTTCATTTGCAAAGGTTCTAACTTTAATTTTGAAAACATTCAAGCCTCCTATGCACAAATATATATTTAATGTTACTTCTGTGGAAATATTTGAATTTCACCTGTAGACATGATCTGCCTTCATTCCCAAATGCAGGCAGTTTTCTTTTCTTTTTGTACCATTGTGGATTGAACCCAAGGCCTTGCACATTTTCGGCGTTAAACCAAGAAGACATTCCCAGCCTGCCAGCCTGCCAGCCAGTCTGTCTGTCTATCTATCCATGTACCCTTTTTATTTCTGACACTGGGTCTTGCTCGAGTACCCAGGCTGGCCTTGAACCTGTGCTCTTCCTGCGTTAGCCTTGCAACTAGCTGGGATTACAGGCATTCATTACCTGGTTCAACATTGATCTCTTAAGAATAATAAGGACATTGTATTACATAACCACAATAGTTATTAAACGCAGGAAATTTATGATTGATATTTTTTCTAATGTAGTTCACAAACTATTCTCATAAATAAAGGTTCATTCCTCTTCCTCAAACTGTGCCACTTCACAGCAGCCTATAGGTATGAGCACCAGACAATGATATGGTGGCAGTCTGCCCTGCACGGGACAGTGTCAGCGATGCAGGCAGATGGGCCCGTCCTAAAGCCAAGCCTATGCATTACAAAGATTCTCAGTCATACTTTGTCACGGGGTACAAACATTCATATCTTCTATATGTAACCAATGTAAAGTTCAGCATATCTAACAAATCAAGACTGAGTCTATATAACATACTATTGAAGAATGGAAACCACACAGAGTGTCCTCTCCCACATAGCTCTTCTCTCCTTCTCTGCACAGCTAATGAGGGATACTATCCAAATTGTAACCCCTACCTTCTAAAATGGAAGGTTTTATGTTGGTTTCTATGATGTCCAGTCTGTTATATTTGTATACCTAAGAAGAAAAAAACACAGTAGTTTTAAGCAGGAAAACTAGATACTGGAGAGTTAAAATACTTGGAAATAAATGGATCACTTTCAGAAGTGAGCAGGAGAGTTCTCCTGAGAACATGGTGGACAAATTACAGCAGCCACGGAGGCTCTCTGAGATTACCAGTTTAGAATCCAGGAGCGGTGCCGTGTGAGGAGTCCTACGTGAGGGGAGATGTACCCTGCTGACCCAGGAACGAACTAAGCTGAGAGAAACCAACTGGAAATGCAATCCTGATGCTATGACAGGAACAGATAAAATCTCAGTGTGGAACCTGAATCCCGTGCCATTGGAAGCCGTGATTTGAATTTCCTGCCGCCAATACTGCATCCCAATCCGCATGGCAGGGTGAGAGACGTGCGAAAGCTCTAAGAGCTGGAATCGGTGAACCAAATGGCGTTGAGAGCGGGACTGGCAGGGAGCCCTGCATCGACCTGTGGTGAGTGAGAGAAATGGGGACCCTTTCATAGACTAGGAGGCTCCAGCAGAGGACATTCTGGGAACGAGCAGACTAGCCAGAACACAGCCCTGCAGTGACTTTAGTCGCCTATTCCCCTCTCAAGTGGAAGTGGTGGGGAGCGCTTGGCCTGGTGACGCTGCGGACTAAGATCCAGTAGGCTAGCCCAAATCAGGTCCCTGCGCCTGGCGGTACACCCTAGCAGTGAAGCATTCAGTAGGTTGAACTGGAGGGGAGGGCCCAGCAGAGGCTGCCCAGGTCTGTGTCTCCCTCGTACACTTGCAGTGGGTGGGAACACCTAGCCGGTGGATTCAAACAAACTGTAACAGACAAAGAGGGAAAAAAAAAAAACTGGGCCTCCTACATACGCTTGTATGGAAGGAACAAAAATATGGGAAAAGGGAGCAACAAGAAAGGGTCCTCAGTCCCCAATCCTGAGAACACTGATGCAGGAAAGGAAAATGCAAAAGAGAATGAAGACAGAAAACATGCAATATCAGACATGGCACCTATAGACATAAAGCGGTATCTCCGGAGCCTCATAGACGAGTTCAAAAATGAAGTATCTAATGAAATAAAGCAAGAAATAAGTAGAATAGTTAGAGAAATGCTAAGCACCGCCCAAGAAAAAACAGATGGTAAAATGGAACAACAGAAAAAAAGGGGAGAATTGTTTGATGGAGAAAATAGAGAAAATATAGAATACGTGAAGCAGGTTCAAATAGATTATCAGGAAACTAAAAACTCTATTGAAAGCTGGCATAACAGCTTGAAAGAAACTAAGGATAGATTATCAGAACTGGAGGACAGATTTGTAAGGTGGGAGCATGAAATGAAAAACTTCTTAAAAATAACAAGAAAACAAACAGCAATAACACAAAGGCTAGAAGATGATAAAAGGATCTATAACTTAAGAATTAAGAACATAAAAGAAGAAATAAGGACTCAAACAAATGAACTACAAAAGCTATTCACAGAAATAATCCAGGAGAATTTCCCTAATTTAGCAAAAGGTAAAGATACTCAGATGTATGAAGCATACAGGACCCCAGCCACCTACAACCCAAACAGAGCTACACCCGGGCATATAATAATCAAAATTCCAGAAATCCAATATAAGAACAGAATATTAAAAGCCGTCAAAGACAAGAAACAGATCACTTACAAGGGAACACCCATCAGAATTACAGCAGACTTCTCGGCATAAACCATCAAATCACGAAGAATGTGGGGGAAAATAATTCAAGCTTTGAAAGATAATAACCTCCAGCCAAGATTGACATATCCTGCACAACTGTCCCTAGAAATTGATGGAAAAACAAGGTGCTTCCAGGATAAAGAGGAACTGGGGGAATTTGCTATCACCAATTCAACTCTACAGATTTTACCGCAGGATATTCTAAAAATGAAAAATACCAAGATTCCAGAAATAGTGGCAGAGTGGCCACAATGAATGGAGCAGAAAGCGAAATGAAGAGGACAAACTGACAACTAATGACAGAAAAAGAGCTCAACAGAAATGAGGCAGAGAAGGTTGGATGGTAGAAACAGCCATTTTGGAGAAAACAAGACATCATAAGAGGTAGTGCTGATTTAATATCCTCTTGTTTTGAAGTCCCATCAAGCTTTTGTTCTTCTGTCTCCATCAGTTTTAACGTGTTGTATCTTATTGGATTTTATTATATGTGATAATATAAACAAAAACTTTTATAGACAAGGAGATTATACAGAAACCATTGTTCATTTTCTGTTAGCTGATTCTAAATGCCCTGAAATACTGTCATTCTCTTGAATGGTTTCATGTTGTCTTGATACATTTGATGCTACAGTATACGAAGTTATAACCAAAGATTTTAAGGGAAGAGACACTATGGTAATTACTATTATGTCGAGATTATCTTGTGGTAAAACACTATTTTGCTTAAATGACTATGTTTTGACCTGTGCTGTTTTGTTGTTGTGCCCTCTTTTTTATCTCAATCTCCTTTTTATTATCTACTTTTTCATTTTTATCCTTTATTTAAGGGAAAAATAAATAAAAAATAGCAGGATATATTATAGTAACCCACTTTGATTTCCTATTAACTTGATTTGAAACTCTGTATTGCTCTCACCATCTTGTTTTGACTGATTTTCCTCTATTCTGTTATGCTTGATAGTACCAAGTTTGAAAGTATAGGCAACAACTATGAAGACAATAAGATTCATTGTGATGCCCATTCTGGTTGACTATTATCTTCTTTTGAAGTCCTCTAATGTCTCCAATGTTTTGGTTTTATTGGTCTTATTCTTTACTGTTTTGTTCAATTTTATTATAACTAATGATTTAGGCAATTCTTCTTAAGATAGCAAGAGGCAGTATGGTAACCATTGTTGATCACCTTGTATTTTGTTTTTACATTATGTATTATGTCCATCCTTTTGATTTGACTGACTCTGTCCTGGTATGTCACATTTGGTTTTACTTTCTTCAAAAAAAAAAAAAAAAAAGTAATAAGAACTGTGGGAGTAATAAAACACAAAATGTGTTAATTGTCATTGTACAAAAGAAAGGAAAAGAAAGTTCTCTAAAAGATATAACTGCATATATATTTAAGTGTATATGATAGATAACCATATTACTGAGTTTTGTTGGATCATTGAACAAAACTGTTTGCATTCTCACTGTTTGAAAGTCCCCTCTATATGCTTTAATTTTGTAACTTCAACAACTATTTCTAAGATGACAATATGTAATTAACTAGTGATTTCCTACTGTTTATTTTTTCTGAAACTTGTACCCTTTTCTCTGTAATTTGTACCCTTTTTCTGTTTTTTTTTTCTTTTTTCTCCTTAAATGAAATTAAAAAAAAAAAAAAAAAAAGTGAGCAGGATACCTTCCTGAGGAGCAGGTCTTATATAAGGAAGTCAAAGAAATTCTACTTATTTCAGTAAAAAAGCAATAATATTTCATAAATGGAGAGTGAATTCAAACATTATCAAGGATACAACGGTTTTAAATCATTACTAAGACCATTACTTAGTTTACAACCTAAACTACTTGGACTTAGTTTCATTCATTCAGAAGACAAAGTTTGCAGTTGAACTTGTCTCCTTTGCATTCTCTTTGCTTAGCACTGACCAAAAGGAGGATTTAAAACTCTCCTACCAGTCTGAGAGCTTCTTCCCAGGCAGCTCCCTCTAACAGCAAGAGCACAGCTTCTTCATAATCCTACAAGGGAACAGCAAGCAAGGGGCAGGTGAGTGGAGCAAACACATCAGACGCAGTCATTGCCTGCTACAAACGAACACAGGGCGCCTCTGCGGCCAGCCTAAGCCCTACAGTTCCCATTCTTGGCTCTGAGCTGGCCTAACATATTCTGATCGTAATCTCCATAAACACTGATACAAAAGCCACAGCAGGGTGCTATCCTGAAGTGATGACAAAACACAAGCTCAAGTATTATTATTATCTCTTTAATTCCTAAGCATTCAAACCATTATGTACATTCACCAGAAATACCTATTTCTCCAGTTTCACTATCAAGCTTGATTCAGTGGATTCAGGTAGGGTCTAGAACTGTGAACCTGAAACATGGCAATCTAGAATATTATCTTCTAAGGCTTTTTGCTCTTTTTAACATGCTTCTTTACAAGCATGTTTCTAGTTTTTTGAAAAACTAGAAAACTGAAAAATAATCAGTTATGGTGCACATTTTTTTCATGTACTTACTGACTTTTTCTACACTTTTAGACAGGGTCTCACTATGTAGTTCAGACTAACCTTGAACTCACTTTGTAGCTCAGGCTGGCCTTGAACGCACAGCAATCCTCCTGTCTCAACCTCCTGAGTGCTAGGATAAAAGCATGCACCACTACACCCGACTTCCTTTGCTCTTTTTAAATGGCTTTGTTTTGTGTTGAGTTATATGAGTTCTTTATATATTCTCGATTTATGAATACTATATTTCATTCCATTCTATATACTTTCTTTTTAATATTCTTGATAATCTTCTTGACATATAACATTTTTAATGTTTATAAAGCCCAATTTACAAGTTTTTTCATTTTTTTATGTGTTCGGTGTTAATTCTAAGAATTCATGGCCAAATCCAAAGTCATGAGGTTTTACTTTTGTATTGTGTTCTATCAGTTTGATAATTTTAGTTCTTCAATTTAGGTTGAGATTTATTTTGAGTCCCTTGTATTTTTCAAAACTCAGAAAATATCAAATAAAACTTCATTGCGTTCCTTGAAACAAAGAGAACTATGAAAGATTTTTTTATATCATTTTAAAATTTCTTCAAATAATACTTGACCTCATAAAGCAAAAGCAGTAGCAGGTAGTTTATAATATATATAAAATTAAAATGTTACGTATTCTATAGGACAAGAGGGAATGGAAGGTTACACTAGTATATACAAAAGATGTACTATTATTTGAATGGACAGTACAGTAAAAGAATGGTATTTACTCTAAATCCTAGAATTAGTACTAAAAGAGAAATGTAACTGGTAAGTTAGACTGATAAAAAACAAAAAATATACAAATAACCAATATTTGAGATGCAAAACAGGACATCATTACAGATTCTATAGACAACTTTCTGCCAATACTGTGCCAACACTGTGCCAATGTAGATTAAAAGACAAATTCTTGAAAGACACAAACTACAGAAGCTCGTTTCAGAAAAAACAAACCCAGGTGGCTCACTGACATATTTTACTACACATTTAAGAAAAAATATGTCAGAAGCTCAGCAGAGCTGAGAGATATCAGCTTTCCTGATCAAAGCAATAAATCAAAAATGAAACACAGTTAAGCCTTTTTAACAGCACTGGTATAAGCTGGAAGCTAAACATGCCAACTCTGTTTTTTCACTCTTTCCCAAGGAACAACACACATGGGCCAGCCACTGCCATGGAAGTTGAATCAGTGTTGAGGTGGCCTGTCATAAAAGGCTTCAGCAGTTTTCCAGGGCCTGGGAGGTGAAAGGGGGAAGGCCTAAAGTGTGACAGTGTGGACAGTGAGAGTGGGGAAAGGATCCTGGGGGGTTCCCACTCTTCCCCACAGTGCTAGGTCAAGGCAAAGGTGTCTCCAAACACCCTTGGCCCAAGGCTTTAGATCAAAAGACCTGCAAATGAAAGTTCCAGGGCTAGGAATGTAGATGTTGGAAGAACAAGACCAGCCAGGGGGTCTGAGCCCTTGACAGTAATTTCCTACAACTGCATTACATTGGCAGGACAGCAAGTCTGGTGAGGAAGAACAGCTTTCCCCATGAGGCCTCTTAGGTACATTGCTCATGGTCAGATCCAAAATGTCACATACATTTTTAACCAGGAGCTGTACTCTTTTACATAAACTCTTCCAGAAAACAGAAGAGTAAGGAGTTCCCTTTTGTATTATAAGAGCACCAGCATCTAGATCAAAATCTGACAAAGACATAAAAAACAACAAATCCTCACAAACACAATGACCACAAGAATACTTAAGAAACTCTCTGCAGAAGTTCTATAAGCTCCTTATAATGGTAAACATCCACTCACCATGTGATCTTGCACTTCTACTCATGCATCTATAAAGATTTATACTAGAATGTTCACAGCCACTTTATTTATAATAAACCCAAACTGAAAAAACAAAACAACACCAATCCAAAGAGAGTATACATCAACTTGTGACTAGGTACACAAATCGTGATACTGTGTAACCACACAATGGAAAACTGTTCGATAAAAAAAGGAATAAACTGATACAAGCTATAACATGACTGAATCTCAAAAGCACAATGTGAAAGAAATCAGACTAAGAAAATTACGTATGTACATATGTATGGTTCTATTTATATGAAATTATTACATAAAGCAAAATGTTAGGAAGAGAAACAGATCAGTGACTGGCAGAGACTGGAAGTGAGGAAGAAGACTAACAGAAAGCAGGGAATTTTTGAGATGTTAGAAATGTTCCACATCGTGAGCATAGGGCTGGTTACATAACCACACATCTGTTACAGCTCATATAATTCTTCATTTAAAATTGGTGAATTAATTTGGCTACATGTAAATACACAATTATAACTTTATGAACTGCCCAAAGAAAAAATATGGCAACATCTTATTCATTTAATCATGTGACATAGTGCATCTTTCCATTCCCATCATTTTATTTTGGCTACATGTAAATACACAATTATAACTTTATGAACTGCCCAAAGAAAAAAGATGGCAACATCTTATTCATTTAATCATGTGACATAGTGCATCTTTCCATTCCCATCATTTTATTTTTCCACGCATGTTTTCAATTTAATCACCTAATATATTTCCAATGACAAAAAGTTTTAGTCATCTTCTCTCACTCTTATTACATGAGATACTGAGCTATTTTAAAAAGAAACTATATTAAGTAAATTTACCTGCGATAATAACCACAAAAAACTCTCTCATCAATGGTCGAAGTCCTACAAAGAAGTAAAGGCTCTGCTAACTACAGACCTGTGTCCTGTTATTCTGTGGCCAGTGTCAATGCAATTCTGTTATTTTTATAATAAACTTGCTAATTCTGTCACAAGCTCATACAGATGCTTATCCTTATAAACTGCTGTGAAATTGGAGCCCATAGTTCCTTTACTTTTCAGCAGTATGGAAAACCAGGAAGTCTTTCCTTGTTGAGTAGGGCTGTACAAGGGAGGAGGTGAGCTTACCTGGGCATACTGCTCCAGAACGATGGCTGCCTCACGGTGCTTTCTCTGTTCAGCTAGCTTTCCTGCCAAGAGAATGAACATTTGAAAACAAAGATTTTCTTCCTCAAAGAGGTTCCATAATATGTCTTTGTTAGGTATCAAACTATGTACTTTGTGAATTTCAATGAGTGGAACAGGCACACACACCATAGAGTCCTATCATAAATGGCAGTTAGAATCAGCATTTAGCAGAGGATTTGAACATCATGAACAGTCAAAATTAGCCTTAAAAAATACTTTCAAAGATATGTAAACAGGAAACGAACCTGGCAGGTCACAAATCCAGTTCTTCCTCTAACAGAAAGTGACTGCAATTTCTTTGGCTGAGCACTAGGTGGAGATAGCTGAATTATGTGTGGAGCATGGTAGTTTTTAGTTCCTAGAAATCCTCATTAGAGCTAAGATAAGGATTTTCACTGAGTTTCAGGCCAGCCTGAGCTACACAGTAAGTTCAAAGCCTGCCTGAACTACATAGTGAGACCTGTCTAAAAAAACCAAAACCACCACTCCCACACACACTAAGAGAGGCAAACAAAACTCAGGTCTTACAAAGGGGCAGGTAGATTCATATGCTGCCCATCTCATGCTCATTCCAGGTAATGTATTTTCACTAAAAAAGGAAGCAGAAGGGCTTCCACTATTCAACAGCTATTTTTGTTGCCTTATAAAATGCCTAAGTTAAATTATGTACATAAAGTGACTCCACTTTATAACACTGTTCAAGAATCTCTGATCATTACCCTCCCTACCATTTTTCACTTAACATCTGAAAGAACTGAGTAGACTTTATCACAAGACAAAGTAACTAGGACTCCTGTGGTCACGTGAGGGTAGACAGGTACTCTGTTAGGTTTTACTATGGCTACAGTAAAGGCTAAGATATCAGAGTATGGTAGTAGTTTGGAAGACATTATTGTCGTACTGGGACCTTCAGTAGGACCGTGCTGTTTCTGTTCCTCCTAGAAAATCAGCAAACACATTTCATAATCTCCATCTTGCTTGTGCACAACTATCTGATCCATTAAATCCCTACACCGACATCTGAAAAGCCACCAGAAACTTGGGAGTTTTACATAACTTTTTGCCCTCCTTCCAAACTGACAGCAAGGGGAAAATTAACTGATTTGTGTAAAACAAAGGATTACAATGGACAATTCATCTTTACGGTATATTTTCACTATTATAACCAAATTCACATGATTTTTATTTATTTCTAATGCTGACTAAAACTGTGTTTTATAGATGAAGATGATTCTAAAATGTTGTTCTCATTATTACATAAAACAGAAATAGGTTTGTAGAATATTTATTGGATATTTACTATTTGTCAGGTATGATGTTAAGCATAAATTAACCAAAACAGCTAAGACATTTTCCCTTTGAGTCCAATGCACTGCAGGAAATAAACCTTACAACTAAAGCTTAATAGCAATAGAAGACTACAAAAAAAAAAAAAAAAAAGAGCTAATTTTACATAAAAGGCAGGATACAGAAGGTATTACAGCAAAAAATGACACCTGAGCCCAGAGTATGTACAGGCTTTTAACAAATGAAGACCAACTATAGCAGTGGGGAACATCATGAACCAGAGACAGAAACGAAATTTACACCATGTCCCGGAGACAGAACAGTGGGGGCAGAATAAGGAATCGACAAACAGCTTAAAAATAGATTGGTGGAAGTCTCAAATGCTATGTCAAAAATTTAGAGTTTATTTTCCAGGCAGTTAGCACCGAAAGCAGAGAAGCATTTGTATTTTCTTGTTCCTCTTATCTAATATAATGGATTTATATTGTGAGACAGAAGCAGACAGATTAAACAAGAGCCAGTAAAAGTATTTCAAAGAAGAACGAAGTTCCAATAAAGCAGCAGAAAATAAAATGGAAAATAAGAGTTGAATTGAACTCTTGAATTCTTGAAAATAAGAGTTGAACTGAACAACTGAACAATGAATTGGGAGAGACAGGTAATAGCGGTGATGAAGAGGAGGCAGTCATTGATGATGCTAAAACTTCTGCTTCAGTAACTACCAAGAGTACCAACAAAATCAGGGAGGGGGTTTCAGACAAAGGAAGAAGATAAGGAGTTTCACCTTACCACAGAATAAATTGCATACAGATGGAAATTTCTGGTCAACAAATGTTAGGTCAAATTAGGATGTGCCAAAAGGAGTGCCATACACGCGGCCTCACACAACACGTGCACTGGGAAAGCAAGAAGCTGAAGCAGTGAAAATCAAAACATGATAGTAATCAGAAATAAAAAACCAGAGTACTGTTATCCACAACAGGTGTGGGAAGTGTTTAATGTAGCCCTGAAGGATAAAATAAAGCAAAACTTAAGAAGACACCAGCTGTCTAATTTATTAAAGCTGTCTCTCACCAGCAGTGTACAGTGCGGCTGACCGCCAGACCTCAGAGCACTGATGAAAAAGATGCACTGATATTGACTCCTTTTTTTTTTTTTTTAATTTTATTTAAAAGGAAAAAGAGAAAAAACAAAACAAAACAAAGCGGTGTAAGGGTACAAGTAATACAGAACTACAAAAAAAAAAAAAAAAAAAACCCAGTAAGAAATCACCAGTTAATAGATTACACATTATCGTCTTAGAGATAGTTGCTCAAGTCACAGCATCAAAGCATACAAAGTGAACATTCACACAGAGAGAATGCAAACAGTTGTGTTCAATGATCCAACCAAAAACACTAATATGGTCAGCTATCTAATATCCCTAAACACACTTGCAGTTGTATCCTTTAGAGCACTTTTTTCCCTCTCTTTTTTACAACAAAATTTACACATTTTGGGTTTTATTACTCCTTAGTTCTTATTACTTTTTTTTTTTTTTTGGAAGAGAATAAAGTCAAATATGGCAAAACAAAGCTGTCAGTCAAAACCAAGGATAGACATAGTACATGATGTAAGAACAGAGTACAAGGTTATCAACAATGGTTACCATAATGTCTCTTGTTTCCTTAAAAAGAATTGTCTATCTCATTAGGGATTATAAAGTTGGACAAAACAGCAGAGAACAAGACCAATAAAACTTAAAACATTATAAACATTACAGGACTTCCAAAGGAGATAATAGTCAAACCAGAATGGGCATCTTAGTGAATCCTATTGCCTTCAAAGTAGTTGCCTATACCCCCAAACTTAATACTATCATACAGAATGGACCAGAGTCTAATCAGTCAAAACAAGATCGTGGGAGTATTACAGGACTTCAAAACAAGTTAATAGGAACTGATATTGACTCTTAAGTGACAGTTTTTATTTGAGATGTGAAAATAAAGGGATTTAATTTGTTTGTATAGGCTAAAGAGAAAAATGTTACGCTACATTTAATTTGGAGAAAAGACTTTTTTATATTGTGCCTGTTTCCCACATATATATGGTGTAATAACAGCAAATATTATTTTCTTGGTATTTACAAAGGATTTAAATGTATGTTACCTCATTTACCTTTACAGCGGCTATGAAACATACAGGTTAGGTGTTTTCCTTCATACTCACAGGAGCAACAGAGAGGTGAAGTCCAAAGTCACATAATTTGTGGTAAGATTAGAACATATATTTGGTGATTTAAATCTCTCAGTTTTTACAGGTAAGACTAAATTTTAATTTGTGACTTTATATTAATATTCTTGATTCACACATAACTTAAAAAATTTGCTGAAATATTGGGATAGGTTAAAAAACATAGATTTATAGAGAGTAAGATGTTTAACGCAGCAAAAAGTGTAAGTTGGTAAGCTCGAAGTTTCAACACCGTAACACATGCTGTGAGTTTGCCAGTGTGGCACCTTGTTTTGTTTAATCTTTCTATGCATCCTTTAGCCTACTATGAATGGTGTTGAACACAAATACAGGAATTTCAGACTCAGGAAAAATACTGTTTTGTTTAGTGAACAAAAACGATTAAGGAATAATTTCATACCCTAAGAAAGCTTGATGAGTTTCTAATTCACTGTGTATTATTTTATGTAAAGTTGTAATTGACAGGAGTAGTAGGTTGTCACGTTATCTAATATACCAGATTATAAAATGCAATAAAATTATTTTACTATTTAAAAAAAAGACATAGAAATAGCAAGCTGAGAGGTGTAAAGAATATTAGCAAAGCTGCTAGATCTCCCCCTGAAAAAGTGCGAATATACACAAACTATCAATAATGCAAGAGTTTTAAAAGAAGTTACAACTGAGCCAGAATGAGTAATCAAAAAGACAAACAATAAGGAACGCTCAGGAATTGTAAAATGTCCACCATGCAAACTGAGAGGAATCTAGATTCCTCTCCATTCTAATAACTCACCATTCTAATAACTAGAATACAAAAGGGGATAATTTCATGTATTTTTATAATTCTACATTAAAAAAGTATTCCAAACAATAAAGGAGTATATGTACACAAATTAGTAAGGTATAATTTGGGTTTTTTTACATAACTACCTTTTTAAAAAGCATAACAATATTTATAAGACTTTTGAGAAGAATGTTACAGTTTGAATAAGTTCGTCCCTTCTGAAATGTATTTTGGAGTTTAACCTCTGTTGGGAGGTGTTTAAGAGGATCATATGAACTGACTGGGCTTCTGGAGGTGATTAAGTTTAGATAAAGTCAGAGAGGACTGAACAAGGCCGGCTCTGTGAAGACCAGAGTGCTCACACATGTGCATGCACTGCGGCTCTCAATGTCAACACATGACAGATGCACTGCAGCAACTCAGGACACGGTCAATAAGAAGGCCTTCACCAGACGTAGGCTCTCAACCTTGGAATACAACCGTAAGCCCAATAAACCCTTTTTCGAGTAACTTACCTAGCTACTGTCAACTGTTATCAGCAACAGAAAATGGGAAGAAAAAAGAGAAAACAATATACCAATCATTTCTTCCTTTCCAGCACTGCTAAAGGCCCAGAGCCTTACTTACCTCACTTCCTAGACCAGGGACTAACCAAGACACTAGCCTCACCTCGCTAGACTCTGAGGCTGCTAAAACTGTCTTTAGATTCCTTGTATATTCAACCTTTTCTTCCGTCCTACTCCTAGCAACTGTCATGATGGTTTTCAGCAATCTTTTGCCTATACTAAAATGGCGCATCCTCAAATTCATCTTTACCTTCTTATAGGGGACACAGTCCCCAAGGTACAATGTAACCTATGATCCTAAGTTTCAATGAGTGAGATGGAGTAGAAATGATAGAATTTCCAGGTAATTTCCAACTTAACAGTTCAGTGCAAGGCTACCTTTCCCTCCAGGAACTGGAATGCCGATGTAGAGATAACATCGGAGATGTAACTACCTATCTAAGAGACTGCAGGGTCGCAAAACAGAAGAATCTATCAGCCTTTATATGAGAGAAATAAACTTTTTTCTTTTATTTGTTACTCCATTAGGGGGTGCTTTTTTTTCTCCCCAGAGCTGGGGATTGAAAGGACTTGAGCATGATAATGAAGGTCTACCATTGAGCTCCATCCCCAGTTCCCATTTTGGAGACTTTTGTAGCAGCTTAACCTTTATCACACTTGACAGATCCCTCTGAATTAAGTGGCTACAAGGATATCTCAAAATATGCTGTCCTTTATTTGAAAAATTACCAAACAAAAGAGATGTACAAAATAAATGATTCTGCTTACCTGCCAGAGTCCTACTTAGCTCAATCAGCTGGTTCTTGGGCAAGTGAAGCTGGGTTGCCATGCAGAGGGCTTGTTGCCAACTGCCACAAGCCAGAAAGGCGGAGAGAGCTTCCTTATAGGCACCACAACGGGCAAACACAAGCCCCGCTGTCTCATGCTGGTGCTCTTGGGTCAGGTGCTCCCCATAAGCAAGACAGATAGCCTGTGACAAAATGACAGTGAGTATCAATGAGATGTGGCAACTCTTCTTTAGACCTCCGGTGCAGGCTGCCTTAGTCATTAAAGTCTTGGATTCCTTAAGAAATTCCTATTGTTGAGTCAATTTAATTCTTTCTCCATTCAAAACTTACTACGGATGTACCATCTATTCACTCAACAATTACAAAGTATTGACACATATTATTTTAGGTAGTGGGAATAATAGAGATGCAAAAGTGAACCCAAACATGGACTACCACCAAGTTGTTACTCTTATGCTAACAGAGCATGAGTTTACTGACACAATACAGGACACAATATGATGGCTGTAAAGAAGGCAGTAAAGGGTAGAGAGTGCTGCCTCTTAAGGGGGCCCTGAGAAGAATGCATGTGAAGAGTTGGGGGGAGTGTTCCAGACAGAGCACAGAAGACGCTAAAGGGTCGTTAGTAGGAGGGTACATGGCAGGTCTGAGAGTGACCACGGCTGGCTGACTGCGGCAGAAAGAGCATGGGACAGAGGAACAGAAAACAAGAGCAAAGAGGCAAGAATCCCCCAAATTCTACATTCTTTATGCTCAATGTTAGGCAGAGAAAAAGAGAAGAAGAACGCAATCCACAGGCTGGTAAGGGAGACAAAGCAGAAAGCCAGCAGTTTGATAAATGTGGCCACCAGGTAAGAACAGGGCACTCTGAGGGCTCAGCGTTTGGCGCCCTGTCCAAGAATGGCTTTCTGAGGAGACGGAGAGTTTCCATAAATAGCTGGAGCCACAGGAAGGGTGGGCAGAGGGCTGGCAGAGGCATTACACAGTGTAACGTCTGTGGAGCTATACACAAGACACAGGGAGAGTGGAGAGTGGCAGAAGCTGGTGCTCAAGAAATCAGCAGAGACAGAATATGTATGTAATGAGTGAACAACTGAAAATGGTAAAGACAGTGGCATGTCACAGCAGCAGTTAGACACGGCTCAGTGGTCACAGTCAGAGCTGTGTACCCTGCATCTGCTACTTTGCAGCTCTGGATCTTCAAGCAGTCTGGGTCCTCATCTGTAAGCCACGTACTGCACAGCAAGCAAAATCAGGAGCCATATTTCACACACAACACACCTTGTACTGCTGTGAGTTTGATGGATATAACTTCAGAGCTTCCTTATACAAGCTCTTATCTTTTATTAAATTTAAGCATTCTGGAAAATATTCAGGTCCTGCAAGAATAAGATTCACAAAAACAAGGTCTTAAGACTTTGGAAGTATAACAGATTTCAATTATACCAGTAGTTCCCTAACAAAGTGAAAGTGGGACCTTTTAGACACCTACTGAGCATCTGGTGAATGAACTACAGGAGTTTGTTTTTTTTTTTCAAATCCATTTTATTTCAGGGAAGGAATGTGAATTAACAAGTACCATTGTGAACTGTGAGGAAGGAGGAGCCCTGATTGGGATCTGAATGCTACTTAGGGACAGCCTACACTATCCTGCTTGTGTTTGCTCAGACTCCTTGATAAGAATCACCTCGTGATCTGATTAAACACATGCCTCAGTCCTCCCTCAAATAAAAATTCTTCAAGGAAGCCAAGAATAGAGTGTCAAACAGGCACCCAGCCATCTGTCCTTACATCAGCCCTTAGGAAATAACCAACTGCTCCAGCACAGGACAGAGATGGAGAGATGGGTGAAGAAGACAAGGAGACTAGCGGGTGCTGGGCATTTTGTTTACTCCGTTACTGCCAATGAGATTGCCTTTCAGGGAACCAGATGGGAGCCTCACTATCCACTCCAAAGAAGCTAGGTCTTTTCTCACATGCCAGCAGACACTATAAGAACAATTATCAAAAATTCTTACTCTGAGGCATTGAGGAGCTGCCCAGTCTTAACCCAAGAAGTATCTACTCCAAGTTTCCTCTTAGCTAAGGAACAGCTCCCGTTCAGTAGCTGTGATTTACTTTACCCTGTTTTTCAAAATCTATGACAAAATAAGGTAAACACACAACACAGTTTTCAAAGCGGAAACTGAAATCAGTCTCTAATATAATCTTTTATTTAAATTTATATATTTGCTAGTGTCAAGGAAAATTAACCCTTACACTTACCACACTTGCTGAGGTGACTGATGGCTTTTTCATATCGTTTCAAGTGTTTGTCTATAGTGAACCTCTGGTAATTAGTTTCCATTTTCTTAAGCATATTAAGAAATGGAAGATATTCTTTGGGATCCTAAAAAAATAGGGAAACTTTATTACTTTTGATATTTGCATAAAATACATATACAGACAACATTTAATCATGGCAGTTAAGTCCACAGTAGTATAAATGTGTATAATTATTCAGTATGTAACACATCAAAATCAAACTACACCAAGCAAATTTTGATAAAAATGCTTTCATATATGGGTATTACTAGCTTACATCTGAATTAATGACTAATCTTTAACTAAGTCTCACAATAACTACCCATTTTATACAGTAGTAATGCCATTCCGGTTGTAATCCAAAAGATGCTCAATAAAGGCACCCACGTTTCTCCTAACAGTGCAAAGCATGCTCTTGGTGCTATTTTTATGACATTCCATGCTCTCCTCTCTTTACAAATAACACACATGTTAAAACAAATGTACAATTACAGTGAGATGGACATAAAACTGGTATTTATAGGCACTACCTCTCCAGCTCTGTGCCATGCCCTGTAAGGAAACTGTTTTTCTTCCTAAAGAGATGAAGCTGGGAATGCAGCACAGGCCTATATTCCCAACATACTAGGACACTGAAGCAGGAGGGTAAGCAGTTGTTTAGCCTGGGAAGTTTAGCGACTTAGTAAGACCCTGTCTCAAAATAAAAAGGCAACAAAGGGGATGAGTGTGGATGAGTTCAGTGCAGAAGCCCTGGGTCAATCCCCAAAACCACAAAAACAAACAAACAAAAAAAACAAGACAGTAAGTAATTAAATGATCATGGTATACTGTGCAGGATGTCTGCAGGCCAACATATTCAATCCACATTTAGCAAGCATTAAATACAAAGAATACAATATAACCTTTAATCTTAGGACACTTACATTCTAAAAGGAGACAGACTGCGCTATGCAGGGGTAGCCCTTGGAGAGCCACAGGAAAGCATCTCACCAATCACTAAAGTGGGGCAAGAATGCCTTACTGGGAAGATGCCACCTTGACATCCTTCAACACAGGTAAGGGAGAATTAGCCAGGCAAAAGGTGGGGGTGGCAGCAATGGAAATCTTGGCCTCAGGAAAGGCAGAAATAATGCTACCCACAAAGGCACATGGAGGCTAGTAGTGATAAAGGGAGAGTAGGGAGGGACAAATGTACCGCTTTTCTCTCCAGCAGCAGAAAGAAAAAGATACATCAAGTGATGAGAAGGAAAAAATGTATAGACGTCAGACCACAAGGGTTTCTAAGCAATGTTACACATCTCAACTTTATCTCAGGTACAATGGGTTAACTCATGAAGGATGCTAAGCAGAGAAGGGTCTGGCAACAGCAAAGAAGACACTGAGTTTGCAAAAAAACAAAACAAAAGATTAAAACAAAAATACATAGGCTATCGGTGCTCAAACATTTTGACTTCAGTAGATATTCCAAGATGGGAAAACAGGCCCTGAGCTTTTCCATGTTTCCACTCTGCGCTAGAAAACAGAGCTACACAACAAAGAAGTACAGTAGAATATGGAACACATTATATTTTCTTGATAAGAGAATAGATCATACATATACCTATAATTTAAAAACTAATCACATAATTTTACTTCCCCTTGTCAACCTTGTGTCTAGTGTTAGCAACTAAACCTAGCATGCCTTGCACATGCTAAGCAAACAGTCTACCACTGAGCAAGGTCCCCAAGTCCTCAACACTTTGGTAAGTACAGAACTACAACAAAGGATGAAGCTTAGGAGTGTGGGTCCTACAGGCTCACAGATCTGCCCCCATTCTGTACTCACAGTAATGTCAGACAACACACTGCACTCTCAGCACACATGTTCATACTACTATGACTGCATAAACATGATCAAAATGATGCAAAGTAAGAACTCCACGTACCTTCTGTGACTTTTCAGCTACCATGATGACCAAATCAAAGTCATAGGTCCCAAGAGAATGATCATATAATTCATTAACATCTACCAGAAGGAGCAGATACTTCAAGGCCTCTTCTGCACTCACAGCATCAGGAACAGATGGATCATTCTCTGTTGGGATTCAAGGAAGCAAAACAGAATATACTTGAGAAAATACCTAAAGACCTCTAAAGGCAAAGCAATAGACTTTTTTTGGACAGAACTGGATTCCCAATCAGTATATACTTTTGACTCTTTCACACATACTTCATAGGGCACCACTCAAATACTTGACCCAGGTCTTAAAATGGCAATCAAAGGGTCACATGCTAACTGTGTAATGTGGCAATGACACAGCAGCATTATCTGCACAGGACCAGTGATTATCAAGACATATTAAACATCCTGGGAAAGGGTCCCTACCTTGAAGCTCATGTACCTTCTGCAGCACGATTTCCAGTTCTGGGGTAGTTTTCTTCACATGAGATGTGAGTATTGATAGGCAGTACCTGAGGTAATAAGTGAGGGCAGCCAAATGAGGAGGATAAGCTGGATAAAGACAGCTACTCACTTCTGTCACTTCAAGACACTAATAATGGCAGTACTCATACTTGTGAGGGTTGATGCTCTCCATGGCTGTTCTCATTGCATCACAAATAAGGTCAAGTTTTTTCCCGGCAGGATCTGTGGACAGCTGGGCACTGCTGGTAACTGGAGGAGGGTACATGGTCTTTGTGACATCTTCTTCCCTAAGAATAAGCATATATGAACAAGTGACATTAACCAGACATGTGGTCTAGTGACCAAACGACTACACATAGCTAATCAGCTGATGAGATAAAGAATGAGCAATAATAATTTCTGGCATAAAGAATTTAAGATTTTAAGAAAGAAGATAAATGGAATGCTTTGCTTTATATTACTTCAATCCTTCCTTTTCAGTCAGGGATCTGTCTTACACATATAAGTCTTGGAAATTTCCCTGAACTTTTGAAAAGTTTAAAAATAAAAACTACTGAGAGTGAAGCACATCCACAAAAGACTGTTACAGTAATATCCATAGATGTTTTACTCATTAATCCCAAAAGGAGAACAGTCAAGATGTCTAGGAACCAAGGAATAAATAAGCACACATGGCACATTACTAAGCAATATAAAGAATGAACTAGTTATACATGTAAAAACATGATGAACCTCAGTACAACTGGCTGGCTAAAGCAGTTTTATATTCTCAGGAGATGAATATGGTGTCTCTATTTATATGTAACTCAACAACAGCTGAAACTGACCCACAGTAAAAAACTCACAACAGTACTTGTCTAAGGGATAAGACACAGGCATTAAATGAACAGGAATTTAAGAGAACTTGATGGGAAGGAAATGCTCTCAAACTTCATGCATGATATGTACATTTCATTACAGACAAATTTGCCCTAAAAAAAGAAAAAAAAAAAGCCCAAACCAATAACCTATACACAAAAAATATACTTTAATTAATGCCATGGAAGGTGAAATCCTGTGAAATTAAGTGAACTAATCTTTTACAATTTATTCTGACATTTGTACAAAAACGATGGGTGAGTGAACAAATTATAGATGGTGATAAAGCACATAGAGGAAAATATGAACTGGAGATTTAGTCATAAAGATGGGATACTTCCTAGACAATTCTTTCAATTTTAGGGTGGGGGTTGGGACTGGGAATCAAACTCATGACCTCTCGCTTGCCAGGCAGGTGCTGGTGCCACTGAGCTATATTCCCAGCAATTCAATTTTTCCATGTTTAAAATATCCAACAGGGTCAGAGATTTAGCTCAGTGGCATAAGCACCTGCCTGGCAAGTGCAAAGTCGTGAGTTTGATCCCCAGTACCAAAAAATAAAATACCCAACAAATTGAAAAAAAATCACTGCAGATAAAGAAAACACTTGATCTCAATCTCCTAAGAGAAACAAATTGTTTTATGAATTATCAAGATACTTACTTCAACTCTGTGAAAAATAAATTAATATGATTTACAGAATCTATCTGTCTAATGAAGGTTTCCACATTTTCAAGAAACACCTATAGAAAAAGACAAAACATTTTACTTGGGATCACATTAATTCAAGTATAAAGTACGGTAGGGCAAGTGTTAGATTTTAAAAATACCTTAGGGTTATGGTCATGAATCAAATTGAGATTAATTCTCAGTTTTCTCATGCATTCAAATGCTTCTTTAAACATCAGCCTGTGAAGAGGCAGAACAGATGGATAGGGTATTTCACAAAACTAAGCTCCCTGGATCCATTACAAACCAGAAAATCATCAGATAACTAAGGTCTACTGTTTTAACAAAATATTAATGGAGACCTTTCTAAAGCAAAGTTTGTTCCACATAGACTCAGAATTTTAATACCTTCTTCAGTAACAGTAACCCAGGCTTTTCTAGGTCATAGACTCCTCTGCAAATCTTTTGAAAGCTATGGGTAAACATTCACAGTTTGCTATACAATTTCCCTGATTGACAGGCCACCTAAAGTCCATTTGGGTCCTCTACAATTAATAGAAGCCCTTCTTTACATGTTGAACTTTATGATTCTTTTTGCAAGGAGTATCTATTATAACACATAGCAATAAAGTAAAATAATAAGTTTCTGAGAATTTGATTGAAGGTACCTGTAATGGATGTTTTTTACACTGTCAAGTTGAAAAATTACATGTATATTAATAATTATTAATAGTTACATATTAATTGTAGTAACTAATTATATTTGCTGTCTACAAATTAACTAGTCATATACATGGCACTTACTTGTCCAACCACTTCCGAATCTGGGCTAAAACTAGGGCTCGATGATGAACAACTTCTAAATTCCCCCTTGGCATCTTAAAAATACATAAATCAAAACAGTAACATTTTCAATTAAGTGGAAAAAATTTGAATAGCAAGACACACAATTTTATCTAACTCTTCATTAAGAACCACCACAATGCTGTGCAAGCAATGAACACACTTGTAGCACAATCTAGTTGTGCTTAATATTTACCAGACTTTCAAGAAAAGCTTCCCTTTGAGCCTTACTAGTCAGAACTGTATCAATACTGCTTTGTATAAACCTAACAACCTGGCAAAAAAGCTTTATAATGAATGATTTAAAAAGATAAAGCCTAAAATAAAATCTGTAAGAGTTCTGTTTGATAGTGAGTAAATGACAATCAGAAAGGCTGAAAAACTGGCTTACCTGTAAAATAAGCTTTGTGTCCTGGGGCACAACTGTGACAATCCGTGAACCTCTCTCCACCTTCCGCAGAACCTCCCCATTAGCCACATGACTGCTGCACAGACCTGCCTGCAATGCTAAAAATATCACCAGCTAAGTTTTGAAAATTATCAGGACAAGCCACTCTCCATTAACTGCGGATGAAATGGCACACATTAACTGAAACAGAGTAATTGAAAACCAGGTTGCAATGCTCTCCCAATCAACCTCAAGGTTATTAGCCCACCTGAGAACATTCTCATTCCTGGCATTTGCCCTCTCTAACAGAGCTACCCAACACAAATTCTCAAACAATTTGGAAAACAGGGGTGTCAGGGCAGGTTCTCTATCTCACAGCATTGCCAGAACTCTATAGCTATATCAATAGAGGAGCAAGACAGCTTTCAAGTTAGTAACAAAGAAAATAAGTGTACTTTTTTAAAAAACACACACAGGGGGCTGGGGATTTAGCTCAGCGGCATAAGCGCCTGCCTTGCAAGCAGGCAGTCGTGAGTTCGATCCCTGGTACTGATAAGAAAAAAAAAAAAAAACACAACACACAGACACAGGGGCATGGCATATAAGAAAAATGGAAACCAATACCCTATAAACTACAAGATTAAGTCCAAAAATACAAAGGAGAGTGGGCATAATGAAAAAAGAAAGATTAAAATCCAAAGTTAGAGCATAACGTCAGTTTGGGATCTATATGGTAACTCAAAATACAGTATCAGATCAGTTATGTGACAAATTTTCATACAAAATTTCTTGTCTAATTTTAAAATGTGCTACATAAGGAAGGGATTCTATATCTGGAAATCTTCACTAACTGGTACAGGATGATTTCACTGAGATATTATGTTAAGGGCTGGGGATTTGGCTCAACGGCATAAGCGCTGCCTTGCAAGCAGGCAGTCGTGAGTTTGATCCCCGGTATAGATAAAAAGGAAAAAGACAAAAAAAAAGAGCAAAGACTAAGTAAATGGAATCTAAACATTTTCTCCAGTCCATGATTCTATGGTAAAAAGACAAAGCAGGTACAGAAATTGTCTTTAAGACTCCAAACGACAAAAGACATCGGAAGATACACTGAAAACTTACTTTTAAATGAAGTATCTCTCAGGGAAAAACACTGGCAGGTATGAGAATGGGTTGTCAACAACAAAAATTCATCATATAGTATGAAAGATGTGATATTTGATGCAACCTGCAACAAGGCAAAACAGGTAAGGGAGACGTAAGCTATGTTATGCTGCTCAAACTGTAAAAGGATCCAACATGTAAGCAAGCCCTGATACCTCAGTGTCACTGATGAAAAAGCGACATCTATCAGTCAGACCAAGGACATATTCCTGCAAAGAAACAAAATACAAATTAAATGCAATTCTATTTCAAACTAATGAAACTTGATTTCTTTAGTATAGAGTTCAGTTGCCCTAAGTCCTCATAATACTGAATAAAGAAAGCCAAGAGGACAGGTCCAATATAAAATGGAGTATGGTGCCTCCCAGTCCATCAGCAAGTCCTGTTATTTCTATCTCCTATACTGATCTTACTTACCATTTCCTGCTCTAAGTCACTGATGTTCTGTGTTGATCTCCCATTCAACTCTCATGCCTCTCCAATCTATTTCCCTGGGCAGCCAAACCATCTAGCACAAGACTATGAGGCATAGCACCAGACTCTGCTGACTGACAATGACAGATAACTGTCTGTTGCTCAGCTCCAGCCACACTACCTCCACTGAGTCACCTGCACAAGACAAGATCTTTCTAAGTTCAAGATGTTTCTGGATCCTTCTCCTGGGAACACTCTTCTAGGAAGAGCTTTCTTCAGTACACTGCAGCACACACATTTTCCTGCAGCACCATCAGATTCCTATCTTCATAGCTACCATTCTGTAACTGCTCTCAAACACTTCATTATTCCTTATACCCTACTGGTTTCTTTCAGTTCTCTTCAGAGGAAGTATTTTGCCTAGACTGACAGGAGGATTAACTCAGTTGTTTTAATCTTTGACTGCTGCATCCCATCAATCACTCCAACATTCTAGTATTTGTTGAAAGACAACTTACTGAATATTTTTTTTGAATTCATATCTGTTGTCCTAAAAAATTATTTAGTACAATTAATTTTGAATATTCTGTTAAACTAGGGATAAAAATCTGCCAATCATATACGTTATCTTATTTAATTCTCATAAATCTCGAAGGAAACACGCTGATTTTCTCATCAATGAAAAAAGTATGAATTAAGAAAGTGAGATAACCTCCTACTGTTGCCTTGGGATTTACTGAAGATTCAAATTCAACTCCAAAGCCCATACGCTTTTCAGCTAATATCATCAGTCACTGGATAACTACTTTAAGTGATAAATTTTCCTACCTTGCTTCCACTTACCTCTCCTCCAATCACAGCCAATTCAATCTGTGTGCATGGATAAGGGAATTGAACAGGAAATCCTCCAGGGCTCTTCCATGGTTCAACAGTCAAAGAAGATGACTCTGCAAGATTGGCAGATCTAGTTTACAAAAGAGCTGTCTCAAAAAAAAAATGTTAAAACCAGTACTTTCTAAAATACTTAACATGCAATTTATATCATTCTCAAAATGGATTTTAGAAAGTCATTAGGATGCTCTACTCCTTGTAAGAAAAACTAGGAGTAGAAGATACATGTCAATTCTACTTTACAGCTTAAAGTTTCCAGGGTAATTAAAAGGCTTAGACAACAGGATGAGCGGGTAGCTCAGCAGGAAATCACTTGCTGGGTTCTATACCCAGCACTGAGGAAAAAAATAAATAAAAAAGCCTGACAACATACTGCTATGATACAATCAAGCATAAGGTAGCTGCAAATACATGTTTTTAAGAATTAAGTATTTCACAAAAACTAGACAAGTTTCTCTAAACCTCTGACACTCACCCCAAAGGCACTTAAGTATCTGGCCATCCGCCAGCTGCAGTGCTACTGACTCAGTCTCGGAACTGTAACACAGACTGATTATAATCCCATCCACTGTCACCGATGAGCTACAAGAAGTTTAAAAGGGGGTGAGGAAACAAAGACACCATTACTCTCAAAACAAGGGACTTTTCACTAATTCTGTAAAATAAAAAAAATTTAAAAATATATATATATACACACACATCCATATCCACACACATCCACATCCACATACTCTGATAAATACTTTAAAGGTAATACACAATGTATTAACTATGGTTATTCTCCTATTATTTTGTTATAAAATTTTTTATATATGCACACACAATACTAAATGTACATACATATTTATAATTTCAAGCCTAAAGAGTTACTTCTTATATAAACTACTTTCCACAAAGCCAATAGGCTCACTGTCTATACTGTGAACTCATCACTCCTTTTTGGCAGAAACTTACTACAATTTAATGCCTTCACTAGACACTGTATGGTACCAATATTATTTTTTTAGAAACATGAACTGCATAAGTAAGTGCTACATAGAAAAACGGACACAATTTCTTCACTGTCATCATAAGCACTAAAACAAAACTGTATTAATGAAAACAGGGGAATCTGCTATTGCTATTACATTTTTTTCTGTTAATGAATAGAGAGAAATAAAATTTTTAAAGAACATGTTATAAAAGCAAATGATACCAATGATAACATTCAAACAAATGTACAAAAAAATGAAAACTTGTGACAATGGTTAATTTCTCTACAAATGTCTCAAATTTTAAGAGAATAAACAACTTGAGAAGTTAAAAGAACAAACTCTCAAGCTACAGTGGCTGAGATCAGCTATATCACTGCATCTGTTCGACCTCAGGCACGTTGTCTAACTGCTCTGTGCCTTAGTTCTTATACAAAACGAGGCTGGGTGCTCAGAGCACATACTTCAACGAGTACTGTGGGAAACAAGTTAACACTGATAAAACATTCCAAGGACTATCTTTTATAAAGTATCGCTACAGTAAATGTAAGCTATTACTAACTATAAACTCAGGCACATTTCACTTCTTAATGCTGTTTTATTTCACATGAACAAAATAGTTCTTGAGACCAAAAATCAAAGCAACAGAAAAATCCTGTAAATACCTTATTTCCAAAGGAGATGACTACATTTAGTTTCTCCTTCTACAAAGTAATGATAAAGAACTTCAAATTTCAAGAGCAGAAACTTAGATAATTTAGATATTTCTAATATAGATTGTTCTGCTTTTCAAAAAGCAGCCGACTTGGAGTGGTATTTACACACATCAATACCATGAAACATGCGTCGAAGATGAGTGACTACCGCATTATAAGGTGTCTAACAGTGTGTAGTAAAGAAAGTTCCTAGTTTTGTCAGCAAAAGTTCTCCAAATATAACTCTAACCAGTAAAGTTTCAATTACAAATGAATCTGAGTATTACAAACATGACTAAATTGCCACATCTTGGCTCTGGAATCCAGAAGTATTTGAAGAATTTGCCAAAAAATGCTTTAATTGTGCTATTAAATGATACCGATTATATGATGAAGATGCAGTCAGGACAATTTCAGGCCCAAGGAACTATGAAATTTCAGCAAAGAAAAACAGAGAAGACTTTCTTAGTGGCAAATGCAGTCAAATGCCAAAGAAGATATACAGAAAAAGGAATCAGTTGAAGCATTTTGACATCACTAATATATGTAAAACAATTCATCCTGCTGTATTAACACATGAGAATTATCCATTCTTATACCTGAAACTCTTATACTCTTACTAAAATCAATTGAAAGAGCTAACAGTACTTGCTCCATGTGGATAGATGAAGAATTAAGTTTCTAATAACAAAAGCAGACATGTGGGGCAGTGGAACAGAACAGAGGACTAGAAATAACCCAGCATGTTCAGCTATTTGATCTTTGACAAAGAGGCCAAAATTGGAGGAAAAAGGCTCTTTAGTAAATGGTGTTAAGAAAATTGGATAATTGGCATGCAGAAGACTGAGTTTATACCAATACATCTCATCATGTACTGTGACAAAAAACATGAATCACAGATCTAAATGTTAAGATGGAAACAATCTGCAGGAAGATAAAACAGGTAAAACTCTTAAGGACATAGGCGTTATGTAAGGACATTCTGAACAGAACCCCAATGGCATCAAAACTCAACAAATGGGACTATATCAAATTAAGAACCTTCTGCAGAGAAAAGAAAATAACCAACAGAGTGAAAAAAATCACCAAGAGAATGAATCAAATAACTTTGTCAGCTACTCCTCAGACAGAGGATTAATATCTAGACACAGAAAAAACAAAAAAATTAGAACCCCAAAATAAAAGACCAATCAAAAAATGGGCAAGTGAAATGAACAGACATTTCCCAGAAAAAGTAAAAGTGATTAATAAATGCATGAAAAAATGTTCAAAATCATTTGAACAAACTCAATACAAATTAAAACAACACTGAGATTCCATTTTGCTACAGAAAGAATAGTTATCATCGAGAAATCAAATAATAACAAATGTTGGCAAGGCTGAGGCAGAAAAAAAGGAACCTTTCCACACTGTTGGGAATGGGAAAATAGTACAACTACACACTATGAAAATGAGAATAGTGATTCCTCAAAAAACTAAAACTAGAAATTCCATTTGAACCAGGTATTTCAGGTACTTTCCTGAAAGAGTTAAACTCATCACAGTATGGTGATACATGCATGCCCATGTTTTTAGCAGTACAATTCATAATGGCTAAGTCTTGGAAGCAGCCTATATGTCCAACAATAAATGAATGGGTAAAGACAATATATTATTTATATACAATGGAGTACTATTCTGCCATAAGGAATAAATATGAACATTCATAAGTAAATGGATACACTTTGAGGCCATCATAATTAAGTGAAATAAATCAGACACACAAGCTTAAATATCATAGTTTCAGTTATATGTGAAGCTCAAGATATAACGAGAAAAATAAAAAGATAATAGGAAATAAGGAGATCTTTTTCAAATGGGAAGGAGAATAAGAAATAAAGGGGGAAAGAAGGAAGGGAAAGAAGATTTTTAAAAGAATTAGAAAAAGTAGAGACAGAGCTTTTGCAAATGCAAAGGGGACTGAGAGACAGAAGGAGCAGAGAAGCTGAGGAGGGACTGGGGATAAAACCCAACCAAGATGTGTTATGGACATGTAACAACTCCCTATGTAAATGTAACCATTGTGTACTACAGATATGTACTGTATTAAATAAAGACTGAAAAAATAAAACAGATGGAAAAAATAAGGCATTTGACGTACCTTTGATATTTAAATATATTTAGCCTCATCTATTGATATTTGTTCCACTTTCTACTACTGCTTAACACAACTTTGGTCTGTTATTTTGATATAACTTGACAGATGTAAACCTCTTGCAAAGTATGTCTAACCAGAAAACCACTACACCTCAGCTTTACTCTCAGAATTCAATTTTAAAGTCTCATGCTCATAAAAGATCAAAGCATAATTCATGAGCTTACTCAATATGTGGAATAGGAAGGACTGCGTTACCTGATGGTGAGCTGTCCTTGTTCTTCATCCGACTCAGAAGGGGACACAGTCAAAGAGTGGACAGTAGACTGTGGGCTGGACTGACTGTGGCTTACAGCCAGGAAACTGTCTTCTTCAATCCAGGTAAGAAGGGTGAGCTTCAGTGGGTTTACTTCTTGATCCTCAGCATTCTCAAATTGAATTCTGTTTTTTAAAAATCCAAGATACGAATAAAACTTTAAAATGAATGAATCTTTAAAATCTTTCCTGATAAAGAATGAACCACATAGTATATGTCATGTCCTGATTACTTGAAAAAAAACAAAACCTGAGCTAAATACTAGACAAATCCAAAAATAATGACTGTCTGGCTTAAGAATTTCTCTCTGTATTTATTTTAAGTTTCTCACAGCCTGAGATCTTTGAAGCTGTTGAAGAGAACATTTCAGGAAACTGATTACACAAAAAAAATTACCCGTCACATACTTTGCACTGGCACTACTTACCTACACTCAAAGCAGATGCCAGTAGATACCTGGGTCTAAGTAAAATAGGCCCTTTCTAAAGGACCTAACACTGAAGAGACTGGTTATTTGAGAGATGGTTTCTGTGTATCCACTGCCTTGTTAGGGAGCGTCTGTCTACGAGGGCACAGTTCTTCCCATCTCACACATGAATCCATACAGGTTACTTCCTGCCTTTTATATCCAACGACAAATCCGCAGCTCCCAATGATGAGGCAGGTCATAGACCATGATCTTCCTATTCAGTCAGCTCTTCTGAAACTTGATCTCTATAGATGTTTTCTAAACAGAATCATTCCCACCTCTGGTTCTCGCCAATGCTCTCCCAGTACTTTCTAATCCCAAACCAATCCCTTCTGCAATGATCAAGTTAAATATTCACATCATTCATAAAATCTTCTCTGAATGATTTGGAGTTATTCCTCTTAATTTTTTTAAAAAATAAAACTATAAGGGGCTGGGGATTTAGCTCAGCGGCATAAGCGCCTGCCTTGCAAGCAGGCAGTCGTGAGTTCGATCCCTGGTACCAATAAAAAGGAAAAAGACAAAAATAAATAAATAAATAATAATAATAATAAAAAAACTATATCCTAAACTGGTTCATATTTTCTAATTTGCTATATATTTTATCCTCTAGGAGTTTCAAGTCTATGTGCTAAAGTTTGGACCTGGACTGCTCCCCAAAGGTCCACAGGCTAAAGGGTCCCTAGCCCACGGCACTACTGGGAGGCAGTGGCTCCCTTAAGAGGTAGCTTCCTCGGTTGACTAGGTCACTGGGATAACGCCCCTCAAGAGGACTTTGACAGCTGGTCTCTCATTCTTTTCTACTCCTGGCCATAAGGTGAATACACCTCCTCCACTACAGTCAACTGCCATGAAATACAGTGCTGCCACAGCCCAAAGTAATGGGGCCAATTGATTATGGACTGAAATTCACCTCCAAAACTGTGAGGCAAAATAAACACTTCTTCTCTGTAAGTTGACTTATGTCAGGTAATTGTTATAGTAATGGAAAGCTGACACACTGAAAGAAGAAATAGGCAAATAAACATTCTTTAGAAAGTATTAAACATTATATAAGCAGCTCCCAAATCATACACAGGCTGTGTACTTACATATTTATTTAATTCTGTTGTTATACTAGATTATTTCTATTAATTTACTAATCGACACTATCAGCAGATAGGATAGTTCAATAATTAAGAATACAGACTTATCAAATAGACCAGAATCAAATCTTGGATTCTGTAGTTACCACATTCATAACCCTGGTCAGGTTACCTATCCTCTAACTTTCTTTTTTCATTTGTAAGCATTTTACAGATACCCAGTTGTCTGTAGTTACTGTTTCAATGAAGAAACAAAGGCATCCTCATTTTCCTGAGAACTTTAAAATACAGGTCCGAAGCAGCACTAAGTCATTCATATATTAACCTACACAACTACTTTTATATGAGGCTGCAACTCTGCCTACAACCTCCACCTCTGTCTTTCCCATGTGACTTTCCCTGGAGAGCCAAGGGAATTTAGAGGTAGGAAGTGGATTCTGACCGGCTTAGGATTCCCATCTCCTTGCCACCCACTTGAACATACAGCACGTGCATAAACTGAGTAGCCTCCCCAACCTGGGTGAAAAACCAGGGCCTGGCTGCTGTATCTCCTCCTTGTTCCACTCAGCAACAGGCAGAGAGCATCAGGTGGCTGACTTCAGAAAAAAGCTGATTCTGTTCCCAGAGGCCCAAAACAATTAAGAACCTACGTGTATTTCTTGTCCAGATGAGGTGTTCTAAGAGGAACTTTAAATCCATTCCCACCCACAGCTCCCAGTTTCACTGTGGGATCCACACTTGGACTACCTCCTAGAAAATAAGAATGCAAGTATTACCACTGTAAACTGTAAGTCATTTTCCTGATACTAAGAGGATGGAGGTCCTACAATCAACTGGTTCTCGAAGGTAAATAAAGAAAATACAGCAATCTAGAAAATAGTCACATGTCAACTTCAGGGTTTTTTTTTTTTCTTGTTTGGTTGTTTTTGGTACTGGGAATTGAACTGAGGACCTTGCACTTACTTGGCAAGCGCTGTGACATTGAGCTATACTCCCAGCCAGGGTCCACTTCTTTCTTAAATCTCTGTGTATCTCTGAGGCCTGATTAAAACCTGTGCCCTGTTACTACCAGGTCAGGCACAATCTTTAGCAATAAAGGTCACAACAGCAAGACCACGTGAAGGGCCCACCTTCCCATTCAATGCTATTTCTTCCACTGTTCTACAACCATCTGTTAATTCTCTCGACCCTTAGCACTCATTTAAAAGACATTTTTCTTTCCACTTTTGATCCAATGTATTCACATTGGGCAAGGCAATTCTTTCAAAAAATTCAGTCCTACAGGGTACAGTAACGCATGCTTACAATAGCAGATACACTGAGGGCTGAGGCAGGAGATGTCAAGGTGAGGTGAGCCTGGGACACTAAGTGAGAAATCAGACCATATCTCAAAATAAAAAATAAAATATGCTGGCCATGCTATTCCATGATGTAGTACTTGCCTGGCATACATAAGCCCTTGGTTACAATCCTCAGTACCAAAACAAAAACACAAAAATTAGGACACCACATTTGTCTTCCAAGCTCTCTAGAGGCTCTCTAGTTTCCTCAGAGTAAGAGCCTTCACCGCCCTGTGAAAGCTGTTCCCTATCACCTGCAAGACTCCAGCCACCAACCTCCCTGCATTTTCTCTGCTGCAGCCACCATGAATTCCTGGCTGTTTCCTAAACACAACAGACATCTTCACACTTACTTTTTACTCTGCTCTGAATGCTCTCACCCTATATGTTCACAGGCTTCAGATTGATTCTTAGCAGGTCTCTGCTTTACACATTACCTTCACAGAGAGGCCTTCCCTGATCACCTGAGACAAAAGCCATGTTCCTCTAGTAGGTTCTCATCCTTGAGCTCTCCCTGTATCTCATCTTACTTAATTTTCCTCCATGGCACTTAACAAGTGATAGATTACGTTGTCTTGATAGTGAACACACTATAATTATTTCTTAAAAAGCAGTGTGTAAAACTGAAGAATTATAACAGCAAACTACACTCAGAGAAATTGATACTGTGTCTAAATAGGATTCACGTGAACAGTAGGCTGTTGACGTAGCAGAAGTTGATATAAAAGCAGGAAATGTTAGTATTAATTATTTTATTCTTTCTCATCAGCTACCAAGGCTTTTTCTCATTAAAAATTCAAAGGACATTTGAAACAAGGCTATCATTTCCATATGCCAATTTACTTTTTGACATGACTGTAAAGTTCACAAATAAAAGTTTCAGATATTTCAGTACATCAGGAAAGCAACAGGAACTAAGCAGTAAGACTGTGAAAAGACAACTAACACAGGAACTGGCATTCCTGTGTTACATTCTAACTTGTCCTTGCTCAAGCACAGGGCAAACTCTTTGGCATTGTGTGCCCTCACCAACTAAGCAGGAAAAGCCATCTCACACTTGGTTTCAGCAGAGGTACCAGACCAACCAAAACCATGTAAGGTAGTGAAAACAGGAAAGCATGCCAAAGATGTAGTAAGATCCTATGTTCCTTCTAGGGTTGAAAGTTATTGACTCTTCAAATTCAGTAAGGCAAAAGGAAGTGCTTACAGTAGGATTCAGAAAAAATAAAATGTAAGCCAACTAAACGTTATAATATTGAGAACAACTGCCGATTTCAAAGGTTTTGAAATACATAAAAATCAAACTACAATTTGCTTTTGTGTAGAAGTACAAAGGAGCTAAGGGAGAACATCTTGAAAACAGTGTTTCAACATACCGCATTTATACACATAAACCTGGTTATTGGCATCTAGGACAGCAAGGTCGTTACTTTTTTTAGAGTGTGCAGAGAATGTGACTTGATTCACTGGATGTGGAAGCAGCAAGTAGTATGTGCACATGGGAGGCGGAATCACAGTCTGCCGGAAGACTGTCACCAACACCTTATCTGCATGTGAAACAGAAGACAATTACACATCCAATATGCAAAACAGGTACAGTAAATCCCCAACTTATGAACGAGTTCCATTCTGGGAGAACATCTGTAACTCGGGTTCATTTTTAAGTCCAACAAAGTGAGTCTTACCTTTGACACACACATACAATGGAAAGCATAAAAAAACTAAACACACACACACACACACACACACACACACACACACACACACACGATACAGTAAGTCCCGGACAGTACTGTACTATTGTACACTACCACACTGCATGGTATGCAAACAGCACTACTGTGACAACACTAGCACACAGGTGAGGTACTTTCAGGATTTGTTCGCAACTACAAATGTTCTTAAATAGACATCTGAAGCCCAGATAGCTCAGTCGGTAGAGCATCAGACTTTTAGGGGCTGGGGATTTAGCTCTGCGGCGTAAGCATCTGCCTTGCAAGCAGGTAGTCGTGAATTCAATCCCTGGTACTGATAAAAAGGAAAAAGACAAAAAAAAAAAAAAAAAAAATAGAGATCCATTCATATCTGTGAAAGACTGCAACTTGAATGTCAAATACGTGTTTACTTTGTATCTAAATATCACTGTACTTTTGAGTAGAAATGATGGAAGAAAATATAAAGCAATTCTTAAAAATGAATTTTGATGTTTTTCTTATGAATAAGCTTAAAAATAGTATGGAGAGGGAGGAAGTATCACAGACACTTCTGTTACCTGCCTGTTGTCACTGCCAGGCCTACTGTAGTCCATCTATGAACTTGGAAGTTTTGGGTACAAAAAGGCCAAGAAATCATAGCTCTGGTTTTAAACCTTGCCCTGTGGCCAAAACAGACTAAAGCAAGAGAATCAATACTTTGAAAATTTGCAGCAATCCTCCTGCCTTAGCCTCTTAAGTGCTGGGATCACAGGTATGTGCCATCAACCCAGCCAACACTCTGAAAATTCTTAAGTACTTTCCTATGTGTGGATTTGATAAGACAGAATTAAGTACATAATATGTAACTACAAAATCAGTATTGCAACATACTACATAAAACAGGAGTTAGGGTAACAACTCATATTACAAGCTTAGAAGCAAGAGCCATATATACTATCAGCATAAGTAAACTATTTGGGTGACTACTGGACTCACCAACCCAGCCCCCACCCTCACCCCCCCAAAAAAAATCCTCACCTAATCCTAAAACTGCAATCTATATAGATTTCCATGAAATAAACTGAACATCCTAGAGAGATAATTTGCAAGTGTTTATAACAGCAAACAAAGCAATGTAAGTGTAGGGGTGCAGGGGTTAACGTAAGTCTGTTAGAGCAGATACAGAGCTAACACAGCCAAACCCACAAGATTCCACTGCTGACTTCTCTAGAAAAGATCAAAATTTTCAAAGTCTTCAGAGGCCAGATGAGTAAATACATGAAGGCCATGGATACAGTGCAACAAGGAAATGGGTGGGGAGGTGGGCATGATGTTCTCAAGAGAACATATATCCCACCTGGCATTCCCACTCAATCAGAAACAAAATGAATACACCAAACAATAAAACACAGATTTCCCCACTATTCTGATCAAATACTACACTTGAAGGTCCTGGGCTCAGGACCCCTTAAAGGTTCACGGACACATTTTCCAGCAGCTTACATCCATCAATGACAGCCACATTTGCCAAGTCACTGGAATTATCTCCTGAGCTCCGGTCAGTCGTCCAGCGCCAGTCATAGCAGAGGTAATGCCAGCCCTGACGGAGAACATGCAGCCGGTATGGGATCACTGGGTCCCACATCAGAGATACAATCTTACTCTTCAAACAGGTACTGAAGGGCAGACTTTGTTTGAGATACCAGTGATAATTTCCAACAGTCCAGAGCTGAACTATAAGGAAAACAAAAGCAAGGTCTTCAGAGGCCAGTTATACTGAGATATACACATAAACATAGAAAACAAGAGTATTTTTATAATAACTTGAAAATAGCAGTTATTACTGATATTATGGACTGTGTCTGTATGTTCTCCCAAAGCCTCCTGTAGTCACAGGTGGGTTTTTCAGAGATGGCTGGGTCTAGAGTGTGTGGTACTGGGATAAGGGATATGTGATGACTAAACCACTGACTGGTTTGGCATAGTTCTGGGTATGGATAATAGGAAGCCTCACCTTGGGCATGGGGAGTACCACCCGAGGGGTGGGTAGCCTGGAAGGGATAAAACGGGGGGTGAGCTGCCACTTCACAACGTCACTGCTGGCTGCCTTCTGCCTGCATGAACTGCTTCTCCTCTGCCATGTGCCTGTGCCATGCCTCCTTGCCTTGGAGCCAGTCGGCTATAAACTGAAAGCCCTACAAACTGTGAGCTACAATAAACCTTTCCTCCTTTAACTCTGGTGGTCAGGTGTTTAGTCTCAGTGGGAAAACTAAGACAATGGAGTGTTCAGTTACAGGAACTTTTCCTTCTTTTTACTTTCCAATGTTTTTATAAATCATTTAATACTTAAAGCATATTGACACATTTTAAAAACTTTAAGAAAGATTCTTAGTCCAGTCTAAACCCCTTCTCTTCCACAGTATTCCTTTGGTTAGCACTTTGTCTGTAGCAACATCATCCGAGAAGAAAAAGCACTTATGACTTGCAATGCTTAATTTCACATGTCAGCGTGGCTAGGCTATGGTGCCTTGGTCAAACACTAGTGCAGATGTTGCTGTGAAGGTATTTTATAGATGTGATTAACATAGTTGACTCTAAAAGGAGGAATTCTGCTTTAAATCTGTAACATAAAAATCTCACTGCGTTTCCAGCCTGCTCTCCAGCCCTATGAACTTCACACCTGACCTCTGCTACAAGTGCATTTGTATTTTTCTGACAAAAACATCCCCCAATATCCGACTGGTTCTGCTTTGCTAGAGAACCTTGATTGATACATGGCTGAATCCATAAATGATCAAACCTATCCACGCCCCACAGAAAGGATGAAGGAAACCCCACACTCTTCTACTTTCAAATACCTTTTATGAAGCATAAGCCAAGATACTACAGCTATCTTACCATAGCTTTTCAGAGCAGGATTTTCTTCCCTCTCAAGGTCTTCCAGCCAAACAGCAAGCACAGAGGAATCTGCATTCCAGAACAAGTCAATGACCTAACAGGGAAAAGAAACAAGTCGTTTAGAAAAAAAAACCATTCATCTTTAGCTTTGAAATTACTTGAAAGTCTTTAAAATAGTTGAATTTCCTGCTCTCAAAAACCAAATAAATTGCACACTACTTGAGATTATTTGTAGCTATGTTAATGAAGAGAGTTGATAAATCTTTGAAATATCATTATATATAAAGGACTTAAAAGTGTATTATGTTCAAGGATTAAAAGACACTTAATAAACTTAACAAGTGCAAGTTAACATTTTTAGACAGTTGTGGAAATTGAATACTGGGTATTACACAGTACTACAGTATGGTGTAATAATGGAGTCAGGTTTTCTAAAGAAAAATGAGTGTTAAAATCTTACATAATTATCATATGATTTTTTTTTACTTCAGGATTTCAAAAGTACTCAAGCTGCTTCAGGTTTAAATGTTCCAAGTGAAAAATGTCTTGATCACTGAAAATATTATTGTTGTCAAAATAAACAATAAACTAGTATTCTATTTCCTTTATTTTACGTACAAAATCTACAAAAAACAACTTCTCCCTTAGGAAAATAGGGCAGTTACAAAGCCCAACATTTTATTACTATCTACTCTGGTGCGTGTATTTACACAGCGATATCAAATATAAACCTCTACAGCTGAGGACAGCCTTTTAAAGTTGTGGGCAAACAACTTAGACCCTACCTTCATCTCATCCTTGAAGAATGGAAGCATAAAGTGACCATGAAGAAGTCCATTTTTCTCAAAAAACACAACATCCTGCTGATTGGGTTTATCTTGTGTAGAGGCAATCAAACTGCCTGAGGGTCTGGAAGTAAACTCAAGAGTGTTAAACAGCCAAAGCTCATCTGGCTTGTTGAAGAAAACATAAAATTCAGAAAAGATTTTTTTTCAGCAACAATAAATTAATAAAAATCTTCAACCAAGGAAATTTCAAATCCCACATAGCTCTTATCTCTTGGCAAGCTCTTTGTCTAGCTGGGACTCCATCTGCTCAGAGGAAAGGATGCCTTTTCCTAATTTGTGCAAAGGCTCCACTTGCCTATAAAACCTTAAAGGTTTAAATTGCACTTGGATGACATGTTTTTGTTTTTGTTTTTGTTTTTGTTTTGTCTTTTTCCTTTTTATCAGTACCGGGGATTGAACTCACGACTGCCTGCTTGCAAGACAGGCGCTTATGCTGCTGAGCTAAACCTCCAGCCCCCAGATGACATATTTTAAAATGCAATAAATTTCTGAAACAATCCCAAGTACAATACCCTAAGAATCATGATGTCTCCTTGAATAACTATGTAACTTCAGCAAGAAGTCCATATTTCAAGAAATTTTTTTTTTTTTTTTTTCTTTTTACCGGTACCGGGGATCGAACTCACGACTGCCTGCTTGCAAGGCAGGTGCTTATGCCACTGAGCTAAATCCCCAGCCCCTCAAAAAGTCCATATTTAGGCAAGTACTTTTTCTTTTTTGTCTTTTTTTTTTTTTTTTTTTTTTTTTTTTTTTTTTTTTTTTTTTTTAAATTTTTATTTAAGGAGAAAAGAAAAGAAAAAAAAACAGTGAAGGGTACAAGTTATACAGATTTACAGAAGAAAAAAAATGCGCAGTAGGAAATCACTAGTTAATAGATTACATATTGCCATCTTAGAAATAATTGTTCAAGTCACAGAATTAAAGTTTGTAGAGTGGACATTCCAGCAATGATACTGCAAACAGTTCTGTTCAATGATCCATTAGAACTCTGTGATATCATTTTCTGTCTTATACATTTAAATATACATGCAGTTATATAGTTTAGAGCATTTTCTTTTCCTCTCTTTTGTACAGTGACTATTACACATTTTGGGTTTCATTGCTCCCACTGTTCTTATTGCTTTTTTGGAAGAGAGTAAAACCAAATGTGACATGACAGAACAGAATCGGTCAAGTCAAAAGGGTGGATATAATAGATAATATAAAAACATAATACAAGGTGATCAACAATGGTTACCCTAATGCCTCCCGCTATTTCTAATAGAATTGCCTATATCGTTAGTTGTAATACTATTGAACAAAACCGTAAAGGATAAAACCGACAAAACCAAAACATTGGAGATATTGTAGGTCTTCAAAAGTAGATAGAAGTCAACGAGAATGGGCGTTATAATGAATCTCATTATCTTCTCAGCTGATGCCTAAACTTTCGAACCTGATACTATTCAGCAAAACAGAATAGAGGAACCTCAGTCAAAAACAAGATGGTGAGAGTAATACAGGGCTTCAAATCGAGAAAATAGAAAGTCAAAGTGGGTTACTATATTATATCCTGCTATATTTTTCCCTTTAATTAAATGGATAACAATAAAAAAGTATATAATGGAGTGGAGATTGAGAAAAAGAAAAAGAGGGCATAACAGCGAAACAGGGCAGATCAAAACATAACCTTTTAAGCAGAATAGTGTTTCACCACCAGATATTTCCGACTTAAAAATAGTTACCATATTGACTCCCTCCCTGAAGTCCTTGAGTACAACTTCATATACTGTAGCATTAAGTATATCAAAACAATGTAAAACCATTTAAGAGAATGACAGCATTATAGAGTATTTGGAATTGACTAACAGAAAATGAACAATGGTCTCTGTATAATCTCCTTGTCTTTAAAAGGTTTTTGCTTATACTAACGTACATAACAAAATCCAATAAGATACAACCTGGTTAGACCATTGGAGACAGAAGAACAAAAGCTAGATGAGACTTCAAAACAAGATGGTACTGAATCAGCATTACCTATTAAGATGTCATTTTCTCAAAAATAGCTGTTCCTATCATCCAATCTTCTCTGTCTCATTTCTGTTGAGCTCTTTTTCTGTCAGTAGCTGTCAGTTTGTCTTCTTCATTTTGTTCTCTGCTCCATTCGTTGTGGCCTCCCTGCCACTATTTCTGGGTTCTTTGTATTTTTCTTTTTTTAGAATATCCTGCAATACTTTCTGTAGAGTTGAATTGGTGGTTGCAAATTCCCCCAGTTCCTCTTTATCCTGGAAGCACCTCGTTTTTCCATCAATTTCCAGGGACAGTTGTGCAGGATATCTCAATCTTGGCTGGAGATTATTATCTTTCAAAGCTTGAATTATTTCCCCCCATGCTCTTCGTGATTTGATGGTTTGTGAAGAGAAATCTGCTGTAATTCTGATGGGTGTTCCTTTGTAAGTGATCTGTTTCTTGTCTCTTACAGCTTTTAATATTCTGTTCTTGTATTGAATTTCTGGGATTTTTATTATTATATGCCTGGGTGTTTCTCTGTTAGGGTTGTAGGTAGCTGGGGTCCTGTATGCCTCATACAGCTGAGTATCTTTACCTTTTGCTAAATTAGGAAAATTCTCCTGGATTATTTCTGTGAGTAGCTTTTGTAATTCATTTGTTTGTGTCCCTACTTCTTCTTCTATGTTCTTAATCCTTAAGTGGTGGCTCCTCTTATCATCTTCTTGTCTTTGTATTATTGCTGTTTGTTTCTTTGTTATTTTTAAGAAGTTTTTCATTTCATTCTCCCATATTTCAAGTCTGCCCTCCAGTTCAGATAGTCTGTCCTTAGTTTCTTTCAAGCTGTTATGCCAGTCTTGTATAGACTTATTAATTTCTTGATAGTCCCTTTGAACCTGCTTCACATACTCAATGCTTTCTCTGTTTTCTCCATCAAGCAATTCTCCCCTCTTTTTCTGTTCTTCCATTCCACCATCTGTTTTTTCCTGGGTGGTGTTTAGCATTTCTCTAACTATTCTGCATACTTCTAGCTTCAGATCATTGATAACTTCATTCCTGAATTGGTCTATGAGGCTCTCAATATGGTGCTTAATGTATACTGGTGCGGCGTCCATTATTGCCTGTTTCTCAGGATTGGGGGCCGAGGAGCTTTTTTTGTTGCTTCCCTTCCCCATATTTTTTGTTCCTTATAAAATGCAATCTTACAAAGGAGGCCCGGCTTCCCTGCCTGTCAGCCACAGCCTGATCAAATTGCGCTGGCTAGTTGTTCCCGCCCACCGCTGCGCACCAGGGAGTCGGAGGAGGCAGCCTACGCGGAAGTCAGTCGCTCCTCCGGGCCATCGTCCGGCTCTGGGATCTGGGTTAGGCTAGTCTAGCCTAGAGAGTCCGCCAGCAGCGTCACTCAGGCCAGGCACTTTTCTCCAATCCCGTCCGAGAGGGGAATGGCGCCCAGAGAGATCTCCGCTAGAGTCAAACTGTGGTGGGGGGTCAGATTCTCACTCACCTCGCCACCAGTCAGTTTTCGTGTACACCTCTGTCCGTCCTTTTTTTTTTCGACTCCGTTCTCCCGTTCCCAGAGCTCGGCGCTCCCAGAGCTCGGCGCGTCTCTCCTTGCTGAGCCGCTGTGGAGATAGCCGGCCGCCGCACGGCGGGAAATCCAAACCGGTTTCCGATGGCGCGGAGTCGAGCCTCCACACCGAGATTTTTCTGTTCCTATTTTAGCGCCAGGACTGTATTCCAAGTTGGATTCTCTCAGCCCAGTTCGTTCCTGAGTCAGCAGAGCATATCTCTACTGATTCGTGTCTCCCTAGTCCGCATTATTTCTGGCCTCTGAGCCGAACCTTTCAGAGAGCCTCTGGTAGTTGCTGTTGTCTGTCCGCCATGTTCTCTGGTCTCCACTCTTTTTTGTCTTTTTGAGACAAGGTTTCGCAGGCTGGCCTTGAACTCACAGTGATCTTCCTGCCTCAACCTCTTAAGTGCTGGGATTATAAGCATGTGCCACCACATCTGGCTTGTGTCTAGAATTTTAATTCAAACACATTTCTTCTTTTCCTCTATCATGTGATATCACTCAAATATTACTAGAAAATAGGATGTCTGAAACAAAAACCTAGTTTTGCATGTACCAGATGCTAAGACCAGAGGCTTTTTTTATCTGCACAGCCACACGACAGATAGCAGAGTTGTGAGGTGCCACAGGAGTACTACGCCAAGAAGCTGAGTGGAAGGAGGGAGGCCAAACCCCCTAAGTTCCTAGTAAGCAGATGCCCTGCCCTGCACAGAGGAAGAAAGCTCTTTTCCTAGTTTTCACACAACTTCCATTTGTCCCACGGAGCCACACAGACTAGGCCTTCCCTAGGACCTTTTTCTGTTTTCCACAAAGGCTTCACAGAGGCCCTGCCTGTACCCCTAACCTTTCAAAAATCAGGAATGTAAAAAGTGTGAGACCTACAGTGATGAGACCTGAGAAGAAGCTCAGAAGCTACAATTCAAACTGAAGTCATATTCCAGAAAGAAGGAGAGAAAAGGGGCGGGGGGGGGGAAGTGGAGACAGCCAAATGAAGCAAAGTAAATATCTGTTGCTATATAAACGTTCAAATTCAAGGGCACCACCACGGCCCCTCCATCTCCCAAGGCATTCTCCAAAGAAGTCCCAAGCTTTCCTTTCCCACTTACTTCCAGGCCAGGGCTGGTCCCAGTCCTGCCACAGGCTCACTGGTCGAATGCAAAGCAAACTCCCGGTTCCATACTCTGACCTTCCGAGCTCCTGTGCAAGAGGTGAATCAAATGTACTTACAACATGTATTTGAAGTCACAGCTTTTCACGCTCTTTTCTATAAATAAAATTGCTGTGAATTTACAAAGTCAATCACATTAATCTTGTTAAAAATTTGTATTCACCAAGTGAGAGCTGGAGTGAAGGTCTAGTAAAGGCTCATAATTTTTAACTCTTAAATTCATTTACCATCTAAATTAGCACATCTTTATCTCTTCTGTGTAATTAATATTCTACTCATAGCAAAAAAATACAAAAAACAAAACAACAACACAAAACACATAAACACACCTTTCCAGAACCTTAACCAGGTGTGTGGCTTTTTTTTTTTTTTTTTTGGTACCAAGGATTGACCTCAGGATCTCGCGCTTGCCAGGCAGGCACTTATACCACTGAGCTAAATCCCTGGCCCCTGGCCAGGTTTAACAAAATTATAATTGTAATTTACTTCCATACCTGTTTCTGGACAAACGACACTCACAGCAAAAAACTGTCCATCGCCACGCCAGGTAACTCGTGGTCTGTGATCATCCCAGGGCAAAGCAGACTCATGCTAAACAGAGAAAGAAATACTAATGTTACTTGGGAGACTTTAAATGGCCCAGAATTAAACAAGCCTCAGTCATTAAATATATAACTTTTTCATGAAGCTAGAAAACTAGTTTCATAAAGAATCCTCAGGTGGGGGCTTGGGATTTAGCTCAGTGGCATAAGCGCCTGCCTTGCAAGTATGTGGTTGTGAGTTTGATCCCTGGTACCGAAAAAAATGAAAAAGACAAAAAAAAAAAAAAAGAAAAGAAAAAAGAATCCTTAGGAACTCTATCTAGAAGAGCTCTTAGAGCTAGAAATCACCAAGAAAAAAAGAAAGTCAAACAAATAAAAATCCTTCTTTGGTATAAAAGAGCTATGGATCTAGATATTAAATATAGTGAGATAAGGAACTTATTGGGCAATTATGTAAGGAAATAAATGCTCTATTTACTTAAAGTAACAGAATAGTTTGGTGTCATCATTAAGTTTCATAGGGCACAGTAGTGTAAAGATGGGAGAGCTGGGCATGACAATGCACACCAGTAATCTCAGCACTTCGGGAGGCTGAGGCGGGAGAATCACAAGTTCAAGATTGGGTAACTTAACAAGCCCCTGGCTCAAAATAAAAGGGCTGTGCTTACACAGCTCAATGTGAAGAGGATGAGAAAGAAGGTGAATATGGAAGTGCCACAGAAATAGCAAGCAAGAGCAAACAAGGATGAAACATTCTGCATTCTACAAACCAGGATAAATAAAGGTTTCCAGTACCTTTTACATCACAATCTGGGGCCTTACAAATCAGCAGCCAACTCTGCAGGTGGAAGACAAATGGCCACCTGAGAATTCCAGGGACAGGCTAAGCAGAATGCAGCTACTTCTAGTTTGTGTAACAGAAATACACAGAAAGCCTAACAAGATTCATTCTCGATAAAACTGATCTTTAGTATGCAACACAAACTTCTAGTAAAGGCTTAAGGGCTGAAGTTGGTTATATGAAATATACTTGGATGTAATAAAATATGTAAATGGCAAGCAGGGTATTATAAGCTCATTTGTCCTAGAAGGGAAGTACATGGAAACTTGTTCATATAGTTCCACTTGTGTGGGCACAAACCTTGGTATGAACCCCACTTCCTTTTTCTCTCACCTACACCTGATCTGTATTAATAAATCCTATTTCTCTTCCTTCAAAACGCTTTTTTTTTGTATAGGGGATCAAATTCACAACCTCATGCTTGCCAGGCAAATGCTGGTGCCCTGAGTAAATCCCTGGTCTTCAAAATGCATCGTGAGTTAAACCACTTTTCACTACCTCTCCCTTCTCTCCCTTATCAACAAATGGTTTACTGAAAAAGTGTCCTGCGTTCACTCGTATTCCTTAGCCCACTGAACACAGCAGCCTGAAAGACTCAGTGAAAACACAAATCAGAACTTGCTGCTCTGTGAAAAGCCTCCCATGAGTCCTATGTAACTGGTGTAAAAGCAGAAGAAGTAGCGCTGAGCTTCGAGTAAACACTTTATCCCCGACTTCACACCCTGTCCTTCTCCCTCCCCAAGGACACCAGGGCCTCCTTTGTACTCCTCAATACCCAAGAAACAAACAACTTCCAAGTCTTCAGTCCTGGCTGCTCCCTCTGGCTGGAATGGTCCTCCTTGGCTATTCACAGGGCTCACTCATTCACTTCCCCTGAGTCCATAATTAGACAGCACCTTCTTAAGTGTGCCCATCCCGACTTGACTCCTCTGTGTAGTCTGCCACTCCTGATCCTGTTTTACCTTCCTCCATGGCATTTCCACTACCTGGCATATTAGATTTTGACATTACTTTACTGTTTGCACATGCAAACACAATGCACTCTACTATGGTAGGTATTCTGTTCCCTGATATATATTCAGTACCTCTAACAGAGCCTGATCAGGTAGGTACTCAATAAATGCTTTTAAATGAATCAACAACCAAACCTCTTTATTTCTAGTTTTTTGAGCCTCACACACAGTTTCAGTTAGCCTCAAATCTGCAGCAATCCTCTTGCCTCAGCCTCCCAAGTGTTGGAATTACAGGTGCCACTACACCTAGCTAATTCTAGGTAAACAACACACAATGCAACCTCCAAACCCAGAGTTATAGGACATTAGAAGAACAGACAGGCAATAATCCGAGTGCTGGAGTCACAAAACCAAAGCATTCCAACAGCAGTATTTGCATCTGCCTAACTCACAGACTTAATTCTCCTGAAACAAGGTTTCACTGCACTCCCACCTCATCCTCGTGAGTAGCTGTAACTACAAGGCAAGTGCTACGGCATCCAGTATCATCTGTGGATTTTTGTTCTGTTTTCCGAAGGTAAATGTGACCTTCCAAAGCAAGACCAAGTTCTTGAGAGCTTTTAGAAAAAAATTACAGGGGCTGGGGATTTAGCTCAGCAGCATAAGCACCTGCCTTGCAAGCAGGCGGTCGTGAGTTCGATCCCTGGTACCGATAAAAATGAAAAAGACAAAAAAAAAAAAAGAAAAAATTACAAAAGGTAGAGTAGCCCACTGGATAACATATCAGATATTGGAATGCATTTTTATTTTCTCCATTATCTGAATCATTTTATTATTAAACACAATGTTGGCACCAGTGGGTAACTCTCACTCTCATGGGCAGCAGGAGTAAAACACCTGCTCCAGAGCATAACAGAGTATGAAAAGCCACCTTATTTTAAATTCTACTATAGGGTCCCTTAAAGTACTATTTTTAATAACTTTATCAGGATATAATTTATACAACATAAGGTTCACTCATGTGAAGTACTGTATACAATTCAATGTTTTTAAACTATATTTCAAAAGCTGAGTAACCATCACCATAATGTAAATTCTGTACATTTCCAACATCTCAGGAAGAAACTTCATACCAATTTGTAGTGCTTTTTTTTTGTACCAGGGATTGAACTCATGACCTCACACTTAGTAGGCAAGCACTTGTACCGCGGAGCTAAATCCCAGCCCCGCTTTGGCAGTTCTTTCTTTCCTGCACCCGTAACTTCCAATCAGAGGCAAACATTAATCTACTTTGTCTCTACAAATTTGTCTATTCTGGGCATTTTATATATATGTAATCAATTACATTAGAAGACTGAAAACCATTATCTTGGTCAACAAAAACACTAATGTTTAAAATTTTCTAATCTATCAAGAAGGAAAACAAAGAATTTCACTCAAAAGGAAAAATCAGAAAAAAATTTTTTTAGAAAAGAACAACCCCTGCACCTGGAGGAAAGTATGAACACATGCATGTGAATGCTGAGCAGTAAAGGAAGGACAGCAGCGCTCCCTGGGGAAGATGAGGAAAGGGTCAGGAGAGGTATGCAGGAAGAGGGCGGGGGTTTCATTTCTACTTGTGATACTTTATTTTCTAAACTGTGTGATAAATATTGCTTATAATTGTTCTTGACACTTAGAAAGGATCTTTGTACATAACTCATTCCTTGAGGGCTCTAAACAGTTATAGTTTTACTAAGCAGAAAGAGCTGTCGGTTACTGGCCTCTAACTGGTCACCTAGGCATTTCTGGTGGGTGGCAGAACTTCCCTTTGTTCCAATCAAGGTCTTCTGTCTATCAAACCAATCTTACCGTTTGCATCTGGAAGGCTGCTTGCCTGCCTTCTGATCCATGGAACTGTGTCTCCTTCTTGCCCCATCCAACAGTGACAAACTTACCTAAAGAACAATTTATTAAGAACATTCAGGACAACCAATAAGCTAAATAAAGTGAAATAAAAGCAGTTTCACTCTTGTTTTTTGTAAAGTTGGTCACTAACAATTATTTGGGCTCTTTAAGACCTCTCTATAAATCACCTAGCTGTCAGTAATTTAAAAACCTGTTTTTATGGTTTTGATCTGAAATGTCACCCCAAAATTTGCTATGTCTGGATTGGATAATGGGGGTGCTATACTCACCTGTAGGTTAATCCACAGCCAGGTTCAGGGCTAAAGGTGCTATGAGGCCTGCCTGGAGGTAGGTCACTGGGGTATGACCTAGAAGGGTCTACCTTCCTCCCTGGCTCCTTGCTTTACTCTATACTTCCAGCCACCATGACATAAGTTGCTTTACTCTCTGCAGCCCTTTCCACCATGCCATTTCTACCTTGAAGCTAGCTAACCATGGACTGTAACCATAAGCCAAAATTACTCTATCCTCCTTTAAGTTGTGAGTGTCAGGTATTTGTCCCAGTGACCGGAAAGTAACTAACATTTTAGTACTAAGAGCAGAGTCATTGATGTGACTACTTGTTCGTGTGGCTCAGAAGCCCTTGGAACTGGCCTTTAGAAGGAGCTTGGAAAGTCTGGAGATGCCAGCTAGAGAAGCCCTAGAGCCAAACTTGATGGAAGATCCTGGTCAGCATTCAGAAAACCAGAATGCTCAAAAGTATCAGAAGCTTTAGCAGGGAATAAGGACTCCACTGGCAGCTGGATTTCAGATCATGTAATATTATGCTCCAGCACAAGGTTTGTCTTCTTTATTCTCAAGTCCTAAGACTTTGTGGGAAATTGAGACCTAGGGCAGCAGACTTTGTGGGAAATTGAGACCTAGACCAGCAATCTGGTGGAGGAAATTTCAAGACAACTTAATGAGTGTAGCATGGGTACTGCTGGCTGCTTTTAGCAAGACCTGTAGTAAAAATAAGGTATAAACATCAGTTATATAATAAAAAGGGTAAAGTTTCAGTTGAAAGGACATTCTTTAAAGTTGAGATCATGGAAAAAGTTGTTGCTAAGGAGATCAGCATTAACGTACTTACAATGGGGCTGTAATTTATATGCCTCATTGCTGGGTGACTCTGATTTGAATTTAGTTGTTTACTCTGGCTTGACCCACTAGTGGTACACACATGACTGTCACACTGGTAGTTTGTACTTTTACTAAGGGATCTTTGATTATTATAATGCAAAGAAAAGTCCTGATTTAATATATCAGATGTACTCATATTAGAGTTCTTTAAGGAAATGAAAATGGTACAAAAAAATTATAACCCAGCTAATTTGTGGTTCAACAGTTGTAAATCTATATTATATATTACAGCAATAGAGTACTTGTAAGGTTTCCATGTTATATTTTAGAGCATTAACTACTAATAAACTATTTATGAATGTTTCTTCTACTTTAAAGAAATTTGTTGCTTATAGTAATTTTAAAAATTGGTATGACTAGTATTAAATAATACTTGTATTTGAACAGTAATTATTCAAATTCAAGCAACTAACTAGATTTGGTCTGCTTATAAGCTTTTTATTATTTTTATTAATAAAAAGATGGATAAAAGTTTTTAAATCTGTTGTACTACCAGTGGCACAAGCTGCCCGATGAGACAGACATACATGTACCACCGATGGATCAAGCTGGCAAAAACATGTTAAGAAGAAGCCAAGTATTTTGCAATAAAACAAAAAATGAACTGAGGGCATCTCAGGAAGCAGCCAGACTCCACCCTTCACAGGCTCAATGGTACAAAAATGAAAGACAACCTGGTAAAGAGTCAAATGTACCCTACTCATGAATGGTAGCTGAGGAAACTGGTTCCCCAGGATTCATTTCACAGTGCTCAGCCATTCAGGCACTCAGGCTCCAGGTAGTCATGATGCAAGTGAGCCTGGTTACATAGATGGAGTTAACAGCAGACCTTGGTATCATCCAGATTGTGCTGGTTTTATAAGCATACAGATTTAAGAGTTATGGGGTCAGGGAGGCTTACACACACACTTCAAAAGAAGACCTCGGAGGCGAAGCAGTGTGTCCTTAAGAAGGCATTGCGTGAAGCTGTGAGAATAAAGCTGGAAGAACAGTGGAAATTCCAGGAAACTGGAGAAGCTAGGAACACCTGCTGAGGAAACCAGCAGGCAATGAGCAAGCTGCCAAAGGAAGGTCAGCAGTGCCATAGGGGTGGGGCGGCTGAAGCCATTTAGGACTCATATGTCACCATAACTTGCCCCAGGTACTAGTCTTGCATTGGTCCCATACCTTTCTGTCCTATTTCTACCTTCTGCAATACAACTGTTTATCCTGTGGCATTGCACATCAGCAGGATTTAACATTTTTAGTTTTACAAGGGCTCACACCTGAGTTGTCTCTTGCATCTCAGAGGAGTCTTTGAATTTGGACTCTTCAGTAATGCTACAACTGTTAAAACTTCAGAGGCTCTTATTAGAGGTTTAGATCAAATGTAACTCCCAAAACACTGATATGCTTAGAGGTAGGGCTTTTGTAAGGTAACTGAATTATGAGGGTACTACGGCTGAATCTTAGGAGGCAGGGTCTGGCTGGAAGAGGAAGGTCACTGGGGCAAGATCTCAAAGTGAATATCTCGCACTCAGCTTACCACTTCACTCTGTGCTTTGTAGCCGCCATGACATAAGCAGCCTTCTCCACAGCAAGTCCTTCCACCATGCTGTTTCTGTGTTTGAACTTGTCAACCAAATATTAAAACTTGAGAAACTTGAACCAAAATAAACCTCCACCTTTAGGTTGTATCAGGTATTTTGTCCCAGCATGCTGAAGGTGACTAAGACATCTATCTTCCATATTATATAGAGAAGTCATTTGGAAGAATTTGTAATAGCCTTTATTTTAGTGAGTGTTTTATGTCATATACATTCCAATTGACCTCATTGACAAAAGTCCACCATTTCACCGTTACCTATAAGAAAAATGACGTAGGAATAATTCACATAGTAAATGAGCAATGTTTATTCATCCAAAACTGGTTGAGCTGAGACTCAGCTCAAGTCAGCCTCCTCTGGGATCTTCCCTCTCCAGTTACTTCTTCCCTTTCCTTATGCTATCCTAATACCCCCACACGCTATCATTACTGTATTTTGGGCACTCTTTAAAGGAAAAGCCACCCATTTTTGAATTATCCTTATCACCAAACACACTAATGGATTTATAATAACAACTAGAAGCTTTAAATAGCATTCTAAATTATTTCAGAGTTCGTGGAGCAAGAAGCATAAAGTTAGATCTCAGGAAAAGTTGTACTATCTTCTTTTGTGATCCCTCTCTTCAATCAGGCCAGCTATATCATACCTTCCAGTTGGCCAGAGCTTCTTTTACTCAACAAGCGTCTCATCTCTCTTCCTATTTCAATACTCCCATAGCCTTGATACCCAAATAAGCTTGACCAAATATTCACAAGAAAATAATCTGATGGGTACCAGGAAAATGCAGTCAATCTAGTTAATAGGAACAAAAATCAGCTCTCTATTTCAACCCTTGTTTCCTTCTCCTCATAACTGTACTCCAGAAATGTTCTTATTCTAGCATTATAATCCAAGATAGACTTTCCTTAAATTTGGGGGGAGGGGGGGGGAACCTATCTAGATGCCTTTGAGCACAGGTTTCTATTCCCCAGGTCACTGACAAAGCTAACCATCTGACCTGGAGAAAATCTGGAAGAACTGGCTTAAAAAAATTATGCCATATAACAATTAATAAATGGAGATTTAAACTGCATAGGTCTTTGGCATTCTGATATGGATACTAAAGCACAAAGAAATGACCAAAACTGAGGAGGAACTTAATGTCACAAAATGTTTCAAAGCTGTACTCACTTTCACCAAAATCACCCTGGTGGACTGGCTGCTCCATGACTGGTTCAAAGTCTCTTGTCATCATAATCAGGGTCTGCTGACCTTAGAAAAGCACAGATAAGAATGATTGTGAAAATAAGTCATCATGTAACAAATTTGCCATTCCATAAGCATCTACAGCACTGTGAGCTACATAACCACAGAGAGGAGTTATAGTCAGAAAAGGGCACACAGAATACAAACAAAATGCTTTAACTTAAAAAATCCTTTGGTTAGCTAAGTCACCGGTTTTACACTCAGCTATTTACACAGAGAAAGCTGACATCAAAGTCCACATACTCCCCCACTAATTCAACAGTTCTAGTTTCTAAGACATCTTTCAAATATGTACCCCTGTGGGGTTTGGTTTACTGAACTTGTCTGGAATGAACTCACTCTCAAAGAAAAAACAGAAATGCAAGAAATGTTTGTAGAACCTGCTTACATAGTAAATTCTGGTCTAACAGCAGTTAAGATAAACACAGGTAACATTTTTAAGCTGCAATTGTAGACTTAGCAGCCTCCTTAAGTTTTATGACTTTTTTTTCCATTCCCCATAACTGGAAAAGTTATATATAACCATTTTATATAGAGAGGTACAAAATGAAATCAGAAAAAGCATATTCTACATTATAATGCTAGCATCACTGTTTAAGGAAATCTTTTAAAGTTTGAGCACCATGTAAGACATTAAAGCTTTATTATGAAAGCCTCCAGTGACAAGCTTACCTGTGGCAAGAAGCACAAGCTCTTGGTCAGGACTCCAGCTCATGACAGAGATGCCACTGGCCACACTTCCAACACATTCCAGCTGTTACAAAGTAAATTGAAACGGGAGGTTCAGAACAGTATCTCAGTAAAGATTTATTATCAAACAATCAAAAACAAACATGCAGCAATAAACATCCATCCAACACATTTTCAGTAACAGGGATCCAGGAAGTAGGAATCTGGGTTAGAATGGATACCCCATTCTTCCCAGCACCGCCTTATGAGAGGGAGTAAATCAGGAGTCTATAGCAGGATGAGGGTTTTGTAATTGAGGTCTTCAGGAAGTCCAGTGGGTCTCACAGAGGAAATAACAAGTAGCTAGAGAGTCCAAGAAAGTTTTTCTGTGAGGATACTTCCAGAGTGACAAGAGTCATGAAAGAAAAAGATCAGGAGAAAAACGTGTTGAGGCACAGAAGCCTAAGTGTTAAAAATCAGCTGCCACAGGCCTACTATGTGTATGCACGCCAGAATGGTGGAGGAATGAAGCTGAAAGTCAATCCGGGGAGCAGCCAGCTAAAGGTCTCACAAAGCAAGAAGGAACGTGAGCTCCGTCTTCCAGACAACTGAGAAACCACGAAGGGCAGGATCAGCATCACTACATGGAAATTAATGAACTGGATGAATTCGGTAACAAGGAAACAAGTTCTACAAATGTCTTAAAAGTAAATACCTGTTTCTTAAATATTAGAAAAGTTATATGATACCCTTTTTGACAATTCTTATCAATAAATTAGGTTTATTTGTGCATTAAATGGAGTAATGATTAAAAGTGAAGGTGCCACACTTAGAGTATGAGAGTTCAAAACCTCATCTGATAACTGTGTATCCTTGCCTAGCTACTTAAAATTTTCTGTGCCTCGATTTCCTCTTCTGAAAAATGAGAAACAATAGTCTATGTCACAAGGATACAGTAAAGAATATATACAATTTCACATAAAAAGCACACAAAAAATTACCTGGCACATTGAAAACAACAAGTTTAAGCTCTATTATGAGTCCACTATTAACATACTATAACTCCAGGGATATAATCAGTGTTAAAGTGATCACAAGTAATCTGATAATCAAAGAAGATTTTACAAGAATCAGGCAATTGCAACTTAAACACTTGTAATCAAAAATGCTGTAAATTCAGAAATTCAATCCTACACTTGAGAAAGAAAGAAGCAGGTAACTAAAACACATCTTGCAGGGGCTGGGGATTTAGCTCAGCGGCATAAGCACCTGCCTTGCAAGCAGGCAGTCATGAGTTCAATCCCCGGTACCGATAAAAATGAAAAAGACAAAAAAGAAAAAAAAAATCTTGCCTGGTTATCTTAAAATATGCTTGAAAACACAGCGCATGACTTTTGTGCTTACACAGTTCAGGGAATCTGGTCAGCTAGCTAACATACTTACCTGGTGTGTCTTCAGATTACATAGAATGACATCTCCAGAGGCCGTGGCCACACACACAGAATCTTGATCTACCAAGTCCTGAACACCAACGATGCAGCCACTTCCATCCTCTGGAAGAAAGCCTTCTGCCACCAGAGAAATTTCATTTTTCACCTTTAACCAAAGTAAACACATAAGCAAATTAATCTAATTTACTTTAAATAACACACTTTCTCATGCTAGATTAAAAATTAAACTTTCATTTGAAAAATATGACAACTCTCATATCTTTAACAAAAACAAGTGCTGGGTATGGTGGCACATGCCTGTAATCCCAGCACTTGTGAGCCTGAGGCAGGAAGATCATCATGAGTTTTGAGGTCAGCCTGGGCTACACAGTGAATTCAAGGCCAGCCTGAACTACACAGTGAGGCTCTGTGTCCAAAAAAAAAAAGCAAAACAAAAACAAGTAATATGATCTTTTTGCCAAATACAAAACGAACAAAATCTGTAATAAGTACAGTCTCTTTAAAAATTTCCAATAAGTGATAAAGCTAATGACTAGTCTTACTTTGTTTTGTTTTGTGGTGCTGGAGATAAACTCAGGGACTCTATTATAACCAGCATATATTCGACTGCTGAGCTATACCCCCAGCCTCATAATTGTCACTTTCTGCAATTTCTATAATACTGGGAAAAGATAATAAAATGTAACCACTTAACACACTTCATAGAAAAATATAATCAAGGGACTATAATCAAAATCAACTCACAGAACTTTTGGAAATATATATAATCAGATCACCACTAAAGACTGATTATTTAGCTAATATGGGTCAGGGGCCCAAATATATTTTTAAAAAGCTCCATCGGTCTTTGGCATAAGTCACTGGTAAGTGTATGCTTAATACACACAAGGTCTGAATTCAACACCCAGCACCACAAAAAATAAAAAAAACTTTAAAGGCTCCGCAGCAATTTTCACGTGCAACCTTAGTTGAGAACCAGTTATATAAATAGGACTACACTGTAAAAAGGATAAAATATCACCAATGTAGTCATAACTGGGTATAGTGGTGCACATTTGTAATCCCAGCACTTAGAAGGCTAAGAAAGAAGGATCCATACAAGTTCAACATCAGCCTGGGCTACAGAGTGAGATCAAGGGCAACCTGAAGTACATCTCAAGATCCTGTCTCGAAACAACAAAATAAACATACATATATTCAGAGCTGGGTTTACTTAGCTTAATAGCAAAGTTGAAGGCATGTTACTAGTTAAGCATATGTAGTAAGCGATCTATAAAGCAAAGAGAATGTTGAGAAAAATATAAATTCATTAAGACATAAAGAAAGACTGCCTGGAAGGAGGGAATTTGGAAACAAACAAGTCAAGGATCATGCTGAGTGCTAGCATTCTCCATCAATAACATACTTCTCGTGTGACAGGATTTACTTCTATCAATCCACATTCTGAACCAATAAGGACTGTATCCTGTTCAGTTCGGAGACAGAAGCACTGGGGTTTCCCTGGTGCTTGAATATCCTTGAACTCCAGAGTCTGAATCAACTTTAAATTTCTCATGATGAAGCAATTTCCCTAGATGAACTATTAATACCTAAAAGAGAAAGGACAGCTTAATATCAGTAAATGACTATCTTCATATAAAAAGAAAAAAACAGAATAATCCATGGGTCCAAAACATAATTAGAACAACCAAGAAAAAACCTACTTATCTAAATACATACTCATATGCAGATGCATGGCAGCAACCTGATGATGTAGAGCTGTGATCTACAAATTGGGAGTTGTGCAGTGAATTTCACTATCTCACTATTGTTGGTGAGGCAAGATTTTCAACTTTAGATTTGTGCAAAAAAAAATTTATTATCTTTATTCCTCAGGAAAGTTGAAAAGAACAAAATAAATAGAAATCATTTTATTTTGGATATTAGGATATATTTTTAAATAGATATATAAAATCGTAAGAAAAACAAAAGATAGCCTGCTTACTTGAATTATATAAAATATCCACATACATACACTGGAAGTTGATAAAAATCTAGAATCAAATGATTTTCTAATCCATCAAGTACATTTATTGAGAAAATAGCTTTGTACAGTACACTCATAAAAACTGAAATAAAAAGTAGAAATAAAAGCATTCAATGTTCTCAAAAGGAAAAAATACTGTCAAATAGTTGACTTTAAAATGATGTCTAATACTCTAAGACTGACTACTTCATTTCCCTGGCCAAGCTTTTATACAACTGAAAAGGTGAGAAAAGAATGTTAAATAGGATATGTACTTTAGTCTGACAATATTAAGACTTGATTTTTAATGCAGAACATTTATCTAAGTAAGAAAAAAATGACTAATGTGCTAAATATTTATAGTCTGACCCCTTAAATTCATGATGGAAGTCTCTAACTTATTTCAGGTGGCCACTACACAGGCCACAATGGCCTTGTCACTGTAAAACAGAGTAAGTTCTCTCATCTTGGCAGAGAGCAAAGATCAATCAATAATCCTTACAATACACAGAAAATAATATCAAGTGAAATAGTAATGATGCAACATAATGTGAGTTAACAGAAAGGCAAGAGGCTGGGCACACGGTGCATAGGCTTGCAATCCCAGCACTTTAGAGGCTAAGGCAGAAGGATCACTGTGAGTTCAAAGTCAGCCTGGATTACACAGCAAGACTAGATCATCTAAGGTGAGAGAAAGAGAATTAAGGCAAACAGTTTTACTAAGTTTTGGTGACATAATATTTAAGAGATTCTAGAATAATTTCTAGAACCAAATTATACCATGCAGGTTTTTAATTTATACCTAGTTCAACATACACAGCTTGAGTTTTTCAAATCCTATAAAGATTACGTCTTTCATCTGTACAGTATCACTGACATAAATAAAGACAGATATGAAATGGGAGAATGGCAAAGGGAGTAAGAGAGTAAAAAGATGAGGACAAATAGGGCCAACTATCCAGTTTCCAAATGATTTTTCACACTGGTTTACATAGTAATCATGCTGTCAACTCCTAAGACCTCAGTTTCAACACTGCTGCACTGGGGATTAAGTTGCCAACATATAAACTTTAGGGGACACATTCAAACCATAGCATATGCTGTCATGGCTGTGCTGTTCAGATCAGCCTAATCAGCCTCTATTTCCCTCTCAGTGAACCTGAATTCTATACAGCAACAGCCTGTGCAGACCTGGGATCCACAGACCCCAGGATAAGAACACCGGAGGCTAAAGACAAAAGGTGAAGCCTCATTTCTTTCCATTATCTTGCTGTTTTTGTCACTGTCACTCCACAGTGGGTCTTCACAAAGGCCCTCGTTCCCAGTCTCCAGTGTTTCCATGATTGCCCTCATCACCCGTTCCCGGGGGCAAAAGCACCAAACACAACCCATTCTAAACATCTGAAAGCCATCCTTTTGGGCCTCACCTTCTAAACTCCTGAGTGCTAACCCTAAAGTCTGAGTCCCAGCCATACAGTGTCTTTGCTCCAAGTCTTCCTTTGTTTTGTGCCCCACCTCTAGCTACATTTTGCAGCTGCTTCTTTCAGTTTGCCTTCCGTGTTACTTCATTGCTTCTTTCACTTTTTGTTCTTCCAACAGTTAGTTTAACTGTTATTATATTACTATTATTATATGTAATAATATTAGCATTATTATAATAAATTAGTGTTCATATTAAATTCTGTTTAAGTACTGTGTGGTTTCTACTTTTCTAACAAGTCCCTAACTGAACAAACACATCTGAATTCTCAAATCACTGAGTTTTCCAAATTCATTAGCTAACCAAGGTGAGCTTAATTTCTCTTGCACTTCAAAGACTTTAGTCTGAAAGCTTCTCTCAAGTCTCATACCCATCAGCTTTACTCCCTTAACTGCTCAGAGAAAGACGTTCCCAGGGCGGGGGATCTGGCTCAGCGGCATAATAACCTCCAAACTATCCCTGCACCTTGGCCTGTTAATACTCTTTTTTTGACATCTGCAATTTCCAACTTTTCCCCCTGAAACGTACTAAAAATCCTCCACATCACTGGTCAAGCGTGGATCATTTCCCAGTTTTCTGCCACCGCCTCCATTTTCTTCCCTTGTTCTTCATCCACTCACCTCTAAGCTAACCATCATGCCCACTACAAACAGATCACTCATTCGGCGACCAGACAATAAATGTCCATACCTCACTGAACTACTGTAGTCCAAACTCAACTCTAAAACCATATTGTCAATCTCCCTATGTTATTGCAAGCTTTTCTCACAATTACATTAAATGCAACTTGCACTGCGAAAAACTTGCTTTTCTTCTACCACAGTTCATTCTATTTTGGGACCTGGAGTTTTCACCCTCTGTCCCTAAGCTAAAAACTGTCACCGCATGTTTGCTGATTACCCACGCCCTGCAAGGAATCCTGAGGCTGGATTAGGGGCAACTAGAGGAGCAGCCTGTCACCCGGGAGGGTGCGGCGTCCCACAGCACCCGGAGATAGTTGCGGGTGGAACTGGTGACAAATCTGCAGAAAGGATTTAAGGCTCGAACACACTGACAACCTATTCTGACCCGTAGCAGGCACAGCCTCGAAGCCTTAGGATCCCATGCTCCTCTGCGCGGACTGAGCCCGGTCCCGGCCCGGGTCTCCACCTCCGGGAGGGTCGCACGAATGCTCACCAGAGCGGCGCTGGGGCCCCCTACAGAGCAGTACGCCCGCCCTCACCGTCGCAGCCACACAGAGCAGGTCTCCTGGTGCCCTCCTGGGACAGATAACTGGCCTCTGTTCCAGGCTCACAGAACTCACGGGCTTCCTGGCACAGAAACCCTGAACACGCGAGGACACAAAAACTAGCTCCGCACAGGGGAACCGCACGAGCTTGAGCAAGGCGGCGCGGAGGTGACGTCACGCATCGTAGGGCGTGGCCGGGCACAGGTGGGCTCCTGGGACACGCGCAGGAGTGTTTCGTGTAGCGCCGGCAACGTGGAGGTAGAGGGACTGTGCTAACTGCTTTCTGTTGTACCTCTGTCCTTCCGACACCCTACTGTATTTGATCCCCTAATTTGTTGTGGAACCCCAAAGTAGACTTTGTGGCGGTGGGCGGAGTCTGTGGCCAGGGAACAGCGCGCATGCGTAAGACGCCAGACGCGCGCCGGAAACCTGTTCTCCTAGAGGGAGGCGCAGAACGGAAGCGCTGTGGCCCTAGGGGGCGCGAGGCGGCGCGGGAGGTCTCCATGGCTACCGAGTCCGCGGCAGCGGAGCCTGGGATGCCATCGCTAGTGGATCGTTACTTCACTCGCTGGTACAAAACTGGTAAGTGCGGAATGATGGTGCTGTGCTTGGCCGCATTGGGTTGATGAGCCTCGACTACGATGACAGAGGAAAAACCACGTGTGCTGTTCCCAACGCTTCTCCACGTCCGGAAAGTCTACTGGGTGTTCCCCTCTAGTCGAGAAGAACTGTATTTGCAAAAATTTAAAGGCTTGAAACACAGCAGGGCGCCTTCTGGGGTCAGCGAATGCAGTGTGAGCTCGAGGGTACGTTGGTTGCGCGATAACTAGGTTAAACCGAGCGACACAAACACGAGACTGACCACTCTTGTGCATCTGCAAGGATTTGATGAGCTAAATCAGAGACTAGCCATTTAAAGGATCAGATAGAGACAGTAGGGATGGAGAGAATGTGGCCTTTCAGGTAGAGATACAAGAAAGTGGAATTTTATTTAAAGGAAAAGCTGCCGGAATAGTTCATTTGCCATTTAGAAGTAGGCATTCTTGTGCCGTTTTGACTATCAAAAAGCATTGGCAGGATCACCATTACAGATTCTTCTGACTCCTACTCTGTCCTTTTGATTCAGGAATCGTGGCTGTGCCCTTTTCTAGTACTGTAGCATATTTTCTGTTGGGCACATCCAGGGAAACCAACTAGCCTGTTTCACCCAGGACTGAGGTATTTCCCAGAATGTATTTTTTCATGCAGACATCAGGACAGTCCTGGAAACTACCAGAAAAATTGCCATATTATAAAGAATGCTTTTTTCTAATATAAATGGTAAGTTTTTTTCTAATATAGTAGTAATAGCTTTTTTCTAATATAAATATTTTCATTTTAAACTAAGGATAAAGCAAGATGGAGCAAGGATCAGTCAACTTAATGTTGAATAAATAAATCTGAGTCGGATCTGTTCACATACTTCACAGTAAGCCTGTAGTGTTTCAAGTAATGAAGAGATACCAGTGATACCAGCATGAATCTGATCTTCGTAATTATATCTGTGAAACAAAGTACCAATAGTTGTAAATATTGATTCAATGACCAACAGCCTCATTTATTATTCTAGATGTCAAAGGAAAACCTTGTGAGGACCATTGTATACTACAGCACTCTAACCGGTAAGTAAATTAGGAATTTCAAAATAGCAGGGTTTTTTTCTGGTATTTATTCTCTATGCTCTCATATTGAACAAACTTCAGTAAATAAACATTCATTAAATTATTCACTGTTTCTATTGAAATGGTTTTATTATAGGGGTCTACCTGACAGGAATGAGTCTTCAGTACTGACTACTCTGAACCAGTACAGTTGATTATCCAACCACCCAGATGCAGGACCACATCCTCAGTCACCTGCTACCCTTTAAATAGCCACCCTGTGCAGTAGACATGTCTGTAATATCCTATACACACTGGCATCCTTTACTTCTGTCCCTTCTACGCAGTGCTACCTAAAGAATTCTGGTACTTTTTCTTCTCCTGGGAAGGAAATTCAACCCCGTTTTCTTCTATTATTATATTCTCTATGCTTAAGTTACGCTACAAAGGAAAAGGAAAGGGATGATTATTTGACTAAACCAATGTCAGTTGAGGTATACCAATAGGAATACTGTGTTATAGGAGAAAGAAGTAAAGCAGTAACAAAGGATCAATTTCTTTCTCCTTGTAGAATATGTGTCATCACATTAGCAGAATCTCATCCAGTTCTTAAAAGTGGAAAAACAATTAAAAGTATTTCTTATCAGATCAGCACCAACTGTAGCAGACTTCAGAACAAGGTTTCTGGGAAATTTAAGCGGGTATGTACCTATAATTCTGTGATTATCTACCAAAATCCTCGATATTCATGGATTTACTGATCCAGTCAGCCTTAAGACTAGTAATGTATGTTCAATATATGTCTCTAGCAGTTTCATGTACTGATATTTCCCCCACTGGTTTTAAGTATACTGTAACCCTAAAGAAATTCTTAGACCAAAATAAAATGAGACATTTCACAAGGTATACTGTCAGATTCTGTACCACCCTCAGAATGGAGGAAGGGGAAAGCAGGTCTTTAAAAAGAGAACTCTACCTGTATAACAGGATACTTTTTCTGGTTTTACTACGATGGTATCTCAAGTTCTATAAAATTTTAGGTGACCAACTATTCTTTACCATACATCTTTTACACGTAAAAATAAAAAAAAAATCCTAAAAAATAACATCAATCTGAGAAAATATGTGGTATTTACTCGTTACCATTTTTCTGAAACGTTGCCACTCTAATAGTTTACCCCTGTCTTCTACCTCTACACAATTGTCAGTTACACAAAACGTTATCTTTACCCTCTACAATTCCAGGCAAGAGGACATGTTATCAAAGAAGGTATTGCACTAAGGTCAATTTGGTTACATATTAAGTATCCTGACAAACTCACTGGGTTGAGAAAATTCCTATGGGTGGTTATAGTCCTTTATTTACTGAGTCTACCCTAAGACTTTCTATTAATCATGTTTACTATTCCAGGAGACCCTAATTATTTGCCCTACAATTACTGATTCTCCTCACTTGGGGAACAAATGGATTTAGAAAAGCATTCATTTTTCTTAAAAGATGAAAATCTACACATTATAGCAGTAATGCTGAACCTTTTAGAACTCTCGATAAACAGGTAGCAGGAGAGCCTTAGGTTCACCACCGCTGAATTTAGTAAGTTGTGCATTTACTATAAGGAGCAGAAAGAGATCTACATATTTAGTCCACCACAGAATAGTTTTGATAGGATCTCAGAACTGTCAGTTCTTTATTCTCCCAAGCTAAGTGATAGATAAAAGGAATTCAAAACTTTTTTTTTTTTTTTTTTGGTGGTGGTGGTCTTGGGGATTGACCCCAAGGAGCACTGAGGTATACCCTCAACCCACTTTTAGACAGGGTCTCACGAAGTTGCTCTAGGCTGGCCTCCAACTTGTGATTCTCCTTCCTCAGCCGCCTGATTAGCTGGGATTACAGGCATGTACCACCATGCCTACTTTACCTCTGCTGTTTTAACGGAGATCCAGTTATAGACAAGCTTTCTGAGACAAATCTTCTTTCCTTCCTTCCCAAAGCAGAGAGTTACACTGATTCTATCATGAGAGGAATTACCAGATGGAGAATAAAGCCAAGGTAGCAATATCTGAAGACCATTTCATAATGTTTTGCATAGCAAATAAAAAGAATAGGATCATAACTGCAATGCCTATGTTCAGTACAGGAAAATTCCCAGAAAAGAACAGGACAATGTGTGAGATATATATGCTCAGCTTTCATAAGACTTTGTAGATACTGGTCTGAACCTTCCCAAATACACCCATCTAATGGAGCACATGAAAACAACAGCCATACCATAATATTCAAAAACATGTATCAAATTATAGTACTAATGGGCTACAGGATAATGGGTGAGTTATTTTTATTTTGCCACTTAAAATTTTGCTATTCCCAAGATTTTCCCAAAGAACATTTTTTTCTATTAGAAAAGTTTCCTTTCCATCGAATACCAAGGCTGTTAAAAACAAAAAAAAAGTTTCCTTTCTTCAAAAACTTAGTGACTGATCCAGATAAATAAGTTCCTTTTGTCTATTAAGGTAGGAATAGAATAAAAAAGGTAGGAATCTTACCAAAATTTTGTACAATATTATAACCATACCATAATTATGAATTTTATATTATTGCTTATTGGTAAATCTTCCTGCACTTTGAAATAGGTATACCTAACTATATTTAGCTTTCTCATTTATAGTTGAAAGAATATATTACTAGTCTATACCTAAACTACCTTTACTCTGCTGTTTTTCCTATAAACTAGGATGATACCTTGTAAGTAGCACTTATATGTATATGCACAATTTGTATAAGTATTTAGTCATTTTTGTTTAAGACACCAGTTCCAGGTATAGATCCTATTTCAATCCTGATGCTTGCTTCTCAAAGGAAAATGGAAATGTGTATTATTTCTTCCTTCTCATTGTACCCAGGGGGCACAGTTTCTAACAGAACTTGCACCTTTGTGTAAGATTTACTGCTCAGATGGAGAAGAATATACCATATCTAGGTAAGTAACTTAAAACAGTATCTTAACCTCAAAAGCATATATTCACTAAAAGAAAAAGTGCTATAGTAATAAATTTTTTTCTTAAAAACAATTCTTTTCAAATAGCTGTGTTAGAGGAAGGTTGATGGAAGTAAATGAAAACATTCTCCATAACCCATCTATTCTTCAAGAAAAGGTAAAAGGAAAAAATACCACATCCTGTACCTTTTTTCAGATTTTTTTTATCATTTGATGGTAATGGTCTGTTTCTCTTCCAGCCATCCACTGAGGGCTACATTGCAGTTGTGTTACCCAAATTTGAGGAAAGTAAAAGCATAACAGAAGGTCTGTTGACACAAAAACAGTATGAGGAAGTCGTGGAGAAACGCACTGAAGGCACTACAGGTACTTCGTGAAGATTGAAGTTCTTAGTGTACCTGACTTAAGTCATCAGCGAGTGCACTGAAGAAGTAGGACATGTGAAGCCTACTTCACACCCAGCCATCAGCAGAGAACAACTCGTTCTTCATCCAGCCGACTTTCCCCCTTTGCCTTATATAACAAATCCACCTTCGTCTTTAGCTCCCAGACCTACCTTGCCCAGGTACTCCCTCTGTCCTTGTCTTGCTTCTAACAGTTGGCAAATAAGGGGTGTTTTTCTGACTCAAAAGAAGTATACCTTAGCCAGGCATAGTGGTGCATGCCTGTAATCCCAGCTGCTTGGGAGGCTGAGGCAGGAGGATCACAAATTGCAGGCCAGCCTGGACAATTTCGCTAGACCCTGTCTCATAATAAAAAGGGCTGGAGGTTTACCACAGCATACCTGGGTTCAAACTCCAGGACTGCAGAGAGAAAGAAAAAAGCTAAGTGGCCTTTCTTACCCAACCTGCTCAGTGGGACATTGTTGAAAAGTCCAGTGTCACTTCCACCTCAGCTTCTCTTCCTAGGCTGTAGATAAGAGGCAGGAATGCAGTGTGGGCCCTGTCTCCTGATTAGATCAATACGACAGCCTTCTCTTCTGAAACAGAGGAGAACTGTAACCTTGGCTTGTTAATGAGAAGTACGTGAAAAGACTTGAAAAAAACTCCAGAAGGCTGTCTAGCAAATGCAAGTAGTGCATAAATTGGTCCCAGGAAATACTTCATAGTCACTTGGTCTCATACATTCTGGTTAGTTTACTTATAGCAAAGAAGTTCTGGAAAATATGTTACTCAAAGGGACACGTGCCTTGAAGCAAATCAAAGATGGTCACATCATTTAAACTAGAAAAACAATTTATGGCTTAAGATTACATACTTAATTATGCTAAATTTCAACTAAAAGGATTTTAAGTCTTGTTATTTTTTTCCTTAATGGATACAGCATGTACAGATTTATATATTCTTGCATTTATATAAAAGTTTCACACAAAAGAAATCATTTGATATATAAATTCCTTTGGTCCCTTACCTTCCTGTGGTATTGAAGTCATCTTGTGCCTTCCCTGCCTGCACATGCACTTTCACAGGTGTATAAAAGTATGTTGTAAGTAAAACTTTAAAATTACTTTTGATTCACAAGAGAAAATTGTTATAGTAGAAGTGCCAGAATGACTCTTTCCTAACTTTACCAGCCATTTGACAGAACAAACTAAACACAGTAATGATGCTGACCTGAAAATGTGAGCAAAGGGGCTGGAGATTTAGCTCAGCGGCATAAGCACCTGCCTTGCAAGCAGGCGGTCGTGAGTTTGATCCCCCATACAGAAAGAAAAAACAAACAAACAAAAAGAAAATGTGAGCACAATCAGTAGATCTCCACTTCAAGTAGACTTTATATAAAATAATCGTAAATACAGTGAAAGAACTATGTGTCTGTTTTACATATAACATTACCTCACATCTCTCCCAATATTTTATCCTATAAGAACATTTTGGTGCCACAGAATAAAAATCATGCTTGATTGTTTAGAGCTGTTGAAGCTGGAAACTGATCACACGCTGCAAGGCCAGCCCATGACCATCCCAAGAACAAAGAGTGCCTGCAGCAGCCACGTGAAGAAACTGCTTCAGCCCAGAGAACACCTGGCCCCGAGACAATCTGAACAGTGGGCTGCTAGGACAACAGGATCTCCTGACATTAGGTTGCTAAAAGGTATAAATAAACGCCCCTACAGTGAGGAGCCGGTACTTTTCCTCCCATCAGAAGGATTCGGGCTCCACCTGACCCCAGCTTTGTCTTTTATTTTTCTAATCCTCTTGTAGTCCTTAACCTCAAGAACCTCAGGAGCTACACAGCTCTTGATGATTTTGACAGCTCAAAGAAGTATATTTTATAAACGTCATTAACCAAGCATTTTCTTCCTGATGATGACAGAACACTGACAAGCTAATTGGTAGTGTCGTTTCCTAGGGACCTTTTGTGAAGGCTGATTCTGTGAGTGACCCAGATAAAGATCATCAGACCAGCTAACATTTGCACTGCCACTTGGCAGCTAATTGACATGACTGATTTCAAAAGGAATTTTAAAGTATTGGGATACAGACACTGACATTCTAGAACAAAGTAAACATGAGAAAACCAGTAAACCACATCCTTCAATCAAAACCTCATCTACAAAATCACAAACTTTAAACCATAAAGTGTAAAAGACTAAAGGTATTTATTTGATTTATAATGAACATTCCAATGCCACAAATATAAAATATATCCAGATTTAAACAGCTCATTGGTGTCAACATTCTGTCTTTATTTGCCATTCAATCCATCAATGAGGCAAGTTCACAAGTGTTTAAACCAGTAAAAAAACGCTTAGGATTCTAGTACTCAGGGCCAGCTACTGAAGAATTAAAACCACAGCTAGCCATCTTTTCTTATCCAGGAGTTACCTTGGTTCCATTACCTCACTTTGGATGGGAGATTAGTGACACTCAGAGCCTCACCAGCAACCTCACCATACCTAAAATGTTCGCTAGAAAACAACCTGGTACTAGTATGGATGGCCAGTAATGGGCTCTGAGGAGCTCCTGTCACATGTGGGCAGAGGGACTGAGGAAAGTCCACAGGTTTAAGAAAAACCCTGTATTCATTCAAACTATGTTTTCTGCTGAAATTAGTTTTCTGAATGATAAGCTTAAATAAAATAGTTCAGGTACAATATGCCACAGTTGAGCACATTCAAAATAGCTTCTTTGGATGCAGTTGTCATTAAGACAGTTGAGATATTTGGTTTATCTTTTACAGAATATCATTAGTGCAATGTTCCATTTTAAAATCACACTGCAATTAGAATTCTAGCAACTACCATGGCATTTATTAGTTGACAGCGTCACATTCTGAAGATCAGAAAGTTAAGCAGTGTGTTTTCCTCATAAAATGGTTAAGTTTCTGCAAATATAAAATTATTGCTTGCTTCTTTAAAACGCCAGTTTTGCCGCGATGTTCCAGAGGTCTGGCCCAGGGCTGCTCAGGTTTTATTGTCCGTGGAGTCTTTATTTGTAACTGAGACCCATCTGCTATTTTCCATCTGCAGCTGGAAAGAGAAGAGAATTAGCTTCTACTTTGAAGAAAAAGACACATGATCAGTAAATATTTTTCCTTACACTAATAAAAAATGAATTTAAAATAGAAAAACTACCTCACCTTCTTCAGCAGCTTATAACAAAGTGAGAGCAGCTGGACCAACAGTGCCATCATAGAGCGTGTCTTTGTAATACACTTATCAACCTACAACAGCGGAAAGCATGCGAATCACACACTAAATGTGGCACTTTAACACACTTCACCATTTATTCAGTTTTAAAATGATTTCATTTTTCCATCATGGCACTCAGAGATGGTCAAAGGTAAAGACTTAGGCACATGAGATGACCTTAACCCCAGACAGAACACAGGGACGGGACGGGACAGGACACTGCCTGGCTATCTTACAGGTTTCATGGAACACTGGGAAGAATGGGTAGGAAAACACCTGTTCTGCTTCAGGCTGTTTAGAATTTTCTCGAAACAGTCCAAATAGTGGCTGTGAAACTCCTACTCTGCAGTTCCTTACATTCTGCACATTTTCTTAGGTAAATTGGAAGCCCAGATGGAGATGTTTGTGGCCAGACAGGTGGAAGCCTCAAGGACTTCAGGGTAGCTGCTCAGTGCTTTGGAATTACTCTGTGTCCAAAAAGCTAATTCGGTTTGGTGTACCTGCTGTTCTCTGCAGTCGATTATAAAGCAGACAATAAATGATTCTATCACTTAAGGCATGAAAAATAAATTATCGGGGCTGGGGATTTAGCTCAGCGGCATAAGCACCTGCCTTGGAAGCAGGCGGTCGTGAGTTTGATCCCTGGTACCGATAAAAAAAAGGAAAAAGAACAAAAAATGTAAACAAGAAAAATAAATTATCCTTCAGGGTGAATACTTCCCCTGAAAAAGCAACTGGAGCTAATCTGATAAGGACAGAGGTCTGCTAGTTCACATGCCTACCTGAATAACCCACCCTCTCTTTTACCTTTAGAAATACTTTATTCTGCAAAGATGTTTTAGTTACTGTCTGGAGCTGGTGGCATAGAGGAATTAGCTTGTTTATTTCCAGGAGAAGCATAAGCTTGTCATCATCTTTCAGCTGAAATGTAATTGAGGAAGTTACAAAAACTTCACAAAACTCCATCTTTTAGTTGTAAATATCTATCTTAAAAATATATTAATATGATAATATGTAGACATAACATTCCCCACCAGCACCAGGCAGGTGACATATGTTACCTGTTTGGAAAAGACTTGCACACTTGAAGTAAGCTTTAATCCTTCTGCAGCAAAAGCCTGGTAGAAAGGGAGAGCATCACTATCTTATGTTGGTGTCTTATGGGTAGGTATTCAGAAATACACTCACAAATAATTTTTATATTGTTCTAAAAATATAATAGACATTTTTAAATAATGTATCATAGAATTCCTAATGTTTTTGCTGTGCCCAGGAAAACAGAAAGGTTTACTGGATTCAGGAGTCTTTCTATGACCTAGTACAGAGTCAGTCCCTGGAAACCTTCCTCTGTGTGTGAGGACACCTCTAACATCAATACTTAGTATGTGACATTCAACCATACAAATTCTACCTGGGTTTCTGGAGGAATCCTGAGCTCATCTCATAATCTCCAATTTTAAAAAGGTGATAAATCTCGGAGCATGAGATAAAGTTGAGAACTGCTGCTTCCACCTAGACAAGATTAAATTTGTCACCTACAAGCATTCTACAGCCAGCTAGTTTGAGAGGAACAATCTGGTTTGCTTTTTGTTGTCCCAGATTGACGGGCTACCATGCATTTTACAATTTAGTGAAAAGAACAAGGATGATAAAAAGTAGTGAAAAATAGACTAGACAGAAAATAGGAATATTTCAGATGTTAGAATGAAATGTAGAATATTTTAGAGCAACATCACCAGGTTAAAGGGATGAAGGGTCTTAGCATTAGGTGGTAACCATAATAAGGAAGAGAACAAGGCAAGTCTGGGAGTGATTTATGAAAAAAACATGTTTTGATAATAGGCTAAATAAGGAGTATGAAGAAGGAAGCAATATTTCAGGTTTTTACCCTTTTTTCACCAGCCTTAACACTTTGCTGTTATTGGATACAAACATTTTTAAGATCAGGCTTGCATATTTCCCTGTTGTTTGCAAGGGAAATCAATGAGCTTTACATCTGGATTCTAGCCAAGGTGGAATATTTACTTTCCCATGTGTCCCCATCGTTCCACATTACCACTGGCTGTTTTGCATATATGTTCTCTTCCTTTTTAGGCCCTTGGGTGTAGGATCCATGTCTGTCTCATGGAGTACCATATGTTTTAAGAGAGCCTTAAAACGAGTAAATCCCATCAGGCTCAGTGATGCACAATTGCAATCCTAACTACTCAGGAGGCTGAGGCAAGAGGATAGCAATTTCAATTTCAAAACCATCCTGGACATCTTAAGACTCTTGCCTCAAAAAATAAAAAAGGCCCGGCATGGTGGCACACACCTGTAATCTCAGCACTCAGGAGGCTGAGGCTAGAGGATGTTTGTGAGTTCGAGACCAGATGACTACAATGTGAGTTTAAGGCCAGCATAAACTGCATAGTGAGATCCTGTCTCAAAAAGCCAATAAATAAATAAATAAAATAAAAAAGGGCTGTGTGTGTAATTCACTAGCAGAGTGCCTCTGGATTTGATTTCCAGTACTATAAAACAAACACCTGGTAACTCCCATGTCTCCATTTCAACATAAGTCTTGTGTGTTCTACTTGCCCTTTGGAGTCAATATGAGCAAAACAAAATACTCTAAATCTTTCCATCCTCTAAATGTTATGTTCTCCAAGTTCTGGGTTCCTTTTCTCAGCAAATGGGACCATCCTTTACCAAGTGGTCCAGTCTGAAACCCTACAGAACGTAAGAAAAATCAGTCACTGCTTCTCAGAACCCACCATGCACTTACACCGTCATGACTGGAAGAAACCTTCCCTGGCCTACAGAGTTGTCATTTTCCTCTGGCCTGCTCCACTTACCTACAGTTGCTTCCTTATTTTTCTGTTTCATTTAGCCTACCCTTAGATGCCAGGGCCTTTGTATCTGTCCTTTCTGAAGTACTGTACCCCCTCTCACCCATCTCTTGCTCAGTCTCTTGCTTCACTGATGTCTCTATTCTAATGTCGCATCCTTAGAGAAGTCTTCTGACTACTCCTTTGTTACCATCGTATTCTTATCGTGTGTGATTTTATCTTCAAGAACCTACATCTGTGCATTAGATATTTTGTACTGTCTCTTCCCACTACAATATAAGCTTCACGGGAACTGAGCTTTGCTTAGTTCTCTTTTCCACAGAGCTCCTATTTAGCAAAAAGTACAAGTTCAGTAAAAATTTTTTGAATGAAAAAGATGCCATTTTATGGTCATCACAGTTGGGAACAACCAACTGGTTTAATGAATCCACTCCTCCAGGAAAAGGTGAGTAGTACACACCTGGAACAGACATAGACCAAACTCAGAAGAATGAATCCCAGATTTCAATTCAACTGCTTTAAGGAAAATAGCTCTTTTATAGTCTACTTTCAGAAGAAATATTTTCTGCATTTCTTCTATGTTGACAATCATTTCTTTAACCTGAAACTTTTCCTGAAGAAGTTAGGGTAGAAGTACACAGAAGCACCAAAGGAAACCATACAGGAATTACAATTACAAAGTGATAAAAATTTCAACTTTCAAATGCAGGAATACTCTCAGCAAACAGGCTCACAGGGAGAGAAGAGACATGAATAGAGTTTTGCAACCTTGCCAATCTTAAGACATTACCTGGAGGGAGGTGTATGTGGGGTTCCATTAGATGCAGGACAAAGAAAAGGGCTAACATCTATCTCCATAAATGCCCAAAGCAGCATAAATATGGAGGGAGAGGTCACTAACAGGCAAAAATAACCTCTACTGGTCTTCAGCCCGTGACAGAAGCTTTCCTATTCATTATCTCATTTAATCACTATCACTCATCCAATTCAATATTGACAAGTCAAAAGTCTTTCCAGACCTTTGGAAGGTACAAGGGATTGTATTGGCTCACAGGTATTGCAACTACTATCAATAAAGTACATTCAACTTCATCCCCATTACACTTATGTTTCTTTCTGATAAGCAAGAAAGCTCCACAAAATGTTACAGCAAACCTCTACTTTTCTACCACTCACTGCTGCAAACATAGCCACATGACATAGGAAGTCATTTAAAAAGCCACCTAAAATTCACTTTTTGCTCAGAAGTAGAGCAGCAGCATAAACAGAAAGTAAAGCATACCTCTAGGTGATGAATTAAATCCTGGGAAGTTTTCAGCGGCCCCTCTCCCCTAAAATAGAATGAATTTTTAAGAAAGTAAAAAAAGTTATTGCCAGGATATTGGTTGTATCATATTAAATTTAAGAAATATATATTAAATTTCAAAACATTTTGTGTAGTAAGAGTTCACAAATTTTGAAGGATAAAATGCACAGACTCATACTGACTTTAAAAAAAAACTTTTGTGAATTTATTTAAAAGTGACTAATATTTATTACATTTTAGGGTACTCTTCTCCCCAGTGAACATCGTATTTGTTAATTTTATTATGTAGCAAACTTAAAACTGACAAGTTAATTTTAAGTTCTATTTGTCCTTTTTACTTTTTTTTTTCATTTTGCTCCATGAATGAAATATATGAGATATCTTAACCAAAAGGCTGTTATTACATAATGGAAACAGGATCAAAGCAAAAATCAGGAAATTCTCACTTTTACTTGTAATTTCAACTCTAGCAGAAACCCAGTCCAGCTTTGATGAGACACATTACTTAACCTTTAATTTTCCCTGTAGAAAACAGTCATAATAATACTTGTGTTACCAGTCTCATCAAGAGATTGAAAATATCAAATTATAAACCAGTAAGAATTCAGAGATCTAAAAAATGAAAAGTGAATTATAAGAAAAAGAATAAATGCATTAAGGGGAACAGTGGCAGTTAGAGATGTGGCTCAGCAGTAGCGTAGCAAATGTAAGATCCTGGTTCAGTCCCCAGTATCCTGCCTTGCCCCCCTCCTCAAAAGAGCAGTGGACTGAGCATAAATCAAATCTGCACTCTAGCAGCAATCAGCTCTGCCACTTAATAGCTATGAAATTTGAAAAAATCACTACTGTTCTCTGTTAAACAGAGGATCAAATGAAATCATGAAGCAAAATCCACTTTAAAACCTAACAGGATGGACTCAGCAGCTCAGTGGTACTGCACTGGCCTTATATAGGTAATGCCGTTGATTCAAGCCTTACTAGAGCAACAGAGGAAAAAAAAGTCCTGTATGGGCTGGGATTTAGTTCAGTGGCATAAGTGCCTGCCTCACAAGCGCGTGGTCATGAATTTGATCCCTGGTACCGATAAAAAAAAAAAAAAAGTCCTGTAAGGTCCTGGTTAGGCCTAGTATTTTTTAAACTATAAAGTACTAAAGAATCCTAAAAACGTAAATTATCAATAAATATGACTTATTACATATAAATTATTGAGAAATCATGTAACTTATTACAGTGAGTGTAAGCAGTAGCCTAAAGAAGGGCTATAGAATTGCCCAGGAAGCTGGATATGGGAAGGCCAACAGCTGGTCTTAGAAATAAGTACCTAGATGAGGTTGGTGAATCACACCTTTTAAAGGAAAATGGAAAGATAGGGGAAACAGGTGTATAAACCATGTGGATACAAAATTAAAAAACCAATCTGAAAAAATAAAAAAAAAACACCAACCGGAGTATTTACCACAGGAGGTAATTACAGGACCAGGATTTGCCTACATGATACTAGGTATTCATTTAGTACAGAAAATTCCCCTTCCTTGCCAAGTCATCATTTCTAGCCACTAACCATATTTTAGAACAAGTCTTAACCCACAGAGCTCTTGTAATCCCTACCCATCATGGACCTTAACCTTGATGGGAAGTACCATATCCTTTACCAAACTCTACTGTTTATTCTGACTTTGAAACAAAAAACGCTGAGCATCTCATCCTGAAATACTCTGAAATAAAAACTAATTAATATGTTCTATCGGGCTGTAATCTGTATGTCACGTTGCCAGGCAACTCAATGTGTGGACCAGGAGTAGTATGTGCACGACTGTGCCACTGGGCAGCATGGGACAGTCCCGTCTATGACATGAGCTGCCAGATGGGACAGTCATGCATATACTACCAGTGGTCCAAGCTGCCGAGAATGTGTCAAACAGGCAGTGATAGTCTTAAAAGAAATGCTGATGAAACCTTGGGGAAGATTTTTACATATCAAACTAAATTCATTAAGTTAATGTATTTTTTCCAGTTTTTATTAGTTAAAAACTTTTTTAAAGCATCATTTTCATGCCAATTAGTCCAAAAGTTGGCATTTTTGTTATTTCAGTAGTCTGTTGAAATTTATTGTGCGTACAAGAGTTACATTTTGTGTCCTTTTGTAGACTTGAGCCATCAGGTTTTAAAGAAGAATCCACAAGGAAAAGAAGCCAACAGTCAAGCTGGGAAGACTCAATCACAGGAGAACTTTGATAAAGATGATATAAGAGCCAAAAGGGAACCAACAAAGAGGTTTAATCTAAATGATAAGGCATTAACAAATGATAGGTAAAGAGCAACAGTATTATGAACTTGTATCATTTGTGCCTTCTCCCTCCAGAAACATTATTATCTACCTGGAAAATGAAGTTTCTTAGCTAGGAAATGCACCTTCCCTGCCCCCAGTCTTCCTTCTGAGGGAATCTCCACAAATCTAACATCCTCATCACTCCTCCACTGCCTTACTTCTTCCTCCCACCAAAAGAGTAGATGCTCATCTTTTCACTCTTCCTGACAACTTCGCAAAAATAATATCGATATTGCAGTTCTTTCTTTTCCCCATTTCCATTTGGAAGTAAAGCTGCTATCATGGTTTATGGCCCCCATATGGCCCCCAGGCCTCATGAGTTTGAATCGTGCATTTGTTATTCCGTCATTGTCTAGTGCTTGGATTGATGGTGTCAGTGCTCCACCCACAAAGGGGTGGAGCCAGGATGTGATGTAATGGCAGGAAGAAGGTGTGTCTTGCTCTTTGCTGATTCCTGCTTGCTGTTTGCACCCACCATGAACTGCGGCCCAGCCATGCCAGCCTGCCTTGGAGCCAACTGAGTGTGGATTGAAACCTCCAAAAACTGTAAGAAATAAACCTTTTCTTTCCCAACTTTGGGCATCAGGTATTTTGTCTCAGCCACGAGCACAAAGTAACTAAGACAGCTGCCTTGAGAGATACTTGCTCTTCCAACATGTTTATAGACATTCTGCCTCTGCGAGGTAAGATGTCTTGGTTTCATTTGCAGTTTTGCAGATGGAACCCAGAGCCTTCAACACCAAGCTACATCTCTAGCCCTTTTTATTTTAATTTTAAGACAGGGTCTCACTAAATCACTAGGTTGTTGCCCCGACTGGGTTTGAACTTGCAATCTTTCTGCCTTAGCCTCCCAGAGTTCTGGGAGTACATGCATGCACCACGTGCCCAGCAAACATAACATTAAGTCTAGAGCTCATTTTTAAAAACCTACTTTGCCTGTGGATATAAACTACATTCTACAGTACCAGTTTTATTAATCTTTCAAAAAAATGAGTAGGAGAAGGGTTAACCAGAAACCATCAAAAGTAGGTATCGGTTGTCTTCCAGGTTTCAAAAAAACAAAAAGACAGATTGCAGAAAGTAAATGAAAAATTTTCACTTGCTTCTTTTTTTTTTTTTTTTTTTTTTTTTTTTTGTCTTTTTCCTTTTTATTGGTACCAGGGATCAAACCCACGACTGCCTGCTTGCAAGGCAGGCACTTATGACGCTGAGCTAAATCCCCAGCCCCTTCACTTGCTTCTTAATAAAACTCTAGAACTGATCATTAAACACAACATTTTAGTTAAGTGGAATTACTGTACAATGTGTATAGATTATAGTCATGAAAGACTACGGAATCTGATCAATTCTAACTTCAGTGAGACATTTAAGCTGGGTATGGTGGTACATGCATATAATCCCAGCACTCCGGAGGCTGAGGCAGGGGGACCACCATGAGTTTGAAACCAGCCTGGGCTACATAGTGAGTTTAAGGCTGACCTGGGTTATATGGCAACATTCTGTTTAAAAAAAAAAAAAAAAACGTCGGGGTGGGGGGGACTTTAATTAAGAGCCTTGTACTATGACAGAGAACAGAAAAAAGAAAGATAACATTTGGAAAGTTCTTATCTCCATAAATGAATGCTGCTCACAGAAATTTGGCAACCTATAGAGGTAGGCCTCATAGCTCCATTCATTGGTGTATGTTTAATCAATCACTCTAAAAGTTATAAAAGGCATGCCCAATCAGGTGTGATAGTACACACCTATAATCCCAGTTACTCAGGAGGCTGAGGCAGGAATATCACAAGTTCAAGGCTAGCTTGACAACTTAGTGAGACTATCTCAAACAATAAGAAGAGCTGATGATGTAGAGTGTGGTGGTCCCAGAATCACAGGCTGAGGCAGAGAATTGTTAAGTTTGAGGGTTGCCTGGGCTATATACCAAGTTCAAGGGTACCCTAGACTACATAAAGAAATAGATTTTTTTAAGAAAAAGTGTTGAAACTAAGTGTAGCTTAGTGGTAGAACACCTCTGGGTTGACTCCCTAGTTCTGAAAAAAAAAATGAAAAAAGAAAATAAAAGGCATGTTCTCCAAACATACTGATGCTGGCTAAGACACACCAATGTGCACAATGACAAAAGCATAATCTAAAATTATTTCACGATTATGGAAAGAGTGGTGCACAGACCTAGAAAAGGAGCCCTCTTAAACCTAACTTAATTAAATGTATCTTCTTTCTGCATCTGCTGAATTATCATAACTACTTCTTGTTTTTTTTTTTTTACATATATGCACTGGCATTAACCCATCAATGATTTAACACAGCACTTTGTCTTTTATTGCATACTGTGATAGTGATTATAAAAATCAAAAGGAAACAGCTTTACCTGGTAAATAAATACAGAGAATAGGCCAGCCGGGACATGTTCCGTCCGTGTCGGACAATCTCATTCTCCTGATCTTCCCACTTCTCGAGCTCACAGTCGGCATCAGAAGTAAGCAAGCCCAGCTTCAGTCCAAGCTTTGCTATCTTGGCTTGCTCCTACAAATGTACATCACATTCACACCTTCTTGTGACTGAGGTGAACAGAAGATTAGATGTAAGAGGATCAGAAAGGAAGAAGTCTTACCTCAGAGTCAGGCTTGTCCGGCTTCAGTGACTTGTTTACGTTGTTCTTCTGTGACAATAAAAAGATTGCAGTATCTTAGAAGGCAGTGTATTTAAATATAAGGGAATTCTACAGTTACAGAAAGCATAACTTGTAAACACCTCACTTTGATTGACATCATTGTTGCTAATCCTGCAACTCACATTGTAAAGAAATTATAAGAGAATTTAAGGTTTAATATGTGAACCAATGTTCAATGGTTTCCTATTTTTGGAAAGCAAGTTTGTTTTTATATAAACTACTTGGAACTCAGAACATATAAACCTGTTTTTATATAAACTATTTGGAACTCAACATATAAATTTGTACTAATTAGGTTATCAGCCTAGTCCACGGATAATTTACTTGAAGAAGACAGTACTAGGAGAGATCCTACCACTACCAAAAGCAGTATTTCTTTGAAAATATATTTAAAGGTGCTCTGGGGATGATAGCCCACATGGAGCATCCCTCCAAGTCTGAGAGCCAGTGGAAGCTACCATAGTAGAGCCAGGAATTCTTAGAAGAGCCAGAGACAAAGAGTGGCCAGCAGACAGAAAAGTCATTTTTCAAAATAGAAACAGGGGTAAAAACATAAATCAGGTTTGTAGTCCCATTCAAGCACACAGGTGTAAATTACAATAAAACAAAACACTCATGTGCTTATCTAGCTTAAGAGAAACACCATTACCAGTATCTCTGAGATATATACACAGACGCTCCTCAACTTACAATGGCTTATATACTGATAAACCTTTCATACACTGAAACTGTCAAAGCCAAAGCTGAACTGAACACCCTAACCCATGGACCATTACAGCTCCTCCATACAGTACACTGTAGATGATCAGTTATTTTCCCTCCAGACCACAAGGCTGGGGTTGCGGCTTCACCGCACCTGCCCAGCACCATGAGAAAGGACCTGTAAGCAAGCTTGGGAACAGATCAAAATTCAAAACTCAAAGTGCGATTTCTATCAAATTATTGTTTTCGCACCACTGTAAAGTGCAACAGTTCTAAGCGAGGGCCATCTGTGTGTGCACGTGTGTGGCGTCAGATACCACAAAACATCTGGCCACCAACAGACTACATACACAATGGTGCTCTCCTAGACTGTACTACCTAGCCGTCTTAGTCCATCTAAGTGTACTCTAAAATCTATTAATAAGCGTTTCTCAGAACAAGTCCTCATTGTTAAGTGACACATGCCCGTGTGTGTATGTGTGTGTCTGTCTGCCTCAGCCCTATTTTGTTTCCCGTATTATAACCTATACCAATGATTGTTACTTCTGACCAGATATTCTGTCACCAGGTTCACTGCAACACAAAACTGCCTCAGCTTTTCCCTTTGCCTATCCCACAGTTTAGATCAGCTCATTGATCTAAACTAAAGATTTTTTTAAAATGATATTTACTGTCAAAGTAATGGGTGAAGCAAAAGGACAGAATGTAAGTATATAGAAAGAAACAGTAGTTATATACACACCACACAGACACAAGCCCTCTCCCGGCTCCTGAGGAGATAAATGGGCGTGAAAAGTGAGGTGTGTCCCTGGCTCCTCCTGGACCACTGCATTGTCCTTATCTCTCTCCTTGGTTTGGTAATGCAACTAATAACGCAGTCGAGAAATTTATGGACAGTCTCAAGGTTTTAAGGGTTTGTTTTATTTAGAATTTTATTCTTATCCTTTAAGATTAGTTGTACTTTCATTATTTTTACTTTAAATTTTACAAATCGGTGATATTGAGGTTTTTAATGAAAGCAGACTGCCGCAACAGGCAAAGGGTCTTAATGACATGACCAAGCTTCCTGCCCTCTAGTGGACACTATTTTGGAATGCAGCCCAGATGCATCAGTGTTGGTTATGTAAAGCTAATACTGAGCATCTCAAATAGCACCAGCCCCAAATCTGCTTCCCAAAGATAACTACAATGTTTTAGGAATATAGTTAGATGCCCAACGAAAGGAATGGTTCATGATTCTGAATTGTTAATTAAAAATTTAAAAGACAGAAATCCAATAAAATCTTTGTTCTACTGAACCACTTAAGAACTCTGATATTTTTTCTTTTCTTCAAAAAATAATTTTGGGAACTGAATGGTGGCACATGCCTATAATCCCAACACTCAGGAGGCTGAGGCAGGACGATCTCAAGGTGAAGGCCAGCCCGGACTACATGGCAAGAGCTATCTCAAAGGAAACATTTTTTTTTTTTTTTACTAGCTCTAAGTCACAGCACTTGCAAAAGTCTCTTATCCTCATATGCTTAAACTCAGTAGGATATTAGCTATGATGCGATCTTGTTGGGGTTAAGTTGGACGTAAGCACAAAATAAACTTCTTTCCATACTTTTGAACTATTTTGAGGTGGTTTAATACAGAGAAACTGTCTTCCAAACAATGCCACAAAAAACTTTTGCAGTTTAATACTAATGATTTACACAATTAAAAATAAAAATAACAAAAATACCATCCTGTCCATATTCCCATCCCTCATCACCGGTCCTCTCTCCTGACACGATCACCACCATCACAACCAATTCTCTCTCCTGGCCCCATCGTGAACATGTTAAGAGCCTAACCGTATTTGTAGTGGAGGAAGGGTAGGAATAACAGGCAGTGGAGCATGATCTGTTGGCCATGGGGGAACATGCATATAATCCCAGCACTTGGCAGGCTAGAAGACTACTGCAAGTTCAAGGCCAGCCTGGGCTACACAGTGAGTTCAACATAACAAGACCCTGTCTTAAAAATCAATCAATTCTCATGAAAAAAAAAAGCATAATTTAAATTTTGAATTCATACACACACACACACACACACACACACACACACACACATATCCAAACATTCTGAAATGTACAAAATTCTACTTACCATTGGCTTTGGCAGTGAAAGGTAGCCATACTTCTCTCCTACAAATAACATATATAGTTTAACTTTTTCTATTATTTACATTTACTTTTAAAATATTAAATGGGAAAGTTAGTACACTATATTGGTGATTTAGCCTATAACTATACGTGGTTGAGAAATAAACTGACTTGGTGACAAACATGATGCCTAAACACCACTTCTCTGATGGCCAGTCTCTCCAACATACAGGGAGAAAAATAAATGTCTCACTGACATGGACTTCCACTTACAATTGGCTTCGCACTCAGAGCACCTTTTACGGAAGTCTACCTCTGTCAAAGCCAGAGACTTTTTAAAACCAGTACCAGCATCGGTGCTTCTTCCTTTTCTGCACGTACCCAACCAAGTCATTTACAGCTAACCTTATAATGCGTTCTCAGTCAAGGAAGAGGACAACTTCAGTAAACCAGAAAGGAAGGTGAGGAAGCACATAACAGATTGTTTGGGCTATGAACTGACACAGGGCATGAAACACAAATAGCTAAGAAAAGGAAGCGGAGGGCAAAGCCCACTTCATCCCTGCCTCATTTATAGCATTTCTGGTGTCCAGATCATGAACAGCCAGGTTACAGTAGATGACAGATGCTTTTTTAACACTAGTCTGTGATGTTTAGGTTAAGAATTTAAATAATCTTATACTGGGAAACACTGTGATCCCCTACAGTGCTCAGGACCCTCAACTCTTCACATCCACTCTCCAAAAGGAGAGAGGGGTGAAAATCAACCGTTTGGGTCTGTAATATCTCTAAGATACAACAGAGTTAAACTAGAACATAACACAAAGAAAAGAGAGCTATAATCGGGTTTGCTACCATTGCCATCTACCTCGTAATATTTATTGCTTGGCAGTTCCAATCCCTGTGGTCCTCTTTTAAATACTTGTTTTGTTCTCTGTTCCCATCCAGGTTACAAGTAGAAGAAACCATAAACAGCCATACACAGTGTATATGGTCAGTGACCATATACAGCCATGTAGTTTCGATTCTAGTCTATCCATAGTGAATGGCAGACCCCATGCTGAGGAAGAGTAAGAAGTCCAAGTGTGAGTTCCGAGGAAAAGGAAAAGATCAAGACCAGTCAACAGCTACTGTCATGGAGCAAGAATTAGGAACCTCAGCACCATGTACAGTTGCCTACTCTGACCTAGTCTGACACCCTTGTTTTACAGATGGGAACTGAGGGACAGAAGTTAAAGGACTTGGTTCAAGGCCACAAGATGGTAAAAACAAAAATAAAACATGTTATCATTTATTATACTGTAAGCATCATGACAAATGATTTCATAAAAAACTGAAATTTAAAGGACCAGCCAATGTGCCCAGACCTCAGTTGCAATAGGTTATGATAGCCAGTTAACTCGTGTAATTTAGCCAGCTCCATTCCCAGCTAACAGAAGAAGTCTCCTGGCTCTCAGTTGCTTGTTCCTTGGGCGACACCTTTTGAAATGCCTAGAACTGAGATCTTCCAGTCATTTCTGGAACTTCGACAAAAAAAGAGAAAAACTCAAAACTGGGAGCTGCAGTTACAAGCGTTTTTTATAGAACTGGTTCACTCTCATCAGAACACTTAGGGCTGGGTTAAGAGAGTAAGCGGCTGATAAATTTCAATGTTGGCATCACTCAAATTCAGTAACTCCCACTGCTGTCTCCAGGTTACTCAGGGGGAGCCACTGACGTAAACTTCTTCAAACCTCACATACAGTTGGAAATATAACCTGCATCCAGGTTGCTGAGAGGATTAAATAGACAATCCACATCTAGCACTTACGAAGGACCTGCACATAGTAGGCCCTCAGTACATGGCACTTACTAGTATTTGTATGGCTGTGTCATTATGCTAGCAGACTTCTGAATGATCATCCTATAATATTACCCACACAGCACTAGCAGCTTGCAGGTTTTGTTTTGTTGGTTTTTTTCACTCAACCTCTTCCTTTTTTATAGAGGCTAATCTTAGTAGGAGAAAGACAACTCAGAAAAAAGCAATGATGGAACTAATGTGGCATCAAATGTCCAATGAGAGAAATCTTTCAAAGGGTCAATTCTCCCCTGGAAAAACTTTGAGCTTGCTTTGTACAGACAAACAAGGGTGAGGGCAGTCAAGAGATTTTCTATAGCCAGGAGTGAAAGGACCTGCTTCTAATCCCAGCACTCTAGGAGGCTGGGATCACAAGTTGAGGCCAGCCCGAGCAACGCAGCAGGTAGCAAGTCTATCTCAAAAAAAGGTCTGGAGATGTAGCTCAGTGTGAAGGCCTTGGATTCAATCCCTAAGGTGTGCAAACAGTGGCGGGGTGGAGGATACACTTTTCTGTGTGGGGCCGGATGAGCTATTCTCAAAGCCCCAGAAAGTGAAAAGACATAGGAGAGGAACATCAGAGACTGGGAGAGGTAATGATGAAGGGGAAAACCGGACCTGGTGATTCCTCGTAAGCTATTTATTTAGCCTTACTGTAAGAATAACTGTGGTCGGGATACTGATGAGAACAGAAATAACAACTTACTAGGAATCACTAGGAATTACTCAGAACTTACTAGGAATGATTTCTAAATCTTCACACCCACTGTATGAGGCAGTTATATCATTATCAGCCCTGAATTACAGACATAAAACTGAAGACAGAGACATTAAATTAAGAGTGAGCAGGGCAGAATCAGAACCAGGCAATCTTGTTTTAGAGGTTGGTTTTCAAATTCTCCCCGATTCTGTCCTTCAGCATGAGATGATTACTCAAATCCGAGCACGAGGAAGCAACACCTTGAGGGCAACAGAACTTGGGTTTGCCTCTTCCTCAAGCTTCTCAGCCTCCGTTCACTACTCTAATTGCTACTCAGAAATTGTTCCAGGATTAAGGGAAGGAATAACTGTTAAAGGTGGCTTGCGGCTTGCTTTTTTTTGGGTGGGGAGGACACTAGGGATCCAACTCACAACCTCACACTTGCCAGGCAGGTGCTGTGCCACTGAGCTGTATCCCCAGCTCTAGGGATGGCTTTCTTAATAGGGAAAATAAAAATAAAAGAGGAAAGACAGACCAAAAGAAAAACCAGATAAAACTGCCAGGCTTACACAGAGTGAGGATCCCAGACACAAAGAAAACGGCACCTCAGGCCCTCGGTCAAGGGACTGAGACAAGCAGAGAAACCTGGGTCTATTCCAGTTTCACAGGGGTGAGCCACTGGCCCAGGAGGACAGGTCAGTACAAGTGCTGACCATTCAGCCACAATCTGTTTTTACGGGAGAAGACACACCCCACACAGAGTAGTATGACAGAAACCTGGCCCAAGCCCCATGGTCCCCTGGCAAAGGAGCATCCACTGGCCAGGCTTGGAACCACATCCCTTCTGGGCTGCAGCTCCTAGTACACCTTTCTTTCTTTTTCTTTTTTTTTTTTTTTTTTTTTTTTTGTCTTTTTCGTTTTTATCGGTACCAGGGAACTCACGACTGCCTGCTTGCAAGGCAGGTGCTTATGCCACTGAGCTAAATCCCCAGCCTCCTAGTACAGCTTTCTAGTGTACCTGGCCCACGCCTGCAAGTGATGGAACGCATCATGTCCCAGAAATACAGCCAGCCAGTCTCTGGCTCTTTTACAGGCAATGTCACTGGATGCAAAAGGGGCAAAGACAATGTTGCTCAGGGCTGTAACGAGAGGCCGGCAGGAGGAAGACACAGTCACGGAAACCTTCTCACCCGGAACCCAGAATTACACCAACCTCAGTCTGTGCTCACACAGGGCTTTCACGGCAGGCAGAAGCCCGAGTCCACTCGGCCTGAGGCCTTCTTTACTGGGCCAAGAGTACTCACATTGTCACTCACACTCACACCCGGGCGAGGGGGGCTCCCTGTCTGAGGGGCTTGGCCTAGCAGGAGCACTGGCTTCCCCAGACCAGGCACCCTGTCACTCGCTTCACTTCCTAACAATCTTCATGGTCCGATGACTGCTTTTCCTTAGATGTGGAGCCATTATGTCACATTTCAATATGTGCAAACTTGCTTCATATAAAAATTCCTAGGGGCTGCGGGTTTCGCTCAGCGGTATAAGTGCCTGCTTGGCAAACATGAGGTCATGAGTTCAATTCCCAGCACCAAAAAAAAAAAAAAAAAAAAACGAAAAACAAAATTCCTGTGACTAAGAATACTTTTCAAAGTTTCAAAATGATATAACATTCACACTGACCATCAGAGAATTCTTTATAAATGTGGTAGCACCATAAACATTATTTTACTTACAGGTGGTATTACATCTATAAGTCTATCACTCCATGATTTTTAAGCAAATTAATATTTATCATAAATGGATATTTTAATATGAATTATTTAAATGTTATTCAGTAAAAATAAATATGTAATTTGATGTTATAACTTTAATAACTTTTTTTTTTAAAAAGATCATGCTTTGACACTAACACAAATCATTTGAGGAGAAAAAATATTTCTAAAAAACAAATAACAGGACATACAGTACAATGGGAAACAAATAAAACTCCCAGTGGATACAAAATAAAGAGTAAAAAGGATGCCTTCTTCTATACACTGCATGGTGCTGTTCTACATGCTGTAGAAATAGCAAGGAACTTACCCGCCCCGCGCAGTGCTCCAAGTTTATGTGGTCATCAAGGAAACAGATTTCATCCAAGTAGAAGGAAAGCAATTCAAAAACCAAATAACTACATTCATTTCATTATGAAAGTAGTAGAATTAAATCAGAGAATTTCTATAATACAGAAGAGCCTTGTACTAAAGTTAAACAACAATTTAGGGAAAATCTTAAAAATGACTTAATTTCAATAGGAAAACTAGAATGTTAATTCAAAGAAATGTACTTACACTACAGTATAGTAAAATTTATTGCTTAGATACTATAATAAAGAAAATCAAAATATCATTTTTCTGTGAAAACACATTATTCTAAAAATTCAGGTGGGCTATAACAAGGTAATTAATTTTGCAGCCAGGGATTAACACTAAAAAACTAACAGAGATACTAATAGAGTTAATAATATATAAAGAAAAAATGAAATAACACATTGCACTATGTGGACAGTTTCTCACCTCGTCTTCCTTCAAACACATCACTAATCTCTCTCAGCAGTGTAGACATGTCACTAATTTGAGACTCCCAAGCTTCACAAAATACATCCAGGTTTTCTTTAGCAATTTTACTAGACGGATGCAATGTCAGTGTTTCAGCAGCAGAAATTATCTAAAAAAACACAACACATAGACGTATAAATTTTAAAATCTTACACCTCAAAAATCACACTGCAGATCAAGTTAAGTCTGTACTGTTCAACTCAAAAATGATAGCCAGGCGGGGTCAGGAGGCTGAAGCAGGAAGACTGAAAAATCCAAGGCCTGCCTGGACAACTCAGTGAGACCTTCTCTCAAAACAAAAGATTGTAAAGAAGCTGAGGAAGTAAGTATGTGGTAGCATGCTCCTGGATTTGATCCCTTGAATGATTAAAAAAGAAAAGATAACCATGAAAACCATGAACTAGTTTCCACACAGAAGCCTTATGTTGAATAACATGGTAACACATTAATAGGACAAGTCTGTTGTTTTTTTAAATAATGTGATCTATGGAAAATGACAAATTATTACAGGGAAACTAACATGACAATGTGACAAAGCTGCATCAACATGACTAACAAGCTTTGTTGTTGTCCCATGGACTCTTACAGGATTATTCTCTCAGTGGTAAACATGGGTGTGTGTAAATCACTAACATGGCTGGTCAGTCATGTGCCAGGCACTGTGCCCATCTTCTAGGTGCTGGGAAAACAGCTGTGAAGGAGAGATACATGTCCCTGTCTTCACTGGGCTCACACTACAATGAGATGAGGCAGATATTTAAAAGATACAACTTACACGATTGTTAAAGAATAAACCATATGCATAAGAAAGGTAAGGAGAAAGGAGGGGCATTAGGTGATCACAGCAATATTCTAAGTTAGTTAATCACTGAAAAGGAGAGGGAAACGGGAAATACTTGGAACGAGGTTTGCAATACTTCTGCACTGCGGGCGGAGCAGCCGGTAGAACCACAGTGACCAGGCTGACATAAGTAAGAAGCCTGTCTGTGGCCGCGCAATGGGAACAGACATGGCAAGAACGGGACTTTCTCTGGAGTGGAAAGGAAGCCACTTTCTGGAGTGTGCAGAAGACTGAGGCGGTCAAAGCCAGGCTAGCTAATAAGGCCGGCACCTTGGAAGAATCAAACCCAAGTGCCTGGGGGTGGGTGGGGAGAGGGCACAGTCCCCCAGGTATGGGCTTGCCAAGCAGATGGCACCTCTGTGAGAGGGACAAGGGTCCTCTTCTTCAGAGAAAGCAGGTACACAGCTTGCCAGGGAACTAGAGGTCAGATTTCAGCACTGCTGTCCTCTCTACTAGGGACCTCTGTACTGTTCAGTTGTGCCCTGAATATGATCTAGCATCTTAAAGGATATATAAAAATGATACTGCTAAGGTAATAACACCCAGAAATAAGTATAAATGATCCCAGAGGCATGCTGTACTTCCTTAAATCAGAGACAGGTAGCAACGACCAGAAAACAGGCTTTGGGAACAAAAAAGCCTTCTCAAGAAATAGAAATTATTGACAGGTTCCACCTCATCCCAGGGAAGAAAATATGGCCATTCCTTCATCATTTGCTGCAATGGGAAATAGCCAACCCCAAACTGAAAGAGAGTAGGAAGGGCCTGGAGCAAGAGCTGACTGCACAGGGCAGGACAGTCAAACCCTCTGGTTCTGGTAAAATACACTGGTGCCAAAGCCTTAACGAGACTCAGGCCGACAGGCAATACTGAAGTTGCTCTCTCCCAGTGAACAGAGGTCTTCAGTTTGCTTTAGTGCTCGGCAGATGGTCACTCTGGAAGCTGACTCACACAGCTCCTGCTTCCACGATAAGCCTCTGACACGGTTCTTTACAGGGAAGCACATGGTCATTCCCCCAGTGTCCAACATGCTGCAGGGCACACAGCTCCACAGTGCCTAGGTCTGTGTCACTGTTGCCAGAGACCCGGGGTTCAGTATCTGTCACCTAACACGGCATCTCAAGAGCAAGTCCTTTGGTTGTCCACAATAAATGAAATACGAACACCTGGAAAACTGCCTTTTAGAGTTTAGGCTCTAAAAAAAGAAAAGAAGATCTGTTCTTTACTTTTTCCTTGGACGTAACATGGGACAGGGACAGTATTAAGTGGAATATCAATGTTAAAAGAGTTTTGAAAATTATAAAGACAAAGTCATGTTATAGAAAATTCATACAAAATAACTCAATCTGAATTAGCAGAATTCATTTCTGCAGATTCTCATGTAGTAATTTTCAAATGTACACACATTTTATAAAATAGCAATTATAGTATACGCACGAATATATATACTGCTATTTCCCTTACATTTTAACAAACCTTTTTGATGCTCTTATCTCTGGTTATCATAATTACTGTATTACCATTAAATGTTTCATTTACCTAATTTAAGATAATTTTTTGGTTTTCAATTGAATCTTACTATAAATGATGTTGTAGAAAACACTGTTTTGTTTTGAAATCTCCCTTTATCCTTAGGAACTGTTAAGCTGAAATGAGTGAATGTTTTTACAGCTTATCATGTAAGGACAGCTTACTTTCCAAACATGTTATAACAATGTGCATTACAAACAGCTTTAAAAATACACTAAACTAGGATTTCTTTTTCTTTTCTTTTTTTTTTTTTTTTCTTTCTTTTCTTACTTTGTTTTGTCTTTCTGAGACAGGGTTTCACTATACAGTTCAGGCTGGCCTTGAACTCACCTTGTAGCCCAAATTGGCCTCAAATTTACAGTGATCCTGCTACCTCAGCCTCCTGAGTGCAGGGATTACAGGCATGTGATACCACATCCAGCCTTAAGATTTCATTTAAATGAGCCAGTCTGCCATCTGCCAAAATGAGTAGCTAATCCAGTGCAATATCAGTCTCATTCAAGCACATTACCCACAGAAATTTCCTTCCCTTTCTTTCTCGTAGATTTGGGCTTTAGTTCTAAGGAATCCTTTGTACCTCCCTTGTACACAATTTGCTACGATACTCAGGTTAGACATAATACAGAAGGAACAATCTGCTGCTGTCATACCTGTTGGCCAGTCACCTGAAATGTCTCTTCGGCATGAATACAAGTTATCTCAAGAGGTTCCGTCCCAGATACATGTCTCAGCAACCGACAAGTCTACGAGAAAACATGTCCACAGTTCAACTTTCACACTCTCGTCCTTCTCAATACACTGTATCACTTCATAATTAAACAGAAAACTAAATTTCACAATAAAATTTATTAATGCTCATAACCATAAATTTGGACATTACTGAGATTATCACTACATGAGTCACCAAGAGACTCTCTGGGATGAAAACAGGAACCAATAAAGGTATAACATACTGTTTCTGCTTCCTACCCGATCTTGAGAAAGTGTTCTAGGAATTATGAAAGAATCTAATAGTGCCCCACACCTTCTGAAAGAAGAAATTTAGCTCAGCGAAACTGTCAGTTACCACAGCTACACATTGTTTCTACCAACAGGCAGCACTTCCCATCATGATCAGTTAAGCACACCTTTCTTCTTAGAGATAACCATGTACCAGGCAGACTGATGTCATGAGTAGAAAGTCTGCATTAGAGGAAATTACTGAACATCTTGAAGCTTAAAATGAAGAAAATCTTTAAATTTTTTAAAAAATTATTTGCTTTGGGATTTCTATAATTAGCAAGTTTCTCTATAGTCAAAATATTTGGTTTATAAAGCATCAAGACTATTAAATTACAGAAATAAATCTACAGTCATTTTAAGAATGTTCCCTAAAGATTTCTAGGCCACTATGTTAATAAGTAAAGGACAGGATGCTGATTGTGTTAGCCTAAAGGTTCCTTTTAACCATGCGTCTTTGTGATTTGTTGAGCAGGGTACATTAACCTGAATGCAGCTAAATGGTGCCTATCTGTGCTTTTATAAATGTTGGCTTGGACATACCTCTTACAGAGTACACAAGAGTTCAGAATTGTTCCAACATTTTCAGTAGGTAAAAGGCTTATCATAGCCATTAAGAAGCCAAATTAGAATTGTAACAAAAGTAGCAAGTGAGGTACCAATAATACACAACAGACATTGGAGAAGGAGAAGGGGAGGTTCAGAGAAGGAATCCTGTGTGAGATGTCCCCTCTATACACATCCTCATCTTCTCTCCTCCCCTCTCATATCTGCTTTTTGCCCTGGGAGACTGAGGTTATCTACAGCTGTGTCTGGCCAATGGGAAGCCCAGCAACAGATGAGCAGAGGCAGGAGGGAAAGGGCCTTTACTCCCATGGTTCCTCCCTGGTGGGCCTTCTTGGGCCATCTGCGTGCCAGTTCCAAACATCGCCACCCTTCCAGGGACTTTCAGAGAACCCTGCAGGTTCCACCCCATTAACCTCAGCCAGGGTGGTACCCGCTCTGCCACCTGTCGCCCCAATCACTGCGGTCTCACTATGGTTTCCGCTCAGTCCGTCTACACAGTGCTGAATGGCTCGCTTACAAAACCCTCTCTAAATGATCTTGGAGTGAGTGGGCCATCTCCTTCCTGCTGAAGCCCCAACAGATTCAGTCAAAGCAGTCACACAATGGCCCTCTATTGCCCTACTCCAAGGCCAAATCCCTCTGAGAGGATAAGGGAAAGAAGATTAAGATGTGCACGTGTGGGTTCTAGCACTTTTTGTCACTTCGTTTAAATGCAAGACTGTTAGGAACAGGGCAGACATACACTGTACCTTCAAGATTCCAAAGGAGAGAGAGAAAATGCTCAGATGAATTAACCGAGGCTGTCATCCTGCTAATATTCCCTCAACAGTTTAGCTATGGAATTGTAAACTACAGTTTCTTTAGCACACAACCTGTTACTCACCTCAACCAGCTGATCCTTCTGTTCAGAAAGTTTACAGGCATATTCAGCCAAAGCTTCTAAATTGCCTTCTACTCCATTAAGTTTTAACGCTTTTAGAACCACGTGGTCTGCATGATATTTTAAGAGCTCTGTGGCCAGCTGCATTGCTGTGCTATGGAGCTGCAGGTGTGGGGAGTGAGGAAAGAAAACAAGGTTTTATGCCAAGTACCTGACAGGCACTTTGAAAGCTAATGGCTACAAACCTCAAAAGTGGTCCCCCTTGACCCACCGAGAGTCCCCAGTGGTAACAGCAGAAACCGGGTAGCACGAGGGAAAGAAGACATTCTCCTGAGGGAAGGGGCGACATCTATGCATCTGTACCCTTCATTCTAGCACTCTTGCTGTTCATGGAAGATGACCTGGCCATCCAGAGGCTGAGAAGACCAGGACCTTGTCCATCCTGTTATCAACCAGCACTTCCCACATAGTGACAAATGCTTCTGCTTTTCTTTTCTATCTTTCTCTTTTTCACAAGGTCTCACTAACTTGCCCAGACCATCCTTCAATTTGTAACCCTCCTACTCCAACCTCCCAAGCAGTTGGTGTTATAGACGTACATCATGGCACTCAGAGCTTTTGTTCGTAAAGTTAGTGAGGAGCCAGATGCAGTGGCACATGCCTATACTCCAAGGAGCCTGAGGCAGGAAGATTGCAAGCTGAAGGCCAGCCTGAGCTACATGGCAAGATCTGTCTCAAAACGAAGAGGAAGAAGAGAGTTAGATGTAGCTTGGAGGCAGAGCACTTATCTAGCATGAACAAGGTCCTGAGTTCAATCCATGGTACAATTTGGGAGTGGAAAAGAGTTGGTAAGAAATGAAACAGTACTACAAATATTGTATTCAGAGCATTAAGGGGGAAATCAAACAGTTCATAATCATTTATAAGTTTCTTAGCATACTTCTGAAGTTCCAATGTGAGATTCATTCAATTAGGTATTCAATAAAATATAATGAAATATCAACATCATGGCAGATGCTGGAGGCTGGACAAACCTCGATGACAAGATAGATCCAACTCCCATCCTCAGGGTTACAGACTATGTTAGTCTGCTATCCAGAGGAAACTGCATGGGCATGATGACACACACCTGTAATCCCAGCACTCAGGAGGCTGAGGCAGGAGAACTGCCACAAGTTCAAGATCAACCTGGGATACCCAGGGAGTTCAAGGGTCACCTGAATTACACAGCAAAACCCTGTTGTGAAAAGCAAAAAAAGAAAGAGCAGGAAGAAGAAACTTGTTTCCCAGCAGAAACAAAGATAAAGGATAACAAAAACCTGAAGGCTTCATTTCACTTGATGGCACAGATCTGAAGCACAACTTACTCTCATCGGATATTTTTGTATATTAGTAGTTCCAAAATCTTTTCTTCTTACCCTCTTTTATGACAAAACAGTTGATTTGGATTTGTCCAGCAAGAGATCTAAAATATTATTCTAAGGAAAATCTGACTTTGAACCAAGCCTATTTGAATGAGGAAATTTCTTTTTTCTGGAAGTAATCCAATGTTGATTCAAATTACAGGACTTTTACAAAATTAACAAGAGGGTTGCCTGCATTCATGCAATTAAGTGAAAGTGATTATAGTCAAAAACAAAAACATTAAAATTCCTTTCCCTTTGGAAATTAAATGTCATGTAAGAACTTAGGAAGATTATGTCTCACCAGAAGGGCCCAGAGAATACTAACCCTTTACCTTAGAGACTATGAAACAGGTCCATAGAGACCTGCCAGGGTCATAGAACTCCTATAAATGGTTTTAGGGACATTTCATTATCAACTGTAAGGGAAGAAGAGAGCACAAACATGAAGCTCCTGCTCTGTACAATGTCCCGAGAGTGGGTTCACGCACATCATCCCTCTCCTAAAGAGAATTCTCAGTGCCCATTTTAGAGCTAGGAAAATAAGGTCTGTCTCCAAACAATTTTATGCTGTACTGATAGTTCAGAATTCAACAACAGTTCAGCTAAAACTGAACTGGTTGGTTTTTTAAAGACAAGAAAGCTATGTCCTTTATGTTTATCAGGATGGTTACACAGAAGTTTCAACAGAGGTGTCAGTACCATGTACGATGTATGTGTGTAGTTTACAAAAAAAAAAAAAAATTCAAAATCCAGTTTAATTCTCCTGAGCCTTTAATCTGCTTCAAAGACATAAAAACAAAAGTAGAGATAGGGAACAGGAGAGGTTTTTGAGAGGAGGGTGTGCCTGGAGAGCCAAGGGGTGATTCCTGTGACTGCGCCAGGCAGCCCTCTAAGCAGAGGGAGTAGTGATAAGGGCTGGTGACAGAAAGAGAACTTCGCAGACCTACCCAAACACATCTAGGAAGGAGAAAGTCAGCCCAAAGTCATCTTATAAGGAAAACCATCTCCAAGACTCTTCCACCCCCAACCTCCTGTCTTGTCTCCCTTTGCACAGCCTGGTAAACATCAGTAACAGCACCCACATCATGGAGAACAACAGCAGTGAAAAGGAAAAGAGACAACACCTTCCCTAAAGCTGTAGGAGGGGGAGAAGTGGAGAATGACTGTGAAGCCTGTTACAGTTGAAATTTTCCCTGTCCCTCAAGACTCCCATGTTCAGATGTGGGACTCTGGGAAAGTGACTGGCTCATGGGGGTGCTACACTCATCAGTGAGGTAATCCATTGAGGGGTTCATGGATGAATGCACTGTTGTTAGGAGGGGGAGCTGGCTGGAGAGGGGGGCTCACTGTTGGTATGACCCGGAAGGACAACTCCTCCTTTCTCTTTCTGCTTCCTGGCTGCCATGTGGAGCAGCCTCCCTTTGTTCCACCATGCTGCTTCTGCCCTACAACTGGCGATCCAAAGACTGAACCTCTAAAACAGTAAGCCAACATAAACCTCTGCTCCTTTAAGCTGCAGGTGCTTTGGGAAGGTAACTAATACAAAAGTTCTACAATTAAATGGAGAGTAAAATGCTGATGAGGACACTAGAGTGAACATTCTTATTTTCAGACTGAGATTGTGTCTCACAACTGAAAGCGGAGGTGACAAACATTTTCTGTAAAAGGCCTAGAAACAAATGCTTCAGGATGTGCAGGCCATGCAGGCTCCAATGCAACTACCCACTGTGCGGTGACTGAGGGAAGGGGTAGCCAGTGTCTACACAGACGGCAGAACTGCGGCCCCACACACCGTTTACAGAAACAGCTCAGGGGCAGGGCGTGAATGAACCTCTACCTCAGAGGGATCACCAGACTCGGCCCAGAACAGGTCACAGGATGACCAAGTTTTCATCTGGGAACAGGGAAATCTTCTCAACCTAAACAATACTTTAACAAATCAACTATATTAAGGCCCTATCAATTAAACAAAATGCACTCAGTTTAAGGTACAGTTAGAAGAGCTGGGCAAACATATAAGCTATGTAGCCATCACCACAGTCACTGTTATGGGCGTTTCCATTACCTCAAAAAGGCCTCTGTGCCCTGTTTAATAAACACTGCCAGCTTCTGACCCCAGGAAAACACTGATCTGATTTTTGTCATTTAGAATTTTTCCATTTCTAGATTTTTTCCTAAATGTATACACACACACACACACACACACACACACACACGCACGCCTTTGCATCTGGCTTCTTTCATTCAGTAAAATGCTTTAGTGATTCCTTCATATTACTGTACATATTAAAATTGTTCTTTTTTTGCTAAATAGTATTTAGCACAATTATAACAAAAGCCATTTACCAACACCACTACTGAAAGACATTTAGGCTGTTTCTGGTTTGGGCATTATAAATAAAGCTGCTATGAGTGTTCATGGATGTAAATTTTGAGAATAACAGCACTAATAAATGGTGGCTTCAAACTAACAATGGCTAAGAGCAACTTCTAAATCATTCTCTAATCACAGAGACCGTGTAATACACATGTAAAGCATACACCTGATGTAACAGGAAATTAGCAAACAATTATAAAAGGCTAAATTTCCAACTATACTTACTTCCTTCTTAAGTTCATTGAGACTATGACTGATTTTCAAAATAGTGAGCTCCAGTTCCTCAGCGATGCTTTTGGTTTTCTTGCTTTGCTAAAAATTTTAAGTACATACATAGTGTTACTTCATCTTTTTAGTTTATTATATTTCCATCTGAACTATAAATTAGAATAAATATTAATACCACCTGACTATAATAAAAGTATTGTTAAAAATTCTACATGTGTAAGGTTAGAGTAAAAAATAGAATTTTAGTTAATTTTATTTTTCTACACTAACTATAAACAGGTGATTTTTAAGTCAACTTTTAATAAATACACTAGGTCTAGAATTAATCTCTTTTCTATTTTTTTTACACATTTTGGGGAACTGTTACATGCATATAACACTAAACCTTTACTCTTGATTCCTCTTACATAGATATCTTTGTACCGGACTTTATTTATTATAACACTAGTAATTTATCCATAATACATTATCAAAATTTTCCCTTTTTATTACTAAATAGTATTCAACTTACATAATTTCCTGTTCATCTTATATAAATATCTATTACCTTACAGAAATATCTCCTCACATACCCTTATCAAATCACCCAATTTAAATCAAGCCCTCGGTATAACCCACTCTAATCTATTCCGGTTTGCAATTACAGTGTCTTAAATTTTGTTCACTTAAGGTCTCGGCTGCCATGTAAGGCCCATGAAGGCTGGAGCCACTACTGAATCCACAAAACCCGGCAGATTGCAGGTGCTGTATTCAGTTAAAACTGAAGTTAAATGCAGTGCCTTCATCGAGTGTGCTTAATACTTAACCCTCCTTCAAACCCTTTCAACACGTGATCTACACCTTCTCTTAGGCTTCTTACAGTTTTGGTTTGTTTTTTCCTTGACCCACCCTTTTCCACTTCTTTCTACATTATAAAATCAATACTGTATAGGTGAAGGTTTTATCTTATTCATCTTTACATGTCTGGTGCCTGGAATATAAAAGGTACTCAGTAATAACTCAAAAAAAAAAAAAGTAAAGGAATAAAAAAGTGCACCTCGTGAAGAGCCAGAGTCTGAATGCTTCTGAAATATAAGAAGGCCATTAATGCCCTCATAAGTACGACAGAATCGAATTCTCAACACAGAGCATTTCATCAAAAACAAAAGAAAACTAACATTCAGCTTAAAATTTAACCCTGAAGCAATTTACAATGTTAGACATGATACAAATAATTCAAACTAAACAAAACAGTGCTCAAATCTCTCATACTACTATAGGGAAAGATTCCCTGTGAATATGGTCATTTGCACAGTTGTGATGCCAAGAAAATACCAGGAAATGTGTCATTCATGTCTACTCTTTTTATTGATCAATCTAGCTGCTAAGAAGACGTCTGCTTCGTCCTTCACAGTCTGGGCCACACTCACGCCCCTTCTTCACTCTTACTCCTGAAGCTTCTGCTCATGACACCCATGCTTGTCCTCTCCCTGCCATGTGTGGTAAGCCATAGGAAATATTATTTTGACACAGTCTAGGTCTAAAGAATAAATAAATGGTGCCAGAGACATGTCTCAGGCCTCTGTCTCTTCCTTTTTAACGCACTGCTATACGAGGTTGGAAACACTGTCCATGCTGGTCCACTTCTGTTGTGGTTCTGCTACAATAGCTTCCCACGTTTTAGCACACCAGCAGCCTATCCGAAGCCTGTTAAGCAGAGTTCGCCTGTGCAGACCAGCAGTCTGCAAGGGTGAATGATCTTTTACCTGCCAGCTGCATCTATTCCTTCTTCACTGCATCCAGATCTCAGTAAATGTCCTAAAGCTCTGAATCTATAATCTGACTGGCCTCAGAGTTAAGGACTGTGCCCATTTAAATGGCCCGTGCATGAAAACTCAGGTCCCAAGAACCTCTAGGAAGGGATCCACCATTCTGCTATTCACCTGAAGAATCTTCCAGAGGTGTAAGAGTGAACTAGAGATGGTGACAGTGGCACAGAACCCAGACTGGCCAGGAGGAGAATCAACAAGTCTAGAAACATCACATCCGGGGCTGGGGATTCAGCTCAGCGGCATAAGCGCCTGCCTTGTAAACAGGCAGTTGTGAGTTCGGTCCCTGGTACCGATAAAAACGAAAAAGACCAAAAAAAAAAAAGAAATGTCACATCCTATGAGTGCTGGAAGGGAAGGTTAACTGGCCAACCAGGAGGGAGAAAAGAGATGAGACGTCCTTGTCTCATGCTAACCAAATTCATACTGATTATGCCAGCTTCCGCTTCTCTTAAAACACCAGCTGACACCTACTACAGAACAGGTACTGTGCTGGGAAGCGTTCTTACAGCCTGCATCCACACAGACAGGAGCTGCTGCAGTTCCACCCGCGCCTGGCCGCACAGCTCCAAGATGCGTTCTCTGTGTTCATGGCTGGTGTAGGCACAGTCAGTGAAGTCCTCCGTCTGCTCCAAGATGACTTCCAATGTCGCAGAGAAGTTCTCTTTGGACTGCAAATAAGGATTCTCCCGAAGAGCTTCAATATTCACCTGAGCACAGAGAGGATATAGATCCAGGTGAGTCAGCATTCGCACCTAACCAGAACAGGTCAGCAAAATACACAACAATTTCTGTCCCACGCTGAGGGAGATACAAACTCCACTGATAACTATCTCCTCTGCCAACCCAGGAGGACACATAAAGAGTTATCAATGGCCTGGCTCATGCCTATAAACCCAGCTGCCCAGGAGTCTGAGGAAGAAGTATCACAAGTTCAAGTTAAGCTTAGACAACTTTGTAAGGTCCTGACTCAAAAGTCTCAAAGGTGAGGATGTAGCTCAGGGAAGGGCCTCAGGTGCTATCTGCAATATCACCAAAAAAACCCACAAAAATCACCAATGGTCATGCAAAGCCTCATTCCTAGAACTGTGAATACAAAGAGAGGAGGTCAATAAATAGTAAGAAAGAGCACCATCATATAGCAAGTGATGGAAAAATGAACCAACCTCCAGGTAAAGGAATTGCATCTGAGCAAATGCCTAGAAAAAGTCCTGGAAGATGTGTTAAGCCAAATACGAACATGTACTGAGCCCCAAGGGATGAGTATAAAAGGGGTGGAGGGTGACAGGGACTGGAAAAGAGATCAATGTTTCCTTCACTAATTCAGCAAAAGCGCTCCTAGTCACCTGTCTCCCCGTCTTTTGTTTTATGCCCCCAACAGCACTTCACCGAACCAAACATCCTCTACCCTTTCAAAGGGAAGGGTTATATAGTCCTTCTGAAACACGAGCCTTGTGAGACCGCCACCATCACTGTAACTGCCGCTACCATTTAGAGTACAGCATACAATCCTCTATGGTCTTGTATTTACCCACCTCTTGAACAGTGTATCTCACTCCCCAGACCCTAAACAATTCCAGGCCACCACCTGTGTCCCAAGCTCTGCGAATGTGTGATGAACATCAGGTCACCTGTGTCACCTTCCTTGCAACTACCCCATCTCAACTTTAACCTCTGACCCAGGAACGATGTCACAGGGACAACTCAGGCCAAGAGGCAAAAAGTAGTAAGGTCCACGACAGAAGTCACAATGAATGTGCTGATGAGTGACAGATACTTGCTTTGCACTTAAGGTCTTGTCACAAATATATCAAGTTAAATCTCACACATAACCTGTTTTACTATGAACCATGCCCCAAGTCTGAGAAAGTCACAAAGTCAGAGTGTGCACTTCCCTCTTTCCTACTTGGCCCAGGTGGAAACACTGTCTGGCTAAGGTAGACAGATCCTCCTATCTCAGCCTCCTGAGTGATTAGATTATAGGTATGTAGCAAAGCAATGTAAAAGGCCTCAATCATATATGTTAAAGTTTTTCAATTTTTCTATTAGAGCATATATGAGGTCTTACCACTAAAAGAGAAGCAGGACCAGCAATATAAACTGAAAAGTTCTGGACTTTCAGACTAGAGAATTCTGGGTCTAAAGAAGGGTTTCACCACTTACTAGCTTTCTTCCTCAAGAGAAAGGTATCATTGTTATACCCACCTAAAGTGGCAGTTAAGGATTAAATAAGATTTAAGAGCATAGTTCCTAAAAAGAAATGTTCCTTTTATCACTTTCTTTCACCTGATGTCCTTACTTAGACCTTCACACAGTTAAAATCAGAACGTAATGAGCCATGGTGGTTCACACCTGTAATCCCAGCACTCAGGGGGCTTAGGCGGGAGGATGGTAGCAAGTTCATAACCAGCCTGGACTACAAAGTGAGCTCAAGGACAGCCCGAACTACATTGTGAGACCCTGCCTCAAAAGACAAAAAAAAGTAAAGTAAGACAGAAAACACCATCCCCATCTCAGGCCTATTTACTAATGGTGGTGACCCTTACCATATTGGATAAACAACTCCTGAGGGCCTTGGTTTCTCCATCTGTAAAGTGACAGTAGTGTACAGGAAGTCCCTGACTTAGAATGAGTCCTGCTCCAGGAGAACTGTTTGTAAGCCAGATTCATTCATATCTGACAAAGTGAGGCTAATACTGTGCAAGTTTGTAACAATGTCCCTAAGTCGGGGACTTACCACACTGGTCTGTCTAGGACCTTCACACTCAGACACTGGCCTTCCCCAAAGAGCACCTTCACCATCCCTCAGACTCTAGCAAGACGGCAGACTGCCTGGAGTCACCGACACTTTCACATCCTAACTCTGCCACTCCCTGGCCCGCAAGTCAATCATCTGTTTCTGAGTCTCCTCAACCGTTCAGTGGGAAGAGTAACAACAGTTTTTGTGAGGGTCATGTGAGTTCATACTTGAAAGCATGCAGCCCAGGCTGGCACAGACCACAGGCTTAATTAATGTTAGTGTGTATTATTATTTTAGATCATTAATTATTGTAAATGTTAGGCAAGCACTCTACCACTAAACCACATCCTCCTTCATACTATCACTACAGTCTCAAAGTAACAAGCTTAATAACACAAGAAAGGGGATAAATTCTAGAAGCGTCATCATCAGGGACGGCATGGCAAGGCTCAAAAAATGGAAGGCAACATCACTTCTAACAGGGGCTACCCGTAGATCCCAGAGTCAGCAGATGTGGAGCAGCTACTACAAGCTAAAACCAAGCTGGAGGGATGGTGCATGCCTGGACTCCCAGCACTCTGGCAGTCAGAGGCAGTTAGATGGCAGCCTGGGCAAGTTAGTAAGATCATTCCTCAGAATGAGAGAGAGAGACAGAGACACAGAGAGAGAGAGAGAGAGAGAGAGAGAGAGAGAGAGAGCATGAGAAAATGATGGAGTGTGGGAAGGAGAAAGAAAGAAAAAAGAAAAGACAGTGTTTCTAGTAAATATCACACTAAGCCAGTGTTACTGAACATCGGGCTTGTAAGTGGCAGCACTGTTTTAAGGCGACAGATGTGCTTCTGTGATGTGTCTTCCTAAATCGTAACAATACTAAGGACTCTGCATGTGACAATGCTCCCTTAACATGGAAAGAAAAAAAATCGAAATGTTCTCTGTTCTTACCTTGAATTCTTTAATTGCATGAAAAATACTGGTAGATGAAATGTCAGTCTCTCCGTGTGGCTTACAGTCAGTCACAATTTCAATGACCTTATCCAGCGCCACTTTCATGCGGTTAAACACTCCTTCTTTGTTTTTATGGGCTGAGTCACAGTTAGGGTGCCTGAGACACGTCTTCAAAACAATTGAAAATGTTTATTTTAATGCGTGACCCACCCCCACCACGGGAAATCGTACAGAGAACGTGTCATGCTAATAAAAATGGTTCTTTACCCACGTCTCCTGGGTCCCTGGCTCCCCCAGCTGCCTCTCCTCACTAAAGTGGAAGCAGGGTGAGTAAAAAGCAATAGCAAGGTTAAGTGAAAACACAGAGTGCAAAACTACATCTTCACACTTCAAGACAAGCTCGCCTAAAACTGCTGGGGGAAACATTCTTTATCATGGTTAAAACTATTCTTAAGTGCAGGCTTATCCATGCAAGAACTAAAAAAGAATGAGGAAAATAAACGAGATGTGACAGTGGTAGCGTCTTTGATTTTTAAAAGATGATACAAATGAAAACTACTCAAGGACCTGGATGTACACAGAGCTTTTGGAGAGGGCTCCATGGGGTGTATTTTTATGGATCCCAGCACAAAACAAATACACATAGAAGAAAAGGCAATTCTATACAAACTCTTAATGATACAGTTACTAGTCTTCATCTTTTCATTTGGGGGGACTGAAGCCAGGGCCTTCACACACAGCTACATTCCCATAGCATTTTGTTTTACTTTTTATTTTAAGAAAGGGTATCACTAACTCACTAGGTTGCCCAGGTGAGGCTTGAATTTAAGATCCTCCTGCCTCTGCCTCCCAGAGAGCTGGGATCACAGGCATGTGCCACTATGCCCAGTTTATGCATTCTTGAATTGTACCAATTTGCCAGCCAGTTATTCTGTGGCAGTACAAGCTCTTGATTGATAGATGTGCTAAAGTAGAAAAAAGCAATGAGACATATGAAGTTACAGGCTAAACAAACTAAGGACGGACTCCTATTCCGTCTCACTAACCGATCTCCATGTGCCCAGCTCTCTCTGTGGCATGAGGAGCTGGGTCCTCAGTGGCAGGCACAGTGTGCAGGGAGCACTGTGCGAGGCAGGCCTGGCTCACAGGTCCCACTGTTTGACGCTGGGGAAGAAGGCTGGCACTCTTGTTCACTACAACCGAGACTTAACTGTTCAGGCCCCCATTCACAGCTACCCCTGTAATCTTTGCAAAAATGTCAACTACAGAAGTTAGGTTTATCTAATCAAGTTTTCTCATGACTAGGTTACAACACGGTGACACATCAGCCTCCTCACCTTGGACGCTGTGAGAAGCATCATCGTACACTTTTCAAGCACTGCCCGGGCTGCCGCCATTTTTGCTTTTTTCTTTTCATCTTTCAAATCCTTAAAATGAAATAAAATCATCAGGTGGTCCAAGAGCATACAAATAACCCCATTTCTTGAAAAATTATTTTCTCAGCAGTAACAAAATTCAAAAATCCTGGCAAGTGTGAGATCATGAGTTTGATCCCCAACACACACACACACACACACACACACACACACACACACACACACCAATAAAAACCCTAAAAATTCCAGAAATGCTATTAAGAAAAAAATAACCCAGGACAAATTTTTACAAAAGACTCTACGATAGCCATTACTGACTTCCCTATTGCCTGGTTTTGAAGACCTAAAACGCCTGCCTCATTCTGTTCAGATCAGTTTTATACTATGTTGTTTTGTATGAATTCTCTGTTTGTGAAGACATGGACAACCATTTGGAAGAGAGCAAGAGATAATACGATAGATAGTGAAGATCTTGGGTCGTCTAACTTTGAAATTTGTATCTCCTTTTTTTTTTTTTTTTTTTTTTATTGGTACTGGGGATTGAACTCACGACCGCCTGCATGCAAGGCAGGTGCTTATGCCGCTGCTTTCTTATGTTCTGTTTTGTTCTTTTTTGTTATGTTTGATTTTGCCCCCTGTAAAATTTAAAAAAAAAAAAAATACTGGTGAAGTTTGCCAGTTATGTCCAGAGGCAGAAGAGGACTAGGCAGGAAATGTAAATTTACAAAGATGGCTTTGGAACCCAAGAACCACAACCTGCTTACTCAAATGCTCAAGTAAATACTAGATGACAAGTTGTTATTATTACTATAAAAATATTCAGGCTAATAATTTATATAGGGGAAGAAGGAAAAGGAGGAAGAAGATGAAGACAGAAAAGGAAACGAATATTATAAAGAGTAATGACGGTGAAAGACAATGAAACAGCTTTCCTAGAGACACATGCTGTTATCCTGTCTCCCTTCCCAGGCCACACCAGCTGAACAGAGCAGCTCTACTCAAAATGACAGGAGTCACCTCTAGGACTGCGAGGCCCAGAGACCCGAAACGCTCCTCAGAAAGCCTCTGTAGGCTGAAGGGCTGGTGGCTGACTGGATCTAGGAAAGTGATGTGTCCTGAGGGACCTCACTTCATCATTAACCTACTGGTGAGCTCTCCCAGCATTGCTGGGAGGTGATGGGGAAAAGGAAGTGGAGCCTAGTGAAAGGGAGCAGGTCACGGGGCCAGGCCTGGCACTATGTCTGGTCCCCAGCTCTTTCCTCTCAGTCTTTCACATCCTCTCTGCTTCCTGGCTCCCATGAGGTGAGCAGCTTTGCACTACCATATTCTTCCTTCACGACAATTTTGCCTCAACATGGACCCAAAAGGAATAAAGGCACATGACCATGCACTGAAGCCTCTAAAACTGTGAGCCAAAAAACCCAAAAAGCTTTCTTCATTTATTTATATGAGTTACTCTGTCATAGCAATGGAAATCTGACTAACACAGGGAATATACCCAGAAACATCTCAAAAAGCAATCAAATAACCTGCTGACAAGATGGAGTCATGCACCAATACCCAAACAAAGAATACCAGTCCTGGAAATAACAAGATTTTCCATCTCCCTACACTTAGGAGCTTATGGTCTGAATTAGGAAACAGACCCATGAAAACACTGGTATCACCCATAGCAAACACTGGTATGCTATAGCTTGAGACTCACAGGCTTCACAGTCAGACACAACTGAGCTAACAGAATGAAATTAAGAAAGTTTATTATCTCAGGTTCAGTTCCCTTACATGTAAAACAGTAATATCTGTACCTGACCTCATAGGGATGTATTGAGAAGTAGTACATATAAAGTAATAGCATGGGCATTACTATTAATCTAATGCGGTAAGAAAAACAGAAATACACAGCAAAATATGTTAAGAATATATATGATGACTCTGTTTACTTGCCTGATCCCCAGAGAGGAATCACACGTAACATTTCATAATGACAAAGTACTCAATACTCACGTCAGGTCTTGCAGGCAAGTATGACTGTCTTCAGTGGGAACATACTCGACTGTTACATGTGTGCAAAAAATATACACCAACCTACCAACTGTATCCTCACTTATTTTAGAAAAGCCTTCAAGATCAAAGTTTAATAAGCAAAGAAGTAATTGCAAAGTTCACACTTTTATTCAAACTAAAGTGTAGTGTGCATTTATCTGAAGATGTTAAGATGTAGTAAATACATACATTTTGTCTATCTCCGGTTAGATGTGCAAACTCCACCATTTCATTTCCAAACTGACTGAATATTTGGACAAACTCTTGAAAGCTAGTCACTTTCTCTAGTCTTTCCATAGTTGCAAGAACCTGGAAACAAAGAAAATTTTATTGTTAGTGAGACTTATGAAACAGTCAGAGACTATCAATGTTGAGTTAGGAAAAAAGGGAAATTATAAATCTTAGGGCAGTTAACAAGCCTTTTACAGCTTTCAATGGTAACAAACAGCTGTCTGCCCATGTGTGCCATACATGTGCCACCACTGTCCAAGAGGAAAGCTGGGAGAAGGGAAAAAAGGAGACAAGACATGCTTCACACTCAAGTGTGGTAGTGCACATCTGTAACACCTACTACTTAGGAGGCTGAGAGAGTTCAAAGCCAGCCTAAGCAACTTAATAGTAAGACTCTATCTTAAAAACATAAAGAGCTTAGTGGTACGGCTCAGTTGTAGAGCACTTGCCTAGCATGTACAAGGCCTGGGTTTGATTCACAATACTAAAAAGGGAGCAGGGGTAGAAGCTGATTCAAAGTTAGAAGCATTTCGGGAATGATTTGTTTTTAGGATGAGACTTCGGCTTACTTGAAAAGCAAAAGGAAGAGAAAGTTTTGAAAATACTAGATATACAAAAACAAGAGTTCATTTATGAAGCTTCATCTGGAGGAGGTGAGAACAGACAAGATGATGGTCTTGCCATGGTCTGGGCATGGTTTGAGAGTGCCCTGAGGGTTCCTGTCCGGAAGCTGGGTCCCAGTGTGTCAAGATGTGGGGTGGTGGGCCCTGGTGAAATGTGATAGGTCACTAGTGCATAGCCCTCAGCAGGGGATAATGCAGCCCCCATGGTTCTTATAAAAAGAAAGGTCTGTCCCCACCCTCGTCTCTGGCTCCCTGTCTTGCCATGTGATCTCTCTTGTGTGTGCTCCCATTTGTCAGAATTTCAACCTCCAAAGCTGCAGCCAAATAAACCTACTTGTATCTCTCTCCTTTGTGTGGTGTTCTGAGTCAAACCTGTGCAAGGCCTCATGCACAGTAAGCAAACACTGTACACTGAGCTACACCCCAGCCCACTCTCTTTTCTTTACAAAGGGCCCAATATTAGCATAAGGTATTTTGTTACAACAACAGAAAATGGACAAATACATAGTTAGATCTTCAGGCAGTATGAAGGGAATGAGGATAAAAGACAACAGGCAAAAGCTATGTGATTCACTGAACCAGAATTGGAGGAACCACAATCTTCCCAGGAAAGGGGAAAGGTCATCTACACAGTGCTGTGGAAAGAGAGGTTACGGACCTCAAAGTAGAAAAACAATGTAGATCAGTCCGGAACTGCCTGTAGAATAAATTAATTGCCAAGAAGAGAGAAGAGAGCATGAATCCACAGTTGAGACAACAGACAGTGCTGTGTTTTCTTGACAGAAGAAGTAAAAACACAGATATCCTGTGTTTCCTTATTTTTAATGAGGATATGATGGCTATTTGGCATGCTGGCCTGCCCTGGCAGCTCAGGAAGCACAGGCAACCAACACAGATAAGGCCAAGGGCTGAGCAGAGTCCCCATCCCTCAGAGGTTCAGGTGGCTTCTGTTCATCTCGCACTGCCTAATTCACCTCCTCCACTTCTTTTTCTCTTTAAATTTATACTTTGGGATTCACTCAACTCCTATCAATTAGTTTTTGTGAGTGTGTGTGAGTGTGTGTGTTTCCTGGCGGGGGGCAGTACAGGTACTGCTATACCAGGGCACTGCATGGAGTGGACGAAGCAAGCTCTTATTCCATCTCCCAGCTCAAAAATCCACCTAATGGGGCTGGGGATTTAGCTCAGCGGCATAAGCTCCTGCCCTGCAAGCAGGCAGTCGTGAGTTTGATCCCTGGTACCGATAAAAAGGAAAAAGACAAAAAAAAAAATCCACCTAATATATCGTCCTCAGATAAAGGACAGATCAGATATTACTGATGAGAACAGATACTGCACTTGATGTTAGCCAAAAGGCTGAAAGTGATCATCATCAGTGAGTTTTGTCTTGAACTCAACTTGGGACGACCCCTGCCCTGTTTGACTGCTCTTCTCTCTGCCTAAGGGAACCACCCCAGGGAGACTACAATCACACACGCCTGGAGTCCTGGATGAATAAGGAGCATGACCAGCATTAGAAGACTGTACAAATTCTGCAAGAGTTTAAATCCATTCTTTAAGTTTTATAATTATTTGGAACTTTTATAGCCTCTCTACACAGAAATTATTAGCTATGGATAATTACAGTTTGGGATTAATTCTGCTTAAGCTTTTAATTTGGCACTCTTTGACCAGGAAAAACTAAAAAAACGAAGGATTTGGCATTTTTATCAACTAGGTTTCTCCTAATACTTTAGCACTGTGCCCAGCTTTAAGATTTCCTTTCTGAACTGTAAACATCTAAAACTTTTTCAATAAGGTTCCATCTGTAGATAATGATTTTCTGAGGAGAAACATTACTTGCATTCAGAGTTTATGTAGCTGCAGCAGTACAGGCTTATAATTCCAGCACTCTGGGAGGCTAAGGCAGGAGGATCACAAGTTGAAGTCCAGCCTGGACAACTTAGCAAGTCTCTGTCTCAAAAACTAAAAAATGGCTGCGGGGTACCCCGCTCTGTTATTTCCCTGGGCTCAATCCCTAGTATGGGGGCGGGGATTAGGCCCACATACACACTGCAAATTACAGGCATAAAAGAAATACCGCTTTTAAACTACAGACAATTAGCATTATACGAAATTATAATAGACAAAAATTACTGAATTAACTGTAATTAACCTAAAAAAACCACTTCTGAACAACTCTGAAACACAAATGGCAGAAAAGCAAGCACCTTATTTCTTGACGTTATTATCTGCTTGATCACTACTCGGTCAGCCAGCAGCAACACCTTTGTCACTGAGGACAGAAGTAATCTTGCCGCCTTTATGACTCCGGTTTTGTCTGTAAAAACTGTGATCTGGCCATCAACTTCCGGGTGATTCAAGCCGGTTACATCTGTGAGCGCCGCAATTGTTTCTCCTAACAAGAAAGGGAAAAGTTAAAATTGGGAATAAGACACTCACATAAAAACCCATTCCTTCCTTTGATCTTGACTACAATACTTGAAGGAAAAACTCAGCCCTGGAGTTTCACTTCAGAACAAGGAGCAATTTCACCTTGATAACTGGAGCGATTACCACAGGAAGCTTTCTAATGATAAAATAACAGCATACTTTTCAGAACTGTGGCAAGCTTTGCCTCCACTTCGTTAGAAAAAAGGAATTTTGGTTTCCAGCAATATCTCAAGCAAGCACAACAATCTAAAAGTCTTCTTCCCCCAAAGGGGAAGGAAAATTAGCCTCCTGTTTTGCAAAACAGTAAAAGTTCCAGGACACAAAACTCAAAGCAGAAGCCAAACCAGAGCATAACAAGTGCCTGGCCTTGGGCTTGCAGGAAGGGGCAGGGAAGGTGGGAAACAGGTTGCCAATCACCACAGACTTGAGTTTGTAGGGGCATCCAAGGGGGCCCCAAAGAATGACACTGCCAAGGACGTGGGTCTGGAAAGAGTAATGGTTTGGTACAAACAATAAGCAGGTCTGTCCGCTGGTCAGCCTGGAAGCGGGGCAGGGGAGTAAACCAAGCCCCTCCCTCACCAGTTTGGACAGAAACCCAGGGCTGGCCCTCCCTCAGGCTTACTGCTGATTCATCTTCTGGTGCCCAGTGCAGACCACCACCAAATGAACCTTGCAATTCACTACAAAAAAAAAATTCTTCACTTGCTATCAAACATTTTGATTTTAATCATAGTAATTATTTATCAAAAAACAATCTAAAAGTTTGGTTTCTTCAAAGATGAAATCAGGCTATGATTCTCCAAATACGATTTCTTCAAAATGCCTTTCGGGTAAAGTCAACAAAGATTTTTAAAAATAAGGCTTCAATCATCTTATACTAAGATACACTAACTTTTAAGTCTTCAATAAACATGTGTACCTCATAACTGATTCTCTCAGGGAAACCTCTTGTCGATTTTATCATGAATACACAGTAATATCTCCACCATTGGCTAAGGATCTACAGTAGAAATATTTGAGACTTAATGCACAAATCACAGGTGTGAAAGGATTAAAGTCAGTATTTGTGAAGATCAGTTTGGTTGAAGCACATAAAATAGACTTAAAGCCAGAGGCTAGGAGAGACTTAAAGCCAGGGTATTATTTCAGCTGCGGGCATAAGGTAATACAGACTTTGGGGATGGTGGTGATAGGAATATAAAGGCGATGATTTCAGAGATACTCATGAAAGGAAGCACAAAACCAGTGCTGACCAGTGAGAAGGATGGGAAGCGTGAAAAAAATAAATGGCTCATGGTTGCTAACACAAGTCACTTAGAGAAAATCAGAAGGGCACAGGGAGGAGATGGTGAGTTTAGTTTCAGACAACAGGAGTTTGAAATGACCCAAGAGTACACAAAATGGAAGCCACTGCATGTGGACTGGCAGTGAAGATCTGGAGGGCATGTCTGCTAGCTGAAGTCTTACTAGCAGCGCTCACTAGCACTGAAGATGGCTCTCACAGCCCCCACCCTGGCTTCCCCACCTTCATCGTTCTAGGATTGGTCCAGCAGAAGTGTAGTATGTCGCTTCTGTGATTAAGTTATGCAGTTGGACAGTCATCCCGTTCCCTCTGAGGGAGCCCAGTGGCTATGGAGTAAACTGCCCTGGTACTCACAGGCTAAGCAACGAAGAGCCAACAGCCAGGGAGAGCACTCGGGAAAAGATCCTGCAGGCAAGGGGCGCCTTCCCCTAACTGAGGCACAGCAGACTCCCTGACGGCGACCTCAGCAGAGACACTGACCTAGACCATCTCTCACACACTCCCAGCCACTGGCCTGATTCCTGGTCCTCCGAAGCTGCCCAGATAATAAACACCTGTAGCTTTGCATAGATACATTTTGGTTAATTTTTGGTTAGACAAAAATAAGTTTTGTATTACAAAGTTTTTATGGCAAGATATAGAAAGAACAAAAGTGCTTAGAACTAAAGCTTGATGCACACAGAGAGCCAGGAGGAAAAGAATCCGTTTGTATTCTATTAGCAACAGCTCAAAGGATAAAAATGTTTCCACTGTAACTCTGGAAATTGTTAATTTTTCCTGAAGCTCTTAATCACCACAGAAATGACATATGAGCCTGCACATATGGCATTATTTAGACTCTTTTTACAAATGGAACCCCAAGCATTTAACTCGTAAGTACATGGGGTGGTAACATTTGGCCAGCTCTACCCAACAAGGTCAAATGATTCCCTAACATCGGCAAGTTGTTCAGAGCATAGAGGGTTCAGAAATTAGTTCACTGAGACAGCACCAAGCTGCCTTAGAGCTTCAGAGTGCTCATTTTTAATTTATTACATGCAGTTAGCTGGTATCATTTCTTAAAGTGCAAACCTAAGGCCACTTATACACAAACATTTACTGCATTTCCATACAAAACATAAACTTTGTCTAATGACCAAATACAAAATAAAAATACACAGCAAGAATACCTCATAGGAAAAGAAGAAAAATAATTATAAAGAGATTAATATTTGAATACTTCACATGTGGCAAATGCATACATGCATCGTATCAAGATACCCCTCTGAGCATTAATGGCCCCATTTTGTAGATGAGAACACTGCAGTGTTTTAGTTTAACAGCTTGCCAGTGTCACTCTGCTAGCATGTGAAAGAGGTGGGATTGGAATCTGGGCGGTCTGGCTCTAAAGCTCTAATCAGTTTATTGCTGCATACATTATTGCTCTTGGTTGAAACTGTCCAGTGGAGGAAATGGTCAGGATGGGCTGACTGGGCAGAAATATATCCGTCCTCTGGTCCAGTTAGCCGTAAGCTGGAATGTGTCAAAGGAACACTGAGGAGGGGCTGCTCTCACCCCCTCACCTGAGGCACTGCGGAGGCCATTCCCAAGGAGGCATAGGGCACTGGAAACGAGGAAAGTGACGCACAGAGCCCATGATGCCTGGCGTCCTCTAAGACTGCCCACACCTCCCTGGCAGAAAGCTGTAGAGCACTGGGGCGTATCGCTACACCACGTCCTCCTCTCTCCCCAACACTGAGCACGCGGCATGCTACCAGACCACGGGGAAAGGAACACTCAGGCTGCCCTTTCCGTTAAAAAGTGAATCACCCTCCTCTTGCTGACCAAGGGCTACACTGACAAACAGTATCTACGTCCTCTGCTGCACCCTCCGCGGCTTCATGTAAGGTCTGTTCAAAAGTCTCCCCAGCATAATCCTGAGCCAGGAAAATGCCTCTTTCTCCTCTTGCAAGCTGGTTTGTTTCCTTTCAGCAAACAATGAGAATTATATAACACTTTGCTTCTCACATTTTTGTCTTGGCTTTCAGGAAGTACAGAGATAAATTTCATGCTTAATTACAATAATCATGTTTGCCAAATTTTCCAGTGTATTTATTTTCATCTCTTATTTTAATGGGCTCATTGAACATGTTTTTTATTGTAAGCTATTTCAAGTCTTTTCAAAAGTAGAAAAAATACAATTGAAAATGTAATGAGGCTATCTCCCCTGCTTCCCGCAGGAAAACTATTCTCTAACCTAGCAATGGCTAGAAGCCCGAGAGTCAACCCAGAGTGTTCTGTTTCCTTTCGTCAACAATCTTGTCCCATATATTTGCCACCTAAGTGACCATTTTCTGTGCACTTCCTGCTCTTTAAACCTTACTGCAGCCAGGTACAGTGGCACAACTTGTAATCTCAGTTACTCAGGAGGCTGAGGCAGGGGACTGCAAATATGTAGCCAGTCTGGTCACCTTCACAAAATGCTATCTCGAAAGTAATAGTGTAGCTCTGTGGTAGATGTCTTGCCTAGCATGCATAAGGCATTAGGTTCAAAGGTGGGGAGTGGTGACTAGTATATTGTCTTGGTTTAGCTGCTTTTACTGTAAAAGCTTCCATATTAATCTCTATATTTTCATTTACAACCCCCTCTCAATCTGCCCTCATGTATTCATTTCTTCCATTTCTATCAAAAAGATTTCTAATGCTAGACAGTATCTTTTATCCGGCTCAAAATTCCTCAATGACTCCCTATTACCTATAAAATAATACCTTACGTCATCCACATCACACACAGGATTGCGTGTAATCTGGTTGGTCCCCCCAAGTTACTCCACCTTATCACCCTCCTTCCCCTGAGGATCCTCCCAAAACACCTGCTTCTGCATCAGGGGGTTGCTCATCTCAGAGGAAGTGGCAGCACCTGTCACCCAGCTGTTCATCCCAAACCCTGGAATTATTCATGACACCTCTGCGCCACATTCTGTCAGCTCCATCCTGATGATGTACCCACGTGTAGCTACCTTGTGCCATCTCTGATGTCACCACATAACCTAGGTCACCACTGTCTATGGCTGCAGCCTAACTGCTTTTCCTGATCCCACTCTCACACTCCTTAAAATCAACCTTCCTGTTTAAGAACCCCAGGTGTAGTTTTGAAATATAAATAAGGCTCTGTTACAATAAAGAATTATCCAGTGCAAAATGTCAGCAGGCTTAAAGCTGAGAAACAGCACCTCCCTTGGTCTTCTCACACTTACCCTGCTTTATTTTTGGATTCATGATAATGCTTATCTATTGTCTATCTCCGTCACCAGAATTCAAGTTCCAGGAGGGCCGACTTTGATTGATTTGGACCCTGCTGTACCCAGAGGGCCTAGGAAAATGCCTGGTACACTGCCAGCGCTCAGTAAATGTTAATAAGAGAATAAGTGGATAAACTACTTCAACAAAGCTGAACCATTGGTAGCCCTCATACCACTACAGGGTCTAACACGCTTTGAGAACTGTAATTCCAGCCTATAATCCCAGCCCTCGGGAGGCGAAGGCAGGAGGCCTTCTGTGAGTTTGAGGCCAGCCTGCACTACCCAATGCCTTTCTCCATTCCCCACATGGGCCTCGGTACCCCTTATCAGAAGACCAAAGCACAGCACACATTTTTGCTCAAAATAAAGCTGTAATTCTGCATCATCTCCAATGCAATAAAATTGGTATAAACAATCTTCAAAATCCATATCCACATACCTGCTTGTTTAGCTTCAATACAGGCAATATTTATTTCTTCTTTCAGATCCCAGTTTTCATTGGCTATAGCTTCTCCTACTTTTACAAATCTTCCAACAGCCAAATTGACAGCTTTCCCCACACGCTGAATTGCTTGCAGAGTTTTATCCGATTTTTTGGTATTATCTTTATGATTAATAAGTGTGGTAATCTAAAAATAAAAGGTAAAAGTAACTTGCTTAAGTTTTATCTTAATGCTTTACAAAAATGTAAAAAATAAAAAGTGGCATCATAAAGGCCAAAATATTAAGCCCGGCATCCTGGACTAGAAGACTAAATCAACAGTTTTAGATGTTTCAACCTAAGGACAGCAAAGCGTCTTACATCATTCCTAAGACAATACTTCCATTAATGACAATTCCAAGTTCCTAGGGCACACAACGCTCTCCAGATCTTCCAACAATTCTTAAAGACTCAAAAAAAGTAGAAGAGGGCAGATCATCACATTCACAGAATCTACAGAAAACCAAAGTAGTCTGGGTCTAGTTTTCTAGACCATGGTAAAAACAGAGATACTACACCTTCCGCTGCCCACCGTGGTGAGCAGACTGTGCCAAACCTGTGCCTTGCATGTTCACTGAGTTAGCTAGATACTTTAGAATGACATATGTTTCCTATTGCTCTAAATTTTCTGTATCAACCTCAAAGTAAATGAAATACCAAGAGTTTTAACATTTGGTTCCGAGGCCTGAAATACAAAAGATGACAAGTCCAGCTCATTGAAACCAACACAAATCTTCAAGATATCTTAGAAAACTAATGCACGAACCACACTGACATATAAAAATATTCATGCCCCAAGTGCTGGGAATACAGCTTCCTGCTTCAACCTCCCCAGGGCTCAGGATTAACCAGGAAATTCAAGTTTGTAAATCATTACAGGCCATTTTATTTTTTTAAATTTTAAAGATAATAAAATGATGGTGGCACAAACTTATCATCCCAGCACTCGGGAGGCTGAGGCAGAAACACCATGAGTTCAAGGCCAGCCTGAGAGACAGAGCCTGAGGCCAACTAAACCACACAGCATGACCCTGCCTCAAAAAGCCAAAAAAATTAAATTAAAAAAAAGCGTGCTGAAACAACACATGCTTTACAAAAATACCAGTGATGCATTAAAACACAGCACTAAGAAACTGATGAAATTATAAGAATATATATCAAAAGTAATCGCTCTACTTCTGCTATTTTTAAATGTTCAGATCATCAATATTAATAACAGAATTTGTTTTAATACACAGATGTAGGGGCTGGGGATTTAGTTCAGCGGCATAAGCACCTGCCTTGCAAGCAGGCAGCTATGAGTTCGATCCCCAGTACCAAAAAAAAAAAAAAAAAAACCCACAGGTGTCATTTTCAGTTTTAAACTAAGATTTTACTTTTAACAATAGGTTTCTAGGGGGCTAGGGATTTAGCTCAGCAGCATAAGCGCCTGCCTTGTAAGTGTGTGGTCGTGAGTTCAATCCCTGGTACTGATAAAAATGAAAAAGACAAAAAAAAAAAAAAAAAAAGGTTTCTGCAATGTGTTTTATTGCAATATAATAATAAATCAACTTTTGGTCCAAAATAAATATTTCCAAAATGATATAAAATAATATTTATGAAAGAATGTTGGTTGGTGTGGTGACATACACCTGTAATTCCAGCTAAGGAGGCTGAGGAAGGAGGATCACAAGTTTGAAGCCAGCCTGGTCTGCATGGCAAGACCCTGGCTCAAAGCAAACAAACAAAAATGTCATGTGAAAGACATAAATCCCACTAGTAAATGTATGCTGCATAATTTTTTTGTTTTGACATGCTGTGTGGGTCAGGCTGGCCCTGTACTCACTATGTAGCCCAAGTTGTCCTCCTATTTGTAGCAGTCCTCATGCCTCAGCTTTCTGAGTGCCAGGATTACAGGTGTGCACCACCACATGCAGTGTGAATTTAACATTAAATAATTTGCATGCCCTATTAACATTGACCAGACTGGAGAATCAAGAGAAGAAAAGAATCACTCTTATGCCTTTAGAAATTACTAATAAGCACTTCTTTTAGAATTAATTAAAAAGCCTAAATTGGAGTCTAGGCTCTGTCATTATTAGCACAGTGATCTACAGTACTGTTTTTCAACAAAATTTTAGCATAAAGTAGACATTAGGTCCTAAAGACAGAGCAATACATAATACTCATAAAATCCTCTCTCTACTAGGTTTACAGTACAGAATAATCATAAAAATGTACTTGTTGCATACTATCATATGCCAACTCAAATTCCAGACAATGATGTAACAGCACTCAACAAAAAATCCCATGTTCTCATAGAGCTCCTATTCTATGGGGGAGCTGGAGAGATACAATAATCACACAAATGGGTCAACAAAAAACATTAATGTAAATGCTATGCAAAATGTGAAACAGGACAATGTGCTATGAAATCTGTGCAGGTACCTGAGGTTGGCTGATCTTCCTTCTGCGAGAAAAGTGATGGTTAAGTTGAAATCTAACAGTAAGAAGCCAGGCTGGCAAACGTCAGGGAAACGAAGCATTCTAGGGAGCAGGGACACCTCTGGGATGAGTCACCTGTCAAGGAGTGAGGTAGGCCACAAACAGGGAAGCCCAGGGAGCCAGAGGACAAAGGTAAAACCCATCTCCAGAAGCTAGCCAGGCAAGGTTGTGCGTGAAGTGAAGAACTTGTTTTATTCCATCTTACAGGAAGTCACTAAAAGCTTTTTAAGAAGAAAAATGTTATCTGTTTAGTGGGTTTAAAATATGTTCACAAATTTTTTTATACACCTCCCTTTAAGAGGTAGAGCCTGGTTCTTCTACCTGGAGTAGGGATGGGCTGTTTCTGAGGGCAGGACTCTGTCAGATTCAGAGGAAGAGTGCCAGCTGCCACATAAGGAAGGACACCCCACACCTGTATGGAGAGCCCCAGGAGAAGAAAGCAAGAGCTCTGCGACAGTGAAGAACCGAGGCCTCCTGACAACAGCCGGCTGAATGAACTGGGAGCTGATTCTCCAGCTCCAGCCCAGCACCTTTATTTCCATCTTGTTACAGATGGCCCTTAACCCAGAACCACCGGCAAAACCACTCCACTTCATGCTTGGCCCACAGAAAGTGGGGCCAATCAAATCAATGTCCGTTGTTTCAGGAGGCTGGATTTGGAGTAATTCGTTCTGTAACAACATATAACTCATCCAGATTTCGGTACACTTGGATCTGGAATGATACTGTAACAAATCCTATGCTGAGGAAGTAAGTGGCTTGAAATCAGCTTAGGAGTGGAATGGACTGGAGGGGTGAATAAAAGCTCCAGTCAGAACTGTCTGGCAGCACAGCGAGCTCGGTCAGCGTGGCGGCCCTAACCTAGGTCGTTCATAGACGGTGGAAACACACAGCTTAGGTTTCGGAGGCTGAGTAGTCCAAACTCACAGCCCCCTGAGATCACTGTCTGCTAAGTCCTTGTGGATGGTGCCCTCTAGATTAGTCTGCACATTGCAGAAAAGGAAAACAGGCTCCCTCAGCCTTTTTTACAGGCATTAGTCTCTTTCATAAGCTAATAAATTCCCAAAGGCCTTACCTGTTAATAATTATCACTATGGGAGTTAAGCTCCAGCCTGTGGATTTGAGGATACTGACATTCAGATCATACCAGAACTATGTGTGAAGCTGAACGGAAAATGAAAATAATCTCATTGGAAAGTGGAGAAAAGAGGTTCCTTATTACACAGTGGCAGAAAATCATCCTCAGTAATACAGAAAAAGTAAAATATACCTACTAAACTGAGTGCTCTAGCTGAGAGATTTCAAGGAAGACTTTGAGGTGCTTCTGAGTTTCTTCCTGCTGTTCATCGTAAAATGTAAGAGAACAGAGAATTCAAAGGAAACATTAGTAAATAAAAACAAGCCAGAACTTCCTAGTTTTGAAAAGTCCTAGCCAGGTGGCACATCATGTTAAAATTAACAGTGGCTTCCAGGTATGAATAAAATCCAGGCGACTGTCAAGAGACCATGACCTATTGTCAGGTGTTTTGCCTGTAATTCCAGTCCTCAGGAGGCTGAGACAGGAGGATTGTGAGTTCCAAGCCAGCCTAGGCTACAAAACAAGTTCAAGGCTGGCCTAAACAGTGAGACCTTGTCTCAAAACAAAACAAAACAAACAAACACTGATAGTGTGACTATATAATCTTAGTAAAGGTTCCAAAATATCCAGTGTTGCTCCAGACAACCACATAGCTAAACAAGTTCTCTAAGTGCTTAGGGGTGTTGTCTCTCAGCAGTGCCAGCAAAAGCCCAAGTTAGAGAAGAGCTTATCTTAAAGAGACTTGTGTGTGCGGATGGCTTTGTTTAATAGACTGAGTCCAAATGACTCAAAGGAAACCAACATAATTAATGTAATTGTGTTGGCAGCCACACCACCAGCTTGGGCTGAGGCAGATCAACACAGAATGAAAGGAAGCTTTATATCAAGTTCCCATAAGCAGGAGCAGGCTTAGAAAATTATGCAGCTGCAAACCAGGGCTAGCTTTCATGAAAAAGGCCAAATCAGAAGGCAATGCCAACAGCAATGAAGAAGCCCCAGGACTTAAGTCTTAATCAAGAAACTGCCAACCCGTGTCCAGCTGGATTTCAGAATGTGCATGCCTGTAATTCCAGCAGTCTGGAGGCTGGGGTAGGAGGATGGCACGTTCAAGCCCAGCCCAGACAGTTCAGTGATTTCATGAGGTAAACCCTGCCTCAAAATTTTAAAAATCAATTTTTTAAAACTGTAAGAGCTAGGAATGTATCTCATTGTAAAAGCCCTGGGTTCAACCACAGTACCACCAGAATACTGTAAACCAGCAGGTTGAGCTTAGACAGTACTAGTTAACAGAAAAAGCAGAAGTGACAGCATGCTACTTTCGAAGGCCAGGCATAAAGTCACTACGATCTGCTGTCTTTCTCTCTAATGTTAATGACTTGGGAAAGCTGGTGCTATGTCACGAAGATACTTGAGCAGCCCAATGGAAAGGCTCACATGGTGAGGAACTGAGGCTTCTTACCAGCATCTAGGAAGGCTCTGAGGCCTCTTGTCAACAGAGGAGAGTGATTCAGAACTACCTTGAGAAGACAGTCCCAGATTCCTAATTCACAGCCTGAGACAACAAATGTTTGCCATTTTAAACCATT